CCAACATATCATAAGATTCCTTTTCTTGAACTCTCTTTCGGATCTAGGAAAGAGCTCTCAGAAATCTTTTTTCCTTTTGGAAGATACAGGAGCGGAACAATCAACCTATTGATATTGGAAGACTCAAAAGATTCTTCCAATGTATCATTATTTCTGGGTCCAATGGAATTCATAGGTATAGGAAGAAACCCTGTCAAATAGAGATTTTTTCTTTCGACCATCTTTCGATTGTTAATACGATATATAAGGATCGCTACTACAAAGAGTACTACATCCTTGATCGTGAAATATCGATTGCTTGTTGAACCCTGTGAATTGCGTGAAAGTAGGATACTCCAAATTCGGGAGTCCAAGAGTTTTATAAAACTCTCTTGATGGAAAAAAATATGAATGAAAGATCCCGCTGAATTGAATTGGGTCCATGAATCTAAGAAATAGCGAGAATTCTTGATCTCTCTCAATATCTCTCTCAATTCGAAAATCCAGGATTTGAATTGATGTCCTTTCATCGAATCCTCCTAAATTGCATTGATTTATCCGAAAGATTTCACTTCAATTGGAATTTGGTTATTCACCATGTGCCGGACCTTATTTTGGAAGCAGGGAGGGGGTGAGTCGCCGCATTGACTCGAAGAATCTAGCCACCCCACGAAGGTCTACTCCCGCGAGACAGTTCTTAGTCTTTACTCTAGGATGAACTGAGCCATAGCTTCTAGGGCATGTCGCCCCGGTAGAAAGAGTACTACACTGCGTCTAGACTTCAAATTGTTTACTTTAACCATGGTAATAGTCCAAAATTTTGGGTTAATAGAGAATCAAAGTGGATTTACTAATGAATCGCGAAATGCTATGGTTCTTAAATATTTTTTTTTTTTCAAAAAATAAAATTTATTGAGAAGTAATTCGCGGGATTATGCACATTTTCTTAGTTATAACGAAAAAAAAAAGTGCAATTGGTTGGATCCAATCTATTCTTTGAAATTAACAACTCGCACACACTCCCTTTCCAAAAAAAACCAATACACCTAGCACTACGCTTAGATTTATTGGATTTGTTGCTAAAATATCGGTATTAAACCCGAAACTTCCGGCGGATCGCCAGTAGCCCAAGTAAAGGAAAGAATCGGTTATATTTTTCATATGATCTCATCTCCTTTTATGGATAGACTAATTATCCTTCTACAATTCCTATTTTTTTATTTTTTAGTTATTTCTTTTTTTATATGATATTTTTATTATATATAATAAAAATATCATTCTTTACTAAAAATTCATATTAATTATTAGTAATTATAAGTAATAATATGAATAGTAATAATATTCATTTAATAATAATAATATTCTATTAATACATATATAAATATATATATCTATTTATGTATCATAGTTTATGGCCACTTTGCGGAAAATCGTTAGGTATCAATATGTTAGATACCTGTGACTCGATTGGTGAAATAGTATCTCTCCCCCAAAAAGCATGTTTTTTTTTACCACCGCAAAAAGAAAATATTTTGTTGCGAATGAACAAGATATTGAGGAATTGTCCATACGTAAAATCATTATTATTGATACAGGCCTTTTCCACATAAAAAGGGAATCTTTTGTTACAATAGAAGCAGAAGTGATATCGATTATTCAAGAATCGAAGTCGATTTGCTTTATAAAAAGAGGATATCAATGAACTTCTATGAAATGGTTTCACGGGATTCAGCCAATTGTCTTGATCGTGGGATATCGTTGAGAAATAGGAATCCGTGTTATCAAAAGATTTCCTGCAATTCTTTCTAGTATGGAATGAGTCAATCATCCACTTTGGTATCTTATTGAACAAAAATGGTGATATTGTTCCTCCATTGATCAAGAATTTCGATTTTTGGGAAGTATCATGGTCATCCAATAATAAGGGTTTCCTTTTTTTCAAATGAAAGATTTGAAGACCTATTGATTCTAACAACTGATTACAGAGTGGATCATTCGGACCTTTCAACTCATAGATGTGGATCTCGGACCTATGAATGGGGATACTCCCGAAACTCACAAAGAAAAAAGGAAGTGAGTTAGACAAAAAGAGAAGAAACTTGGACAAAAAAAGAAGTAACTTGGACAAAAAGAAACAAAGTGACTTAAACAAATATTTTTTGTCGATAACCTCAGACCAATCAATCGAATATTGATTAATATGTAATCGATCGAACACTACTTGAAAACGGCTATTCTGCTCAGAAATGAAATGGTCCAAATGTTCCTGGAAATTCTTGCTCCCATTGGACCATTTGTATCTATATGCATTAGGATCCCGATTCATGGATCTCTCCGTTCGAGAAATAAAAATAAGAAGATCGAACCATTTCTTCTGACTCTTTTTCAAATTTGATAAATGTTGGTTGATCGTGTATTTCATTATAGTTCTATGATTCAGAGTATCATTTCCTATTTGATACCTTTGAATTCCATATTCGAAGTTGCGATCGAATCGATTCTTTTTAATGAATCGATTCAATACATTTCTTATGTAACCAGGGATGCTATATTGGATTTGAATCAGATTTATTATGGAGAACCTGCATGGCCCAATGATCTTTTATATATTTTTCCAGTAGTAATTCTGGGTACTATTGCCTGTAACGTAGGATTAGCGGTTCTAGAACCATCAATGATTGGAGAACCCGCGGATCCATTTGCAACTCCTTTGGAAATACTACCCGAATGGTATTTCTTTCCCGTATTTCAAATACTTCGTACAGTGCCCAATAAGTTATTAGGCGTTCTTTTAATGGTTTCGGTACCTATGGGATTATTAACAGTACCCTTTTTGGAAAATGTTAATAAATTCCAAAACCCATTTCGCCGTCCAGTAGCAACAACCATCTTTTTAATTGGTACCATAGTAGCCCTTTGGTTGGGTATTGGAGCAACATTACCTATTGAGAAATCTCTAATTTTAGGTCTTTTTTAAACTTTTTAATTAAATGGATTCAATTGTGAAATAAAATATCATGCCATGTATATTGTGTATCTAGGGAGAATTCATTTTGAAACGACTAATCCCTAGATACATCTTTTGGCCTATTCCGAGTATATGGATTTATTCTAAGGATTCAAATTACACATTTTCACCTTTATTTTTATAAATAATAAAAATATGAAAAAAAAAAACCAATGCCAATGGATTTCAAATTTATGCGAAATGCTTTTCTATTTCTAAAATGTCTAATATATGTTTTACATCTTCTACATGAAAATGTTCCATTTCCATAAGGTCTTCTTGACTATTATTCAAAAGTTCTAATAATGTATGAATATTGGATCTTTTGAGACAATTATAGATCTTGGGAGGCAATTCTAATTGGTCAATAAAAATAGATTTCAATGCTATTCCTTTTTTATTTTTCCTCAGTTTATCCTTAGCCAATATATCATGAAAAGTAAATAAATATTTTAATAATAATTTTCCTCCAAGCTGTAGATGTCTCCTGCTGTAGATTTTTGAAACCTCCAAGCTTCATAAATATTTTAAATTCCTTTAATAAAAAATCTAACCTTTTTCTTAAGAAATGGGTAAGTTAAAGGAAGAAATAAGAAACATATGTGTTCTTTTCACATCATTATAATAGGAGCTTTAATTACTTACCTTTAGTTTAGATAGAAACATTATCCAGGGTCCAGGCTTTGGGCTAATGATCCCTTTTACTTTTGCTTACTTTTCAAGTTTGAACTGAAAAAATAAAATAGCATATTAACTTCTTTCAAACCTAAGTGCTACTTCAATTGACTAGAAGAGAACAAAATTTGAGTTGGTCTCATGAGACCCACCTTGAAATAATTATTGGAATGTCTTAAGACCACAGCTGTTAATACTTCTTCAACCGCTAAAAGTTCAACTTTAAGGGCGACCAAAACTACTATCATTGCGTTAAATTGTATAAATACATAAAATAACTATATATATATACATATAAAATAAAAAAATGATTTTTTAAATAATTAAGTGATTATTAGTTAATTTTTAATTTTGATCATTTAAATATGATTCTATGATCTAAATTTATAATTCCCACAATTTTAAAATAAAAATCATTCTCAATATATATATATATATATATATATATATATATATATATAAATAAATAAGATCATAAAAGATATTTGAATCAACCAATCATATATAAGTAATTAAAATATACCAATCATGAAAATATATTCTTAGTCTCACCTGACACACTTTAGATATCTTATTTTACAATAAAAATAAGGTGTTATTCATCACTTATATTATTTATTATCATAACTAATTGTAATTTTTTTCCAAATTTATATTTTTTTTCACTTACTCATGATAACATGTGAATATTTGTTAGCGATTTTATTTACAAATTTTTGTATTTTGATTACTTTAATTTATTTTAAGAAATAATCACTTTTTCCTTTTTAATTTTGGAAGTGCTTAAAAAAATTATTAAAAAATATTTTTTTTTTGCTCAAATTAAGACAGGAATAGAAAGAAATTGAATTCTTTCTTGTTATTAAGTTACAAGATATACAATTTTTTTGAAAAATCAAAACGTACAATAATTAGTTATTTGACTCACTGATTATATTTGACAAAATATCTTTCTGTCTAACATAATTATCTCTTGTTAATTAACAAAATGAGATTATCTAAATTATATTAGAAAGGTTAGCAAGACATGTTTTTCTTTACTGAATAAAACAAGTATCCATTAGTAATTTATTGATTTGATATTTTTTTTTATAGTTCTTATAATTTATCTCATTTGATTTTACTTCAACTTTAGAGGGATGATATGTGGGCCTTATAATTATATTTTATTTTCATTTTGTTTAAAATTTGATCTTTATAATATTATCACACGTTAATGCTATTGATTGACCCCTAAAAAATACATGCAGTGGCATATTAAACTTATAAACATTTAAAACCTAATTATTTATTGGAGATGGAACGTTAAACGACATCGTTAAGGGGCGTGAGCTAGAGGTTTGTTTAGGCCTTGATCCATTGGGGCGCATCTCAGCCAATGATGGCTTTTTTCCGACCAAAAAGAAACCAATGACGAAATTTCTGGTGGAAAATTACTGTGAAAATAAAATACCAATCGTAGACCAATTCACAAACACACACAAATTATGACATTAAAGCAACATCATCATGTGAGAGAGAAAGAGCAGAGGTGCCTCCTTTTCATATGAATTTTGAGTGATTCATCGATTCTTCATCTACCATCACCTTATCTGCGTGAAAAGGGAAGAAGATTTTTTTTTTTTAAACATGGGTTGGATTCCCTGTTCTGGAAGTTCAAGCACTAAGAAGAAGTTAAAGAAAAAGTTGGAGAAGATGGAAACGCAGAACAGCCTAGTTGATCCGATCAAAGCCACCCCAGGTAGTGATATTGTCGTTATAGTGTTTGTTTGGGTATCAAACAATTCATCAATGGTTGGTGATGATTAGACCCCTCTTGTGACTGTTGTGCTTTTCTTCGATTTCTTTTCCTCCTTTTTTTTAATCCAGGTAAGGGGTTGTTATGATATGTCTTGTACTAAGTTGTTTCTAGCTTTATATGGGATATCTTGGAACAACTGAAATTGTGTGAGTTTTAATTTTGTATGTATTGGGGAAACAAATTGAGTCCTGGAAGAGTGCACTTCCTAGGTAAAGATAGCTGGGACTTGATGTAGTGGTAATTGTGTGCTTTTCTTTAACTTAGTTTTATACTCTTTTTTTTTCTCTTCAAACCCAGGGTGGAGTAGAATGAATCTACATATGTATGATCAGATACTTTATTTAGTTAAAGGATCTTCTTAGGAGAGATCTCTTATGTTTGTCCGTTGTGTTGGATTTAAGAATTTGTGTTAGTTTTTTTTTTTTTTTTTTTTTCAAATGTAGATTTTCTGCTGTTTTAGATTATGTTTTATCCCTGTATTGGATACATTACATTTCTTTAACTGGTGTATTATTAGCATTGGTTCAGGTAACTTTCTAAGTGACAGCTTACTATATCCTAGGTTAATAAACTGACCTGAAATTATTGTATCCGTTTTCCTAATACTTGTTAAACTTGTTTCTTTCATCTTATTGATTTCCTCGTTTACAAAGTTTTCATATCAAGTTTAAAATTGTACTATTGATGGTAATTTGAAACGATGCACCCTGTGAGACAAAGTCAATCTGTGATTGTTTTTGGCAATTGGAAAATGAAGCATGCCATGTTTTACTTTCTGAATCCTAAATAATGAAGCAACTCGTATTGGTCTTAGATGTAAAATCTAATCCTGCAGTGGTGTATACTTCTCCCCACTTACATCATTAGTCTTTGAAATTGAGTGCAGGGAAATTAAAGAGGAATTCATCCATGAATTCCAAAGATTCCTCTAAAAATGGAAACACTGATCACATTGCTGCACAAACATTCTCATTCCGTGAGTTGGCAACTGCAACTAGAAATTTCAGAGCTGAATGCCTTTTGGGTGAGGGAGGATTTGGCAGGGTATACAAAGGGCGTTTGGAAAGTATTAATCAGGTGACTCTGTTTCTCATGATTTCTTTGTTTATGAAGAACAGGAGAAAGTTGAGGGCAAGTAAAGAAATGTTTCCTTTTTTGCTGTTATTCATCATTTCTCCCTCGTTCATATTGCCTTATTCTGACAGCGAGAGTAATAGTGTTTTAGTTTTGCCAGTATATAACCGAGTTTTAAATTTGTGTAGTTTGAATTGGCAACACATTTCATGCTTTCTAATGTTAAATGTAGATTGTTGCAATTAAACAACTTGACCGAAATGGGCTACAAGGGAATAGAGAATTCCTTGTTGAAGTGTTGATGTTAAGTCTTCTTCACCACCCTAACCTTGTCAACCTGATTGGTTATTGTGCTGATGGGGATCAGAGGCTTCTAGTTTATGAATATATGTCATTAGGATCCTTGGAAGACCACTTACATGGTATTTGTGTTTCAAATTTGATTGTTATCTCTTTTCAATTCCTTATGTATTGTATTCTAGTAGATATTGTTAGTAAATTTTTTATATGCAGATATTTCTCCTGGCAAGAAACGACTTGACTGGAACACACGAATGAAAATAGCAGCGGGGGCAGGAAGGGGATTAGAATATCTACATGACAAAGCTAATCCTCCTGTTATTTACCGAGATTTAAAGTGCTCCAACATTTTGCTTGGCGAAGAATATCATCCAAAGTTATCTGATTTTGGTCTGGCTAAACTTGGCCCAGTAGGGGAGAACACTCATGTATCAACAAGAGTTATGGGAACCTATGGATATTGTGCTCCAGAGTATGCAATGACAGGTCAACTGACTCTCAAATCAGATGTCTATAGCTTTGGTGTTGTTCTTCTGGAAATAATTACAGGAAGGAAAGCAATTGACAATTCAAAGTCTGCAGGAGAGCAGAATCTTGTTGCATGGGTAAGAGACAAACTGTTACCTCATCTCACGGGTCTGGTTGATGATTTAAAAGCAAGAAAACAGAATAATGAATCGGCAAATATAGCATTCTGGATATCTTCATTTGCATATTAATTGTCAAAAGGTAGCCAGTGTGGTGTGGATTAAAATAAGAAGAGGTATGCATTGGCCATACTTGGAAAATTTTACATGCATAATTGGACTTGAGCATGAGAACTTGATGATAAGAAATCATTTCCAGTCAAATAGTTGATAGTTCTCCTTTACGTCCTAATCGAAAGTAACTAAACATGGTAAATAAGATGTACAGTGCTTTCGAGAGGAAATTCTGTAATGGTGATTCGAAAGTCCTTTTAGTTGATATTTTCTTCAGAGTTCTTATATTTTTTGGCTTTTCCTTTCTCTTGGGAGGCTTGCTGATCCCCTCTTCTTTAATTTCTTCCCTTCTAATAAACTATAAAAAGAAATTCCATTTACTGTAATGTTAAAGTAGTGACGCTAGAATTTAATTTTTGAGCAAGATCAATGATGTTATGTGATCCATGTAGCTGACCTCATTTGGCAGAATAAGACTATTGTTAAAGCAATGAAGCTAGTGGTCAAAGTTGTGCATATCCCCTAAACTCTTTGACTGGCTTTAACAATTTCAATTGTGATATTGAAATTTGATATCATGACTTTGTCCTGGCTTCTAATTTAAGTAACTGGATTAAAATTTTAATATAAACTTTTGGATGGATTACTCTTTGATTGCAGGCCAGACCCTTGTTTAAAGATCGAAGAAAGTTTCCACAAATGGCTGATCCAATGCTTCAAGGACAATATCCTCAAAGAGGGCTATACCAGGCCCTTGCTGTAGCAGCAATGTGTGTTCAGGAGCAGGCCAATATGCGCCCAGTTATAGCTGATGTTGTCACGGCTCTGAGTTACCTTGCTTCACAAAGATATGACCCCGATACACAGACAGTACAAAGCTCACGCTTCGCTCCTTGTACTCCTCCTAGAACCAAGAGGGGGCAGTGATATGGACCTCAATGTTTACTATATGATAGTCTGCTGCAAATTTCAAACATCTTTTGACACGTGGCAAGATATAGGTTTGTAGATCTTAATACCAGATGTCTTATGGTGGTGGTATGCCTTAAGAGCTTAGTTGCTAAAAACGTTGTAAAATTTTGTTCTACTTATGATGCTCAGAACTGCTCCTATTTCCATTTGGAGCCAAGATAGTATTTCCACTTCCTTTTCCCTTAGCTTCTATTTAAAAGCAAATTGGTGGATTCATGATTTATGTTCCTTCTGTCTAGGCAATGGTTCTGCTGGTACACCCGCACTCCATAGTTGTCTATTCCTTTTTATCTTGGTTGTTTGTATAGTTATCAAGTTCTGTAGAAATGTATGCAAATATCATGTGTTATACTTTTATCTTGCTTACAAGTGTATATGGTCGTGTACAGATTTTCGATGTGACTTGTTTTTACCGTTTGGTGCGTGGAATTGCTCATGAAACACTCTTCATATAGCACAATTCTCAAACACGAGTTCATGCATTTGCATGTACACGCTTCTGATGAGGAATGTTGTAATAAGCTTCCATTTCCAAGGCATATTTTATTACCTCTAGAGTATAGTTTTTTATTTATATTTAATGCAATCGAAGGTGTTTCTATCTTTTTCTTTTGATAGTTGAACAGTAAGAGCAGATAATATGCTCATACATTTGAAATATCCTTAAATTCCACGCCTAAAAATTGGATTGGACCTAAGAAGCACGAGCCCTTGGCGGGTTTTTTGCCTGTATAGGGTTAAAATCAAAACATTTTATCCGTATGGGGTTATTTGATAAGAAATTCCCTGCCTAGGGTGATTTGTGAGTGTCGTCAAAACGTCTGGCAACACATGATCAAGTATCGGCTGAAAGAATGCCGACACAGGTGCCAGAACCCAGCACTGAGAGCGGTTCACACTAGTGTCGAGTTGTTCAGGACCGACACACACTCATTGGTCCAGCCCTCCATCTTTCTTCTGTTATTTATCTTCTTCGGTGAAAAATTTTTGCAAACATACTGCGCAAACGCTGGAGGTGGAGTGGAGAAGCCGGACAGTTGAATGCAAAAGTTTTAAAGGTTTGAAAGGTAAGAAAAAAACATTATAGTGTATATTAGATATAAATATAAAATATTTATTCTTGTTTCCGTTTTTGGTCCCAGGAATTGCAATCTGTGGTGGTCCAGGGTATTGTGAGAGGGACTTTCGGTGGTGTAGATTCTTGGCATAAGGAGGTTAGTAAAAATTTATATTTATAGTGATTTTGTTATGCATGTAAAAAATAGGAAAATAGGAATATAGAAAAATAGAAAAATAAAAAAATAGTTAAATTAAAATATATAATTTTCTTGTTACTTATGTAAAAAATAATTAAATAAGAAATATAAAAGAATTAAATTGAATAAATATATGAAGAAAAATTATGTATGTTATTATTATAAGGTTAATAAAATATAAAATTATGAATAACAAAATAAAATTGAAATAATAAGAATGAAAAATATTAATTAATAAATTTATATTATAAAAATATAAGGAATTAAGTGAAATAAAGATGAATATATAAGCAATGTAAGTTAAATAAAATTGAAAATATTATTTTAAAATATAAATGACTGAAAATAAAAATATTAGATCAATATTAATTTAGACATTTGAATATTTTAAAAAGTTTGTAGTTATTTAAATGATTTTAATCAATAATAATAAATTACAATTTTATGCATGTAAAAAAACAAAAAAAGGGAAAGAGAAAAATAGGAAAATAAATAAATTAAAATTGATTTTTCGTTTTATTTATGTAGAAAACTGTATTTAAAAGTAAAAATGATGATGATATTATTATTGTTATACAAATATTATTATCTTAAAATAACAAAAAAATATAATTAGAAAAATATTATTTGAAGGTACAAATTGTTTAATACTAAAATGATATTGTTTTTATTAAATTTGGTTGCTTATATTATAAATTTGAAGTAAATAGTTTACTTTGTATATATAGATTTTAGATGGCATCATCTTCGTCTCGTAGTAGGGTGTTAAATCCCAGCCCCGAGGATGGTTCATTACTGCGCTATCAGTCTATTCATGTTTCAGAGCATATTTGGGATGATCGTGAACACCCAATATTGAGAGTGAGAAGAGGTCATTTCATACATGCTGGCATGGAGGGAGTACCAGTAGAGATTATTCCTCATTTGACAGTAGCAGGATTTGCTGGAGTAGCACAGTTGGCTAGTATTCCTATTGACCGCCAATTGATTACAGCGTTGGTAGAAAGATGGAGGCCAGAGACCCATACATTTCATATGCCCCATGGAGAGTGTGCTATTACTCTTCAAGACATTGCTATTCAGATGGGTCTTCGTATTGATGGAAGACCAGTTATTGCTCCTACAGGAGGTGACAGGGCACAAATTGTTGAAGATTTATTGGGAATTAGACCACCTAATTCTGCATTCATGGGGAGCAGCTTGAAACTTACTTGGTTGGATGAGCATTTTTCCCATGTGTGGTTGCACAACCAAAATCTCATTCAGCTAACTCGCTTTGCAAGAGCATATATTTTGAGACTTATTGGTGGGTTTATGTTAGCTGATCATTCTAGTAGCAGGGTCCCAGTTAGGTACCTTCCTTTACTTGAGGATTTAGAGATAACTGGACAATATAGTTGGGGAAGTGCAGCGTTAGCCTTCCTATACAGAGAGTTATGCATGTCCACGAATATTGATCGGTCTGGTATTGGAGGATTGACTCCACTTGTGATGCTGTGGGCGTGGGATAGGTTCCCATTTCTATCTCCGGGTGATCCCCCTTACACACAGAATGATCTTTTTTATGGTGCACGGTATGTCTATAATATTAAAACTTTCATTCAATATTTACACAACAGTATTTTATTACAAACAGTCATGCTAATATTTATGTTTTTATAGGTGGTTAAGATTTCAAAATTTTAAGAAGGGGAGAAAGGATCTAGCTTACTTTAGGTTCAAAATTGATCATTTGAAACGTGATCAGGTATGCGTTATTTGTTTATGATATATGTTATCATCAATTAATAATTATGAATAATTACAATAATATTTTGTACACTTGCAGTTTGTGTGGCAACCATATAGTATAGATTTGATGCATACTTTGCCTGCCATATGCACTGAGGGCATGCATATATGGAGAGCTATTGTGCCGCTTATTTGTTTCCAAATATGTGAATGGCACCAGCCCGATCGTACCATGCGTCAATTTGGGATGGTACAACATATTCCTCATGCTCCTTATCAGCCAGACTAGCTACATGACATTACTCTTAGAGGGAAGACTGCTAACAATTGGGAGTCAAAGTTCAGGGGCGTACTTGAGCATTGGGACAGGAGATTAGATTGGGTTGTGAGTAATGAACCACAAATTGGTCTACTGAGTTCGAACTCTGAATACATGCGGTGGTACCATACTCATACTAGACGATGGATGAGCAGAGATGCTGCAGTGTTTGCATTACTTGTACGTATAGATCGTTCTAGTAAATGATTTTGTTTGTTTAATAGAATCTAATCTGAATGTAATGGTTATGCAAGGAGATGCTCATGAGAGGGCCTATTACTTGTGTAATGATGGGAGGGACATATTTTCATTTGAGGAGATGAAGGATTTGTGTGAGACGATGTTAGCCTTGCAAAATAAGCAGGAACGTATCTTAGAGCCTTCATCCTCATGTGATCCTCCTATCCAGAGTGAAAATCTAGATGAGCCTCAGATTGACATTGGTATTGGTGAACAACGTCGGGAAGGCAAAGGTTTGCAACGTCGACGAACATCATTTCAGGTATTGTTACCTTATGCTTCATTGGGTCATTTTACTTAAATTATAACATGTTTCATTTGAACATACTTATGTGTTTAAAATTGCAGGCCACAGATTTTACATTGCCCCCTTTGCCCGAACGAGGAGATGGTGTTTATGTCATTGATTGCGCTTTCACCATTGTTCATGTCATTGATTGCGCTTTCACCCCGTTTGACAAAATATTCGACCAATCTACTATAGGTTGCTTTCACAAGGGCAGTAATTGGGAGATTTCTTGCCCCTTTTAAAACTTTATTCACTGACTCAGACAAATTAGTTATCATGTGACCATAACGCCGCCCTTCATGATCATAAGCCAAGCTCCACTTTTCCTTTGATATGTTGTCAATCTATGTTTGAACTTCAGGAGAATGCGAACGGAATTTATTAAGACCAGCTTCAAATCTTTGCTTGCAAGGTGTATACGCTACATTTAAATAAGTTATACAGTTAATGGTGAAAAATAAATATATATTCATAGATAATGTAAAATGTCATAGTGATAACATACTTACCTAATTTCATAAGCATACTCTTCATTGCGGAATTTTTGAATCTTCTATTGAAATTGCTTGCAATGTGACGAATGCAATAAACATGGTAAGCATTAGGAGGTTGCCACCCAATATGTGGATTAGACACAACACTTTTAATACTTTGATGGCGATCAGATATTAAACAAATTCCAGTTTTATCAGTAACATTTAGACGGATCATGGCTAAGAACCATTCCCATGCTGATAATGTTTCTCCTTCAACAATGGCAAATGCTATAGGAAGCACACTGTTATTGCCATCTTGAGTTGTACCAATAAGCAATGTTTGCTTATACTTACCATACAAAAAGGTACCGTCTACCTGTATTATAGGCTTGCAAAACTTGAAGGCTTCACGACATTGCCTAAACGACCAAAATACTCGATGAAAGACTCTGAATCTATTATCCATTACATTACCTCTCACATAATCATTGGTCTCAATTTTGTAAACTGACCCTGGAGCATGTAATTGCATGTATTCTAACCATCTTGGTAATGTTGCATAAGATTCATCCCAATCACCAAATATTGTCACAATTGCTTTTTGCTTTGCTTTCCATGCTTTTTTGTATGAAACTGAATACCCAAATTGGCCACTTATTCTCTCTTGGATTAATGAAACGGGAACAGAAGGTTCTTCTTTGACCATACCTATCAATAAAATTAAACAATACATATCAGCTAATGATCATATCCAAATCATTTTAAATACACAAATAAATATAATCTCAATTGAGTTTCACGTACCAATAATGCATGAACAAATAAAATTTGAATCTAACTTTTTGTGGTCTTGAGAAATCATAGTATTAACGCAGGTATGCATACCACCCCATCTCGTAATTTTCCACTTATTTGAATTTTTGGGAAGCAATGCTCTTACTTTCCAAGGACACCCGGAAATATGATTTACACACTTGACAAAATGAGTTGATGCTTTTGACTCAACCACAAAAAATGTTTGATGTTTCTTCATTGCATAATGTTTTATCGCCATCTTTACCTCCTCTTTAGAGTCAAATAGTTGTCCAACATATAATGTATCTCCTTGTACCCATGATTGTGACGAATGCAACTCCGAAAAATTCAATTCTTGATCAAGATGTTCCCAATTAATAGCAGTGTAGTGTGAACTTATGTTCCAAAAAGGTGTTATAGAATCTGTATTAAACTCAACAAATTTTAGTTAAAAATATTTAACAATTATTGTATTATATAAAATTGTACCTGCAGATTGTCCTTGCATAATGTTATTTCTTTCAGTGTTTGGAACTGTCATCATTGAATCGAAGCCATCTTCCAAATCAGTATCAGAAGAACTATCTAAAGGAATTTCTCCTTCATCTTCATAGTCATCATCGTACTCATCTTCGTCATCTGTAGATGCAGCAGTAAATATTTATTAACAAATTATAAAATTTTAAACATCATATAATTGAAATAAATATTATACATTACCTCCTCCAATTGCATACTCTTCTTCATTGTCACTAACAGACACAGTTGGGAGTGATACATTTAAACATAACAAATTTTCACCTACATGAGAAGTTTCACCAACCGCAATATCCACATATAACTCAACTACTCTTTCATGCCGTTCTTCACAAGCACTTATCATACAGTCAATGTCTTCATCATCACATACATCTAAAATTGTGTAATTTTCACTCCTTGAATCAACTAAAATTCGTGAAATTAGTCTAGAAATAACATTACTATTGCACAATTTCAATTTTGTATGTATTTTTTTTTTCAACATCTCAAAAGTAATTCCACGTTCTATTTTAATCATTTTCTTATTCCCTTCAAATATGATACCCTCATTTCCTTCGTACACTCTTCCATTCCAGTATAAAATAACCACAATTTCAGTCATCCTGTGTATCAAATTAAAAAATACAACCAAAATTATTAAAAAAGTTTACCTAAACAAATAGTAACAAAAATAATTACCACAACATTAAAATAATATATTTTTACATTTATATTTTCAATAATATTATATTAACATTAAATAAATTAAATTTATTACTACAAATATTTTTATTTTTATTTATTTATAATAATAGTAAAATTATTAATTCAAATTTATTTACAATAATAAAAAAATTTAAAACAATAAATTAATAACATTCTAACCTTTTTTTTTTCCAGCAGAAAAGCTCACAATTGCGTCCCCTCTCCTCACAATTGCGGAATGTAGCAGCAGAATGCTCGGCGGGAGCCTTTATATAGGAGGAAAATAGTGTCGGCATTCTTTCAGCCGATACACAAGTGTCGCATAAATAAAACCGACACACATGACTTTTGAGAGCGGTTCAGGTCTAACCGCTCTCAAAAGACCGTTTTAGAGAGCGGTTCGATTTGAACCGCTCTCAAAAGTCGCTTTAGAGAGCGGTTCTATTTGAACCGCTCTCAAAAGTCCGTTTTAGAGAGCAGTTCCGTTACAACCGCTCTCAGTTGTGGGGTCTGACACCTGTGTCGGCATTCTTTCAGCCGATACTTGATCATGTGTCGCCAGACATTTTGACGACACTCACAATTCACCCCAGGCAGGGAATTTCTTATCAAATAACCCCATACGGATAAAATGTTTTGATTTTAACCCTATACAGGCAAAAAACCCCTTGCAGATATGGAACATTACATCAACATAGTTACGGTAACATCCAATTTTGTTTATTTTTTCAATGTCATGCTTTATATTCACTTTCCCATTGGACACTGTTTTAACGCCATCTTTATTTATTGTTTACACCACCAATTTTGTGTGATTTCTGAAATTTTTGGCAACATGTTTAATATCGTCTAATAGTTAAAATTTAAAAGTGTTTTGCAAATGAATTTCGAAATTTAATTTTTGAAAGTGACTTTATACTTTTTGAAAATTAACTTTCATTTGCAAAAACAACTTTCAAAAATTAATTTGGAAGTAATTTTACACCTTCCAGAAACTAAATTCTGCAAGTCATTTACAAATCAATTTTAGAATTTAGGTTTTAGAAGATACTAAATACACTTGAAAATAAAATTCTAGAATTCACAATTTAAAAAGGGTGTTATAAATCGCAATTTCCAAACAAACCCATTTAACTAGGAATTTGGCTCAAGTACTGTTATGATTGAAAAAAGAGGAATAAAATAATACATACTCTTTAACACACTTCTGCCCATTGATTAATTTTTTAAGAAGTCTAAAGTAATTTTTTAAATATGATCAATTTATAAAATAAGTACTTTGACTTTTTTTAAAATAGATCAATCACAAGGTGTATTAAAGAATCTTGTGATTAAAGAAAGAGTATGGTAAAAAGAATATTGTACTTGGTGTGTGTATATATATATTTGAAAAAATAATATTCATTTTCTTCGCAGAATTTTGTTGATCTTTCTGTAAGTACGTTATTTAGTAAAGTAAATCAATGTGTTGAACATAATTAAGATGGAAATCCCACAGTAGCAGAACCTCTTAGTCTGTTTGCACCAATTTTATTAAAAGAACGCCATTTTATTAATATATACAGGAGATTAAGAATAAGAGGACTTCCGAGAATTACGGGAATAAATCTTAACTGTACAAGATTTAAAAATTATCTAAAATCATACGATTCTTTTTAAAAAATAGTTTTTATATTTTAAGTTTGATAATTGTATATGAGACGTGCACATATTATAGTTATACTTCCTTTATTCTTATTTACATGTTCAGAGAGGACAAATTTGTTCTCATTTATTTATCCTTGTAAAAGTTCAGCACAATATTATTATTTTCTACTACTTGTTCACATAAAATTTTTGAGTACAATACAAAATATTTACATTATTTGAGTAGTCTAAGTAAAAAATAACTTACTAATAAAGGGTATATTAAATTTACTAAATAATTCAAAATTAAATCTTTTTCTGTCATTTTCTCTATCTTTAAAGAGATAATAAAAACGAAAATAGTAATATGGTATGGCGCACGATGAAACGTTACCAACGAAGGGTCAGTGTCATACAGAATGTGTCTTCTAATTAACCTATCAACATATAAAAACATTCCTTAATCTGATTTTAATTTAGTTGAACGAATGGTGAAAAAAAGCGGCCGTAAAAAACTAATCTACCCATATGAATTTGATGGTACAGTAGATTCTTCACCTAACTTTAGGCTAACTATATGACATAATTAACCAAGAAAAATTGGCAATGATAATCAGAAACAGGCAAGAATTCCTAAGTAGACAGGTAAAAGCACCGGGTAGGGTTCCAGCACCACTTCTCTGCATGTTCTATCTATCTAGTTCTTGGTTATTGGATTCGTTTTTCGGAGTGCCATTGTCATGCAAACTTTCGCTAGATTCCTCAGCATTCGGCTTGCCCTGTATCATAGGACGTGTAAGCGATAATCTATACGAATGATGATCCGATCCTAGCCAAATGAACATACTATACAATTCGGGTAACACCTCCAAAGATTAATACCCCGAACAATAAATAGACAATTTTTTTATCCTCGAAACATGTTGATTGGAATTGAATTCAAATAACTGCGCACAAAAATAACAATTTTTTTAGCCTTGAAGTCAAGGAATTGCTAGATGGACTGCCATGGCATACCCATCCAATGGTGAATTCTTCCAGATTCGATTTAGCAACCCATAATTGGCATAGCAAAATACATGTCCTCTGCTTCAATACAAGTTACTGGGAGATGATGAGTGGACAAAGATAAGATTTTACCTTGTTTCTGTCACGCCAGCCTAGTCCAAAATTTAACAGACCAATTTTCCGTGAGGGGTTTTCTGACCTCGGGCTTTGTACACGACCAGTCCTACACAAAATACCTCCCATGAAATTGAGCCAAAATAACGTGGTCTCCACCAATAAATAGATTTAGCATATTCCAAATATACAGCGTGCTCTTGGTATTGGCATTCCTTCCCCGCAAATCCATGGAAACTAGGTTATGCTAAAGTCAAATGACTCAGATGACAGATAAAACATTATTTATGGTTAAGTGAACGAGTATTAGCAGCCTCAACTTCTGTAAGACTTAGATCAAGTTTACAATCTATAATATACAATCGTATTATATATCAAGTTCCAAGAGCTTGCAAGGGAGAATTATAACAGGCAATGACTAAAATAATTTGAACTCAAAGAAGATAAAGTTGCATCCAAAATCTAAAAGGTGATATATATTTATACCTTGGAGAGGAAACTGCTTTGGATTGGCCAGATTCATATTGAAGGGTAGCCTCCAACATACTTTCTGCCATAACGACCCGCTTTTGCATTTCAGCAACTGATTGCATGGCCTTCTCATACTTTTCCTGCATATTTATTATACTGGAAATAGATGTAATCATGTCTAATAAGATCCTTAATAGATAGCATAGGGTGGTCACTTATTTCTCTTTGGGAAATAAATCTACCACTCTTAGATATTAGAAAGCTTTTAAATGACATGGACATGCTGAGGGTATTTGGATGAAAACAAAGATGATGGGGAAATTTTGTATTTCTCAATTTGTGTAAATATAACTAATTTTATCCATTTTAGCCAAAAACATAAAGATGAAAACCTTTATAAGCCCATAGTGAATAAAATACAACCAACAGAAAATCTGATTTTCTTGCCCATGAACATTACCAAGAGTAAATATATTAGATGTAACAACATAATTTGAGTATATCAGTCTCAACTGCTCATACTTTCATCCATTCTAACAGGCAATAGTGTCAGGGATATTGCATGCGAACCATATAGAAGAGTGCCCAAATCTATATTAAGTATTAGAAGCAAATGTTAATGTTCTAAGCATGATCATGATCCAGAAATGAAGTTTTTGTTGTAAACCTTTTTTAATATTTGGAAAACATTGAGATGATATTCTAAGAATGATTATGTATAAGAATTTTACTCTAAAATAAAAACAAATGACTAGAATCACAATGATTATGAGAAGGGGGAGGGGCTACCTGAAGCATGTGAACTTCATATTTCTGAGCTGCAAGATCTTGCTCTGCTCTTCTGCGAGCATCTTCAGTAACTTTTTGGTCCTGCTCTAGCCGCATTAGGACCTGTACGATGGAGAAGATTTCAAAGTTTTATAAACATGTAGAGGCATTTTTCTTAATCTCTGTTTACTTATTTGTTTTGCATATAAGCTTACAGAAATAGACACTGGAGAAAACAGGTGCACACTAGAACCTGCAGCATGGCAGCTTCTTGTTTTTTCTTATCAGAAAGGGCTTCTTGTAGTTCAGCTACCTCCTGCTCTAATTGCTCAACCTACATGATCACAAACAGTTTTGTAAACCTTTGAAGCCATTTTACCAGAAAAAAACAAATTGTAGAGAAGAAAATAAATATGAACACAAAATTGTACATGGATACTGAACCTGAACAAGCTTTCTTAGTATTTGTATCTTTTATGGGGTTAGGTAAAAAGCACATCTGCTGATTAAATGATATTTAAATCAATATTTTTTATATTATTTATACTAAAAGATGCCTCAGGCAGGGTTTAGTATAGTGGTGTCTCCAAGATATAAACCATAAAAAAAATAGTTAAAGTTTGTGAGTAGCTATCTTAAATTTCAAAAATCTTCGTATTTTCTCTCTGTAATCTAAAGAAAAATACAGATTGACCAGAATATTCATGTCGAGATGTTATCAAGGATAAAGCAAGAAACATACGTCACAGTAATAATTTTGACTCAAAGGTATATGTCAAAAAATAAGCAGCTATGCTATACGTCATAACATTGAATCATACATGACAAAGATGTATAGGAGGCCTGCAAAATAATATCAGCAGCAGTAAATTAATAGAAAGTCCAGTAAAACTTAATCGAGGTTAAAAGCTTCAATTATATCAACAACCAATCCTAATCCCACTAGGTGTGGTCAACTATATGGATCGTCCAATGCCATTTGGCACTATCACCAAAAACCATAATTTCATGAAATCCATTTAAAGTCTTTTAATGGTTGCTCTTCAGATTTTCTTTAGTCTTCTTCTGCCCTTTCTAATCAGAGTACCTTCCATCCACATTTTGCACAAGCACATGTGCACTCACACACATAGGGCAAGGAGAAATGACAATTTCCATTTTTACAAATTAATAAGCAAAAATACACAATAAAATACCAAAAATATAAAAAAATCACACAAGAAGATGAATAATCCAAATGTTGGATATACCCTTGCACTCAATTGCAGACGATTATCTTCCTGCACCATCTCCATTAAAGCTGTTTCTAGCTCCTCAGCTCTGTTCAAGGTTCAAAACACACACATGGAAATGAATTAATAGTCTTCATAAGATATCATGACAATATAACTATATACATAAAGTGACCATATTAACAAAGCAAACATGGAGAATAAAGGGGAAAGGATACAGATAGGACATCAAAAGTGCTAAATGCAATGCATTATCAAGATTTATTAAGTGGCTTGATTTACAAGAAAGAAGACCTAATTGGAATATAAAGTCAGAAAAAAAAATGAAGAATATTTCACAAATGGCTAAAGAATATGGCAAAGTATGGCTCTAGAAAGATGAATATATTGTTGGTTGAGAACTATTTCCAAACCACTTTTTGGGCTTGATTTGAACATGATCATTGAAATTTCTGGAAGGACTCTCATGGATAGAATTTGAAATACTCTATTGGCAGCAGATAGAAAAGTAAACAGGGATAAGCATGAAGCTAGCTGCATTTGTTTGATGATTACTTCATGAACTTAATTTGTTTTTAAAATAATATTCTAGAAACCTGTTTGCAACTTTATAAGTGCCAGGCTGAAGAACAAATCAAGTTATCTTAAAGAAAATGAACCAACAAAATAATAACCTGAGTGTGGCAGATCTTTTCTCCTCCAGCAATCTGCATAACTCAACCTTCAACCAAACCACCTGCACAGAAGCTGTTAATGATTGAAAGTTTGAAACTTACATAGTTGCACAAGAGTTGGTTATAATAGAGCAACTACTTGTAGGCAAAATACTTTTAGATGATTATGTTGAGAATATCTACTCCTAATTATTATTTATTGTACTTATTTATTGCATTATCTTTGTAATTATCTGTCATTGTCTCTGTGATTATTAGAAGGTATTCTAGGATATTTTCTCATGATATTAGGATTAGACTCCTATGTATACATATAAATTATAATATATAATTAAATAACATAATTCAGAATTTCAAGTTGGTATCAAAGACTTCAATCATGGGGTCACTGCTTCCACATAGTAAACCCTAGCTACTTTTATTGCAACACCCAAAACCTAGTCTTCATTACAGCATAGGTCTGCACCTTCATTGTGCTTAAGCACCCTTTTTTTTTTTCCTCTCTCTCTCTCTCAACCACTGAAAGCCCCTGCTGCTGCTGCTGCTGCTGCTGCAGCCGTTGTCACTGTTACTGCTAGACCACCGATCAACGCTGGCAACCACATCATCCGGAACACACAGACAAGACTGGCCAAACCCCACATCAATAAAATACTAGGGTGGATTTATAAGTCAAATTCGAGTTTAATGGTAGTTAAATTTTAATCTGCTTCATACAATGCCTTTTTTTTGGTTTCTTTTGGGGGGAAGGGGGGGTGTTGAGGAGGAGGAAAGCGAATGTTGAGGTGTAGAGGAAGCAACCTGTTCATGGAGATCTGGTAGGGAATCTACTTCCGAATCAACATTGAGGCTATTGAGCAGTTCATCTAAATCAGAGGAATGGGAATCTAACTGCACGTTCTTATCAGCTACCATATCATTTCCTTCACTGATTTTTCTTTCCTCTACCAATGGCCCTCGCTCGTGCTTGAAACTGTACAGTTTAGATGCAAGTCCTTTGGAATCCTTCCAAACCCGTCCCTTATTTGCCCTTTCTTCTATGATATCTAATATAGATGGCCGGTGCTTTTCTCTCAGTTCCTTCAATCTAGCCTCGGTCACAGCTAGAAAACCCATACAAGCAGTAAAGACAAGCTGGCTACTATCAAATGTTGAGCCAGCAAGTGATTGCAATAGTGTAATTGCATCACCTGCATCTTTTGTTGTAACTAATGCAGGACCTAGAATAAGAGGATTAGAAATTATGTTGCTTTAAAGAAATAAAAAATAATTTATTTTACTTTAACTACTTACACATGCTAGTTTGCACAGATCACTCATAAAACACCGGAAAACAAAATTCAATACCATATAATTCCATTAGAGCCAGTGCTGTTCGAAATAGCATAACACGGTTCCCTTCAAATAGTATCACATCCCAAACTCGAAGAACTGAGATGGAGAAACACAGCATAAGGTAACATATCTAAGAATATACCAAATTCAAAATCAATGCTGTAATATTAAAAGATTAAAAAAAAAATCACTCCATATAAATCTCACCACTTTCCCAAGGAATCATGTTTACAAAGATTGATAGAAACCAAGGTCCAGATATCCATGCCACCTGCACTCCCAAGTAATCCAGATGATTAACTGCACCAAAAGCATCAGTAGAATAAAAAAAACTATCCAAGCTGATTCATAGAGACAATTACAAGAAGACTACTAAAGAGAAAAGATGATAAAGACAAACCCAGTTTAGGAAATCTTTCACGCATCAATTCCTCAAAAACAAGCTGGTCCACCTGACAATGTAAAAGCTTCTGTGATTGGCAAAGAGAATTTACAAGTACTTCAAATATCAAACAGACATGCAATTTTGACTTCGGAAACAGAATAAATAATGTTTTCTTCTTTTATTAAGACAGAAAATTTCCATACTTGGGATTCTATCATTTCCTCTGTATAATAGCCTTCAAAATAATCGTCAATAATGCCGACAAATGTCCTGAGATATCCCAATAAACCAAATTAAATAATATTAATGTAGGACAAACCAAGTGTTTTGAGTAAAGCAATACAAAAATGCAGTCAAAATTTTAAATAGACAACATTTTTAAAACATTGAATTTCCTTTATAATCAGTTACCAAAGATGGAAATGAATTGATGTGTGGACCAGGTTGGACAGCTCCACATGGGTCAGCTTAAGCCTGTAGTTGCATGAACTAACTCATATAGGCCCCACATTTAAATGGGCCTGCAATTAGAAAAACCATTGCACATATCTACCAATATTTTTTTCCCCTCAAATTTCTTGATTTGTGGGCTGGCCCAAATGGTCTGTGGGTCAGTCCAAAATAAATTTTTCTTTTTTACTTTAAAAATATTTTTAAAATTTTTTCATGTGCCTATGAGTTTCGTGAATCAACTTGCATAGATCCACAATTAAACAGGCCAAGATTTTGCCTGCACAAGCTATTTGCCTATGTTGAAAAGAGGAGCTAACAAGGGAAAAATATATGACAAGCTTCCAAAACCTACCAAAAGGCATTCTCTTCTGGCATAAGCAGCAGCAATAGACCAGCAAAGAAGTTCATTGCCTGCATGTATTTCAATAACAAAATTTAATGATGAAGAATATGATGATGATGATGATGACAACGATGACGATTACTCACCAACAAAAAATATTATCAGATACCATCATCACAACCAGTAACCCACCCCCCCCCTCCCCAAAAAAAAAAAAAAGAGAAAAAACCACCACCACCAAAAGGAATCTTAACAAATCTTGTACCACAAACAAATACGATAATCAACCTTTCATACTGTTAATTTACTGAAAATAGAAAGTTATAGATACATAATTATAAATATTGTCGTGATTTGACCATAGTTCACAATTGTCACAAAAGAAAAAACAAATAAATATGAGGGCCTGCTAGAGTGCTAGACAAACATTGGTTTGCAAAGTAGTTGTTAATAGTATAACATGTAAGTCAGACACATCATTTTTTAAGTTCTTCCAAACCAAACCTTTTCTTTCTATTAAATGTTTGATAGAATAGGAATTTTTGAATGATGGAAAATGTATTGAATAGGCTCAGTCGAACTAAAGCTTTCTGAATTGTTTGAGCTCTCAAGCGGCTCAATTGCCCTATTCTCCAAATAATACCCGCTGTCTATTCTATCTATCATAACCTTTATTTAAACTACATCTAATGGAAAAAACAAACGTCATAACTGAAAGATAATAACAGAAAAATAAAAACAGCAATTAAATTTTGAAAGCTAATCTATTTCCTAACACCTTTCCTAAACTGTTGCCTTTTATAAACTTTTAAACCCTCTGGAAATTTGTTTCTAACAACACTCCCCTCTTGAACAACCACCTAGTCCTCAAGGTGAAATGCTGGAAATGCTATCTGAATGTCTTCAGCAACCTCCCACGTGCTCTCATGATCTGGCAAGTTCTTCCACCTAATCAGCAGTTCCGTGTCTCCTTGGCTGTTGGTCTTCACTGCCAGGACCTCTTCGGGTTGTACTAGTAACTCCCAATTTTCATTAAGACTGGGGAGTAAGGGTTGACTCCTCACTCCGGCTGCCACACATTTTTTAAGCAGAGAAACATGAAAAACAGGATGTATTCTTGCCTCCTCCGGTAGTTCTATCTTGTAGGAAACCTCTCCAATTTTCTCCATCACCTTGTAGGGGCCGTAGTATCTAGAACTGAGCTTTTGATTGGTTTTGGTGGCTAGAGTCTTCATTCTATAAGGCTGGATCTTTAAGTAAACCATTTCTCCTACTTCAAGCTCCATTTCTCTCTTTTTCTTATTAGCTTGGGCCCTCATTCAGTCTTGTGCCCTATTCAGCTGCCACTTTAAATCTCTGAGGATGCGGTCTCTTTCCGCTAGAGCCGAGTTGACCTCCTCCACTGCGGATGTACTGACCTCCCCTCGTATGATAGCCGACGGGTCTCTACCATATAATGCCTTGAAGGGGGTAGTTCCTGTTGAGTTGTGATATGTGGTGTTAAACCACAACTCAGCCCAACTCAACCATATAATGCCTTGAAGGGGGTAGTTCCTGTTGAGTTGTGATATGTGGTGTTAAACCACAACTCAGCCCAACTCAACCATCTAGCCCATTGCTTCGGCTTAGTGCTGGAAAAACACCTCAAATAAGCCTCCAAGCACCTATTTGTTACTTCCGTTTGGCCATCGGTTTGTGGATGGTATGCTGAACTGAACCTTAGGTTGGTCCCTGCTACTTTGAATAACTCCTTCCAAAAGGAGCTCATAAAGACTCTATCTCTATCTTAAACAATTGAGGCTGGGAATCCATGCAACTTCACCACCTCTTTGTTGAACAAATCAGCCACGTCCTTGGCTGTGTAAGGGTGAGCTAAGCCAATGAAGTGACTGTACTTAGTTAGTTGGTCTACCACCACTAGGATAGTATCCCAGCCCTGTGACTTCGGTAGTCCTCCAATGAAATTCATGGAGATATCATCCCAAACCTGTTGTGGAATCAGCAAGGGCTGCAAGAGTCCAGCTGGGCTTAAAGTCTGGTACTTATTCCGATTGCAAGTATCACAAGCAGCTACATACTCTTGAATAGTCTTCCTCATTCCTTCCCACCAAACCAAGCTTGCAATCCTCTTGTAGGTTCTGAAAAATCCTGAGTGGCCCCCTATGGCGGAATCATGAAACTGTGAATTTTTAGGGAGTACCAACTTTCCTTTATGGAAAAGCCTTCCATTTTTTAGCTCATAGTTGCTGGCTATAGGCTCCCCTTGTATAATCTTTTCTATGATGTCTGTTAACCTCTCATCCCCTCTGATCTCCTCTAACCCTGCCCATTCTTGGGAAGTAATTGTAGAAAGGGCCGCTAGTTGAAGCTTCCGGGAAAGCGCATCTGCAACTCAGTTTTCCTTTCCAGCTTTGTATTTGATTTCAAACTCGAAGCCCATGAGTTTGGATATCCATCTTTGCTGCCCTTCACCCAATACTTGTTGATCAATTAAAAATTTGAGGGAATTTTGGTCTGTGTGCACCGTGAATTTCCTTCCAAGCAAGTAGTGCCTCCACCTCTGCACTGCCAGGGCAATTGCCATTAACTCCCTCTCATACACAGATTTCATTTGGTTTCTGCTTGAGAGTGTATGACTCCAGAAAGCAATAGGCCTTCCCTCCTGCATCAAGACAGCCCCTAATCCTGTTCCTGAAGCATCGGTTTCCAACACAAATTCCTTTTCAAAGCTAGGGGCTGCTAGCACGGGCAAGGAAGTCATGGGCTTCTTCAAAGTTTCGAAGGCTGTTTAGGCTTCCATGTTCCAACCAAATCCATCCTTCTTCAACAACATTGTGAGAGGCAAAGCGAGCTTTCCGTAATTCTTCACGAATCTTCTGTAGTACCCAGTTAAGCCCAAAAATCCCCTCAATCCTTTCACCTCTCGCAGTGCAGGCTAGTTAATTATGGCTTCAATCTTCCTGGGATCAGCCTTTACTCCTTCCTTAGAGATAAGATGTCCTAAGTATTCCAACTTTGCTACCATAAAACAACATTTTTTCTGGTTGACATACAACTGGTTCTGTCGCAATAGTTCCAACACCTCCCTTGCTTGCCTTACATGCTCTTCCTTGGTCTTGCTGTAGATTAGTATGTCATCAAAGAAAACTAACGCAAATCTCCTCAAGTGGGGTCGGAGTACTTGATTCATGAGGGATTGAAACGTGGAAGGGGCATTGGTTAACCCCGAAAGGCATTACCAAGAATTCATAATGCCCCTCATGTGTTCGGAAAGCTGTCTTTTCAATGTCATCTTCTTTCATCCTAATCTGGTGGTACCTAGATTTTAAGTCCAGCTTAGTAAAGATTTTAGCTTCGCTCAACTCGTCTAACAGCTCTTCTATTATTGGAATGGGGAACTTGTTCAGTCTTGTGATGGCGTTCAGGGCTCGGTAGTCAATGCAAAACCTCCACCCTCCATCTTTCTTCTTTACCAACAACACGGGGCTTAAGTACGGGCTAATACTAGGCCTGATGATGCCAGTCTCTAACATCTCATCCACAATCTTCTCAATCTCATTTTTTTGAGAGTGCAGGTAACGATAGGGCCCAATATTTGGTATGGAAGCTCCCTCCTTTAGGACTATAACATGATCGCATCTCCTTGCAGAGGGTAATCCCTTGGGCATTTTACTGATGTCAGAAAACTCATTGAGCAGCTCACTCATGGTTTCGGGTATATTTTGTGAGGTTTCTTCTTTGGGTTGAGGCTCCACTGGGGTTACCAAAACACCTTTGCCTTCCCCCTTCAGCGCCTTCAAGGCCATCTTGAACGTGGCCCCATTCTTGCTCAGAGATGGGTCTCCCTGTATAATCAGGATTTCTGCGCCCTAGTGTAGAGCTGAGAGAAGTTTGTTGTGATTGTCCCCAAACTTTGCAACCAGTCCATACCCAATACCACATCCACGCTTCCCAGTTTGATGAGGAAGAATGTCTGTATTATTGTCACTCCCTGCACCTTGAGCTCGACTCCTTCGCACACTCCTGTACTCCGGTGCTGTGCTCCCGTTCCTAGCTCCACTTTGTATTCTGGGGTCTCTGTCACTTTTAGCCTCAATTGCTCGACCAACACTATGTGCAGGAAATTTCCTTCAGCGCCACAGTCCACCAGAATAGTGATATCGCGGCCTTGAAGACTCCCTCGCACCATGAAAGACTTCTTGTTGGTGAACCCCTTTAAGCTTTGCAATGAAATCTTGAATATGCGAAGTCTGGTTTCCAGGGGAGGTGCTTCTTCTTCTTCTACCTGAGTCTCATCTTCCTCCCCCGTCCCTTTGCCTTCACTTCCTTCCACTAGTTCGAGCCGAAAGTGTCTGTACTTGCACACATGCTCCTTATTCCATGGGTCCCCACACTTGTAGCATAGTCCTCGACGATTTCGATCATGGATTTCGGCTTGAGATAATCGTGGTCGCGGCTGGGTATTATGTGGTGGGTCTCGTTTGGGTTGCAAGTCACGCATGGTGTTATTGGGCCAGGCTCTGGTTGTTGTCTATCCCCTTTTTGAGTAGGACGAGCTATTGGGCCTACTGTTGCTGGCCCCTTTGGCCCACTGGGCGACTTGGTTATTTCTCCAAGCTCGGTTTCTCTCTTCTAGAAGGATGGCCTTATCCTTCATCACCATCAACGACTCCAGCTCCAAGCTCCTTAGCTCTGCCCCGATCTCCTCTTTGAGTTTGTTGAGAAAGACTCCGATCTGTACCTCCATGTCAAGATGCTTAAGAGGACGCGAGAGTTTCTCGAACTCCTCTATGTATTCCCGCACAGAGTTGGTCTGTCTTAGGCGAAACAGTGCTCCAAAGGGGTCCCTGCTCGCACCTGGTTGGTAGCGACCTAGCAAGGCGCTTTTGAACTGGCGCCACGAAGGGACCGTCGTATGCTCCTACCAAGCATAAAACCAGTTCAGAGCCGCTCCTTCCAAGGCGAGGAGCACCACATCGAGGCGCTCATCACCGGCAATGCGTTGAAGGGTGAAGTACCTCTCAATCTTCACCAGCCAGTTAACTGGGTCGTCGCTGGAAAAAATTGAAAGTTCAATTTTTCGATCACGGTCTGAGGGCGGGGAGTAGTAGCGTCGGCGGTCTCGAAACGGGGAATGGTGGTGCCGGCGTCTGGAGGAATCTTTAGGCTTGCACGGGGACAGGGATGATTGTCCGTGGTGGGGGTCGGGGGAGGCTGAGACCTCTGATCTAGATATGGGTCTCCACCTTCCTGCAGATTGGCGGCGGACAGCCCTGGGTGGTGTGCGGTCACGGTGGCGCGATCGGCCCCGCATAGTCATCCGCTGCAGCAGCTCTTCCAACGTCTTCTCCACACGCTCCAAACGTTCAGACTCCATTGTTTCAACAAAGAGGTATCTTCGCACCCTAGGATAGAGCTTTGATACCAGATTGATAGAATAGGAATTTTTGAATGATGGAAAATGTATTGAATAGGCTCAGTCGAACTAAAGCTTTCTGAATTGTTTGAGCTCTCAAGCGGCATAATTGCCCTATTCTCCAAATAATACCCGCTGTCTATTCTATCTATCATAACCTTTATTTAAACTACGTCTAATGGAAAAAACAAACATCATAACCGAAAGATAATAACAGAAAAATAAAAATAGAAATTAAATTTTGAAAGCTAATCTATTTCCTAACACCTTTCCTAAACTGTTGCCTTTTATAAACTTTTAAACCCTCTGGAAATTTGTTTCTAACAATGTGCTACCATGGTTCACAAAAAAATAGCTTGTTCTTTTGACAGTTTTTTTTTCCTCACTGTGCTTTTCATTTTCAAGAGAACTAATCTTTTTATCAAAAGAAAGATTAGATCAAAAACATTAAAGCACAAGTTTCAACATAAGACAAGAAATGGAAGGAGATTTGAAAACTAAGAGACACATGAAAAACCCAAAAGCACTTTCCAGGTTTTTGGTGCATTAATAGCTATAAACTCATTCTGTAGTTCTTGAAAAAAAACTTCCATCATCAGTTATATGTCATAATTTTTAAAGCAGATAATTAAGTGGCTAGATGATGAAGAAACTAGGTTAGGCATTTATTGTCTAAGCAAATTTATTTCAATCATATATGAAATCTCTATCTCAACTGTAAGTGAAAACATAGAAATGAACAAAAAAGCTTACACACACACAGGTTTTCAGTTACATCATCAATAACAAGAAATTTTAATAAAAGGGAAAGTGATCAAAACAGCTTTTGGAGATAATAACTTTGAATTTGCCAATGGTGCCATGTATTTCAGTTTATTTAACCCTTGCATGGAAAATACTTATTTGGATAAGGATGGAAATTTTATGAACAAGAAGTCCAACGAGAACTAGTAATAGCTGAATCAGTATTTACCAAGATTCTTTTGGACTCCAGTTACCTGACAGTACCCAACAGAGGGGTTATGACGAGCATATGCTAACAATAAACGCCTCAAGGAATTTCTGCCATTTTCGTCCAAAGCAGGATGACCTGGGAATGTTCGTGGTATGTCCTGAGAATGAACAGTACAATTTAGTATAAGGAGAGAGCCAACTTGCAAAATAAAGAAAAAGATGCAGCACGTACAAATCAAAATAAAGTCCAAGGCGCATGCAGCTAATGACCTTCTCAATCTGCTTTTTCCATTTTCCCAATGCAGCAGATTGGACATCTTGCTCCACGTTTTCACCACTGTTAGTTTCTTGAGCTAGCAGATCCTCATAATAGCTCTCCACCCTTCGTGTCTTCACACCTACAAAGGCTTGCCAGACCTGTAACAATAATATTGTAGTGTAGGGAAGGCTGCAGTAATTTTCCCCCCAACAAAAGCAAGAACCTAAATGAATTAGAAAAAAATTACCTCTCCTCTAAGATCCTTTGGGACTCCTCCTTGAACAAGGGACTCCAGTTCTTTCCACCGGGAGAAAAGTTCATGTATGTCTTGATCTACTGAAGCATTTTCTGCCCTTGAGCCATTGATGCCATCATCTTGGGTCTCATTAGTGAAGACCGATTCCTGAATATCCTCTTTAAGAACCCCTTCTACAGGTTCAGATTCTTCTATAGAGGGAAGATGGTCATTGTTAGCATTTATTTTCTCACCTTTCATTTTCTTTCCCTGGTTGACACGAGAACTCAATATTTCTTCAATGGCGGTAAGAGATGGCCTAGTTTCAGCCCAGCTTTGAACCTTACGGATCTTTCTTTCTTCTGAATGGCGTGGTTCTTTTCCAGAATTATTTCCAGTTATACTATCAGAAACAAACTTCCTGCCACTTGAATCATCGTCTTCACTAACCCTCCCTGGACTAGTACCTTCTTTTATTTCAGTACCTCCAGAAGACGTACTGTCACTTGAGTCACCACCTTTGCCAACCCTATCTAGAATTGTCTCTTTTATTATATCATTACCTTCAGCAGACTTCCTGCCACTTGAGTCATCTCCTTCACAAACTACAACTGCAGTTGTCTCTTCTTCTACCTCTGTACCTTCAGAAAACTTCCTGCTACTTGCATCATCCCCATTGCTTAGCCTATGTGGGTTTTGCTCTTCTTTTATCTCAGTATTTTCGGGCTCTGCTGTCAATGTTTCTTTATGTTTGTTCTCAAAAGAAGTTTCATGAGATGATTTGGCTACCTGTTCAAGGAAGTTTCTCCATTTATCTGATCTTTCAGCTTCCTCCTCCTGATATAAAGAAAAATACATTAGTTTAATGCTGATTGTTATAAAAAAGGCTAAACTGCAACACTTCTATTGCCTTTTCTTTGGTTATTCTGGGAAATTTGTTTCTTGAAATCAGAAGGAAAAAATGGGAAAAATTGCATGTAAATTCAATTATTTCTTATACTAATGCCATATTACACAAGGAACATCTAGGCAATTGGTCGCAATTATTAGAGGGCAAGCCTTGGCACAACAGTGAGGTTGCTGTCTTGTAGCATGGAGGTGACAGTTCAAATCCTAGAAACAACCTCTCTGCTTGTGGAAATAAAGCTATGTACATCCACCCTCCTCCCTCCCCAAACCTGTTAAGTGGGTCTCTCATGCACTGGGATACTCATGTCTATTTGTATGGCTACACACATGCATATTTTTAAACCAATAGGAAAACGTCTATAATCTGCCCCTTAGGTTAATTTCTTAAAAAATATTATCTCAAAAAATATAGAATATTTTTTCTTCCATTAAAGAGAAGACATATGACAGTAGCTGTTTGAACAAGTATGCAGTTAAGGTTATAAGTTGTTGTTCATTCTTGATCTTGTTGGTGCAACTACTCCCTCCTTTCAAATTATCTATTACTTTGTGAGTTTATTTATTTCAAAACACTTATCACCTTAGAAAATCAAGAATGCATAAATGACATTTTTTTTTCAATAATACCCCTATTTATAGATATCTCACCTAAATTCTTAATTAATTCACAACTACACTCTAATTACTTTTTAATGAGGGTATTTTAGTTTAAAAAATATTATGTCAAAGTAATTGGTGCAATTAATAATTCTCTTAAGATTTGTATATTACTTTAAACACGGGTAACTTGAAATGGAGAGAATAATAACTATTATATGATTAGCACAAAATTATCTGTCACAACCAAAGCTTTGTTATTTTTTACTAATTAAGAAAAGAATTTGGGGAAGGGGGGAATCTCCTTTCATTATTTGCCCAATCAAAGAACTATGATTGTCCTCTGAATAATGGCGGACCCTAAAATGCTACTTTAATTACACTGATTGTAGGCAAAAAAATACATTTATCTCACAACCAAATGTTTTCGTACATGTGTACTTGAATATGGGATTCAAACATTAAACCTGGATCAGAAGAAACATAAAAGCAAAATTCAAGTATAACAATAAATACCTTGTAGATAGAAGAATACTCCCTGTATCTTTGTGCGTATTGAGGCCTTAATGCAAATCCGTAAGAATCCCTATAAACAAGACACGTAATTATTTCTCTAACAGAGAGACATAAAAAAAAGAGAAAGGAATAAACTACCACCTATTTCCAAAACCAGATGCATGCGATTCAACACAGCATAGAACGTAAACTACAGTTTCCAAACGATTGAATAAATCGAATTACAATCCCTGGGAAAATACACAAATATGCATAGTTTTACCATATACGCTACCTGGAATCAACCTCCAATGAGCGCTTACTCAGTAAGGACAACAACATAGTTTAAGAACAGGTACAGTTATACAGCCCATAGCTTTTGCTTTGAAAACAAGCCCACAATGCTAACGCTAACACCACATTTCAGACTCAACATCCAACTACGCACGTTACACTGATTCTAAAACGAACTCTTAACTAAAGAAAAAGGAGTTATCGCGTTCCCATTTTATGATCGGAATAAAAACGGATACGATGAAGTGTTGTATGAGAGTCGGTGTAAACGGTGAAGAAACGTTCCAAAATGGATCTGAGAAGTAGCGAAATGTTAGGGTTGAAGGACGCGTGGTTATTGTGATGATTATACATGATATGTGAAGGAGTGTGTGTGTGTGTGCATACCTTTTGGGGTGGAAATTGTGGTCGTGGAGGAGATTGAAACCGAAGCGCGTCATGTTCGGTTGAGTTGGCGCGAATACGAAGGGGAAGGAAACGGAAGAGGGAGGGTTTTGGGAGTGTGATTCGGAGGAGGATCGAAGGGTAACTCAATCTTCCTTCTTTCTCTTACTCTCTCTGTATTATGAATCCACCTAGCTTGCCGCCGGTTTTTTGCAACTTGTGTGCTTCTGCAGTGGTAGCCGTTGATGGTATGCTGCCACGTGTCATTTTGAGGGAGCATGCTAATTAAATTAATTAAAATATACTAGTATTGTAATGAGAAGGAAAATGTATGACTTTCAATTTATCCAATATCAGTTTTAATAATTTTTATTTATTAATTTCTTCATAATTTTATAATATTATTTAATAAGTTTCTAATAAACAATATTTTTTAAGTTTATCTTTTTTTACTAAAATAATAAAGAAAATTATAAATATTTTATTAAAAGTAAAAAATATCTATTAGAAGGTATTGTTAATATTGTATTGTTTGTTGTCAGAGTTCAATATTTATCGCCATTGCCTTTTTTCGTTGTTGTTTATTATATTAATTTTTGCGTAAAGCATACTTGCATATTGCATTCATTGTAAAAGTAACATAAAAAATAAGTTACGTGGTTTAAATTTCAGTAACTCTAGAATATTATTATATGTTTCTAAATTGTATTTTTTTTAAATCACTAAGAACTAATTTTATAAGGTAATTAAATTAAATAAGTTTTGACATGTAAAATATACCTAGTATGTTGTAACAAAACAAAAAATGTAATTTGTTTTTTATAATCGAATGAGTCCACGCTATCAGAAAACGTCTTGCAAAAATTCACAATTCGTGATAACTATTTTTAGTGCATTTTCCCCATACTTTGTGCATCTTTATTTGATACGAAATATAAAATTACACGACTTATATACTGATTTTCACCCTATTCTTTCAACTTCAATTTTCCTCTCTTTTTTTTACAAATTTTTAATATTATTTTATGAAAATATTAATTCTTAAGACCAATTTTAAATATTTTTAAAAGAGTATGATTTTATTAGAAAAATAAATATATCATCAGAAATATAAAAATATAATAAATATTTTTTAATATGTTGGAACATTATGGATGTAAATACATGCGCAAACAGGTAATGTGTCTTTATCTTTATTTTACGGTTTTAAAATAGAAACTTTAAAACTAATATTTTACCTTTAACCTTCTTTAATGATCATTAGCTTGTTTTGTTCAAAGTAAAAAAAAATAAAAATTCCAGTATCCGACTAATGTGAAGTGTAAAACGAAAAATATATTCATAAAAATCTAATTTTGTATATTGTATTCTCCTATTAATAGATAATTAAATATTATCTTTCAATTGTAAATCCGGATATGAAAGGTTTGCTCCACTGAATAATCACAACTCATTGGATAAGCGATAAAGATAAAGGGAAAAAAAAAAACTGTTTAAGCGATGCTCAACCAGTTCAGTTGTATTTAATTAATAAATATTAAAATTACTGAAGTGATCTATTATTATCTAATAATCTCCTACTCTTATATTGTTAAAATTTTAACTAATTCCTGAAAGTACGCTTTCTTCATTGCCATGGCCTAGTGGTACTTTAACTATGATATACTGATAGTATAAAGATTTTTACAGTGTCACCTAATTAGAATATGACTTTTTAATTCTTACAAAAGTAAATCACTCTGATTGATATAACAATCTATGATTAAATAATAGTGTAAAAATGTATTTCAAATTCTAAAAGATCGTATAACTAGTAAATTCCTTCAGCACTTCTTTTTTCACAAGCATGTAAAAATTTCATACAATAAACCTTTGCTCACAGTTGAGATATCAAAGTTTTATACGTAATATAACATAGTTCAAGTAGGATAATACTATATTGATCAGTGATCACAAGCTGGTACATAAACATTGTTACGACATCAAACATACAAGCTTAAATTTGAACATAATTATGACATCAAACTATCCTGCAAATCTAGCATATAAACACAACAATATTTGACTGAAGATGCATCCCATGAATGAAAAGGATGCTTTATTGGTTACATCTTAGAGGGCCCTCAGCGATCCAACGTTCACTGTTGAGGCTGCAGAATAGAAATGCGAAATCTTTAATGAAGTAGCAAAGAGATCAGTAAGAAACTAATCACAATTCTTCGAATCAAAATCAATAGTTAATAGATTCATAATATATGTAATACCAGAAAACGCTTCTTGAAAAGATCAATAATATCCTGAGGATCGACTCTTGTCTGTGTATAAGCATCAATCTTGTTCACCTCCTGTAAAAGAAACATTTTTTGTTCACAAATGAATATCACTTCTGTAACCAGTATATCAGAAGGGTTAATAGTTAGGATTTTATCAATGGCATGAGATTGAGGGCTAAGTTCAAATGGAACAATCTGTTAAAACTTGCAAAGCAAATGGAGAAACTTGCTTGAAGTTCAGACTGACGATTATGATGAATTCATAACATAAATTAAGTATAATATCCATTAACAAGGGAAGAAATTTTACACAATTGATTCTTAGTGTACCTTAATCCATGCAGCAAGTTTAGGTCTTCCTTCTGTGATGTCATGCTTCAACGCCTCAGCAAACACAATCTGGAATCTTTCAACAAAAGGAATATAGGCAATATCCACCTGATCATCACAAGCATTTACTAAAATTATATGGAAGAAAAGCTGTGGTCATTGATAATATGTACCTAGTATACTACTTTTGGACCAAATCATGAGTACTTTCTTTCATCAGATACAGCATGAGCCATGACAAGCATAAACAGCCTGAAAGGCGGCAAATTTAAAAGGAAAACAAAAAATTTGAAGACCACCGAACTGATTTTAACTTACCAAACTAAATTGACCAAGAAAGAATGGCCCATCATCAAATTTACCAAGAGCATTCTCCAAGTATTCAAAAGCAGGACCTGATTTAAAATACCAATTTTATGTACCAATATATATTTGAAAAAAAAAAAAACAATTTCCTGTATTTACAAAAGCAAATATATTGCTTACTGGATTGCTGTACAGGATCCCCTTTCAATGAAATGAACACGTCTTTGGTGAACGTATCAACATGAGATATCAACTGCTCACCAAACTCTTTCTTGGCAGGATCCTAGAAAAATTTTAACTTAACATCATGAGTTCATTCTAACCAATGAAAAGAGATGATTGGCCATGATGGGCAAAAAAAGAATGTGTAATTCTTACACTGGGAAACAAAGTTGTCCCTTCAAAGTTTGCATCTACATATTTAATCAAATCAAGACTTTCTCCCAATACCTTGCCATTGTGCTCCAAGGATGGCACCTATATATATATATACACACATATATTAGGAAAGAAACTCACTCATCAACTAGCTGAATCAAATCATCTCAGTCAAGTCAACATAGCAAACTAGCAACCAATTCATTATCCTCTACCACCAAGTTACATACCTTATTTTCAGGGTAGACTTTCTCCTTATACCAAGCTGGCCTGTCCTGAAGGTCGATAGGGACCAATTTGATCTTGTCTTCTAGCCCCTGTAGTTTTAATTATCGACAGGAGAAATAACAGGTTAACAGAAGATCACAAGAAACAGACACTTAGGACTTAGCAAATAAAAAATACCATTCTGTTAATGTCAAATTTTAAGGCTTATGCATAAAAAATAATCAATTTCGCTGTAAAAAAATATTTTTATTATATTTTTGTATTTTGATTTAATAAATACTTTTTAAAATTAGTTCTTACTACTCTTAGATGTTTAAAATTAAGACAAAACTTAGATGTTTTACTTTGATAAAAGGTTTACATTGTAATGTTATCGCCAAATACCAAGATGAAAGTTCAATTTTGATTGACAAATAGCATCAAAATCACTCCTTAATATTAAACTTAAGTGCCGAGCTTAGCATTTATTAAAAAATAAACCAAAACATTATTATAACTAAAGGAAAAGATTAGGCGAATAAAGCCATGGAACAAATGAATAGATTATTGTAAAAAGAAGACAGAACGAAGATACAACCTTGTAGTTTCTAGCGATCCATACACGTTGTGCATAGGGGCAAGAATAATTGATGTACAACCTATTTAAATAAATAAATATATAGAAAAAATAAGGACATGGGCATGGGAAATTCGAAGCAAAAACATAGAAGAAAAAGGTGAATTTGGGAGTTTGAGAAGGAACCTGGTGGTTCCATCAAAAAGAGGAGGTGGGTCGGAGGTGGAAGTTAACGGTGGAGGACGAACAGCTTGAAAACCTCTATTTTAGTTGCAAAAAGAAAGCACATTAGAGAAGAGGAAAGTGTTGGAATGAAAAAGTAACATAAAACAAGTTATAAATGAAGAATTATCATACAGAGTTGCCATTGATGAAAATGTTGCACTTGACAGTATCTTAAGGCTTCAGCAGAATCAGAATGGTGGCTACAATCGATCGAGTTCCCCTCTTTTATACACTTCATCCACATGATCTGTCATCAGCGATGACGTAACTTTCCTTTCCAGATTTCTTTAATTATTCATTTATCTATAAATAATTATAGAAATTATTTTATTTTTTAAATGAACTGAATGTATATCGTGCGTGTAAATTTTATTGATAAAATATAAGTAATGTAATACTTAATTCACTCTTTTTATGACATTTTTATTATTTTGTAAATTTTATTAAAATATATATTTAATTTTGCTCAATAAAATTTACGTGAAACTCGTTAATAAATAAAAATATTAACGTTTTTTATTTTATTTTACTTTACTAATAAATTTGTATCGGTGCTTGAAAAGTATTTTAAAGGTTGGCTTGTAATTTTGTTTTAGTTTAGTTTTAAAAAGAAATGGTAAATGCTTTAAACCTGAGGCAAAACACAGAGCTTGAACACTAATCTGGACCAGAATAGTGGCTACATTCAAGCATCGTATACGAATTGGCCTTTTATAGTATTACTGCCTCTGCTACCTCATTTCCCGTCATCGCTCGTCAGCAGCGACTCATTATTAGGGCTGTGAAAAAAATTTAGTTTCGTAATTCAAATCCACAAAATTCACAATAAATTAGTTTTACAAAACTGAATTTATATTAAATTAATTTTTTGATTCACTGTATTTTTAATTACTTTTTTATTTTTAATTTACTTTCTAAAATTATTTTTTATTTATTTAAATCCATACTATATATATATATAGATTTTATCTCATATTTTAACTTCTTAGACTTTTGTTCTATATTTTACGATTAATATTTTTTGACATGTTACAAAAATTTATAACTAATATTTTTTAATTTTAATTTATAATTAAGACTAAATATTTTAAAAATATTTTTTAAAATATAAAAATATTTTTAATTAATTAATATTCTTATTTTTATATTTAAATTTATATTTAAATTTTTAAAATATTATAATATAATATTATTGTCATTATTTAATATTGATATTTTTTATAAATTTAAATTTAAATTATTTATTGGAAATAAGTTAAAAAAATAATAAATATTTTATAAAGTTTCTATGATATATAATATAATTAATAAAGATTATTAATTATTAATTTTTTTAAATATACTAATTTAACACAACGGTTAAAAACAGTATAACAAATTAATTTTACGTTAAAAACTAGATTTATAGATATGTTAAAAATCAATTTTATCTTAAAAATTAATTTTAAAACTGAATTTAACATAAAATATTAGATTTAAAGTAGGTTCAATCAAAATTAAATTTAAACCAAATTTAAAATTAATTTTAAATCAATTTTGAAAGAAAAAATTAATTTAAAATTAAATCTATAATTAATTTGTATGGTAAATAAATAATGCGAAATAAAAATAAAAATTTAATTTTAGTATAATATAAGTGTAAAAGAATTTTATTATTAATTTATTAAAATATATAAAATATAATTTTATATTAATTATTAGAAAATTTTAGTTTTAATATAATAATCAAATAATAGTATAAAAAATATTTATAATATATTTTATTAAATTTAAACTAAATTTAAATTTTAAAATTAATTTTAAACTAATTTTTTAAAAATAAAATAAATTAATTTGAAATTTAATTTATATAATTAGATTTAAAATAGATCTAATTTAATTTTGTAAAATTTAAGATTTAGATTTTAGGTTTCGGGATAGCTTACTCCCACCTAAAAGTAAAATATTAATTTTCTTTTGTCCTATGGAATCTCTTCTCAGCTTTCCCTCCAAGCCAAATTGTTTTTCGGTGTGTTGTGTTGTGTAGTCTTCGCAAGACAAGACACATTCTCACATACTAGGAAGCTGTTTTCTTGCTGCGAAAACTGAGGTTTTGAATATGCTTCTCAGTGCACACATAGTGTTGTCAGGGCACAACGACGTCTCTGCTTTTGCCTTCAGACCCTGCCATCCCTCTACCAAGACAAACCCTTCTCTCGGTTTCTACATGGAGCAACCCTCTCTTATATCTTCTTTCAAGCTAAAGCAGTGTCACACGCTCCAAATCTCTTGTCAAGCAACTACACATGATGCAGTTTCTCTAAGGTTAAATTTTGCATTTTTATTAATGGGGTTTGTCTTATACTTGTTCCAATTATTACCTTTTCAGCCTTTTCGGTTTAATGTAAAATATCTATTCTTAAAGTTTCTGAAATTGAAATGTCATGAAAAGCCCAGAAATTTGATTCACCGTGTTGTTGGGGTGTGTAGGAATGATGAGTTACCTGTTCATGGACTATCTGAAGTTGTTGTTGGGGTTTTGGGAGGAGGTCAACTTGGTCGTATGCTATGTCAAGCTGCTTCTGAGATGGCCATTAAGGTCATGGTTTTAGATCCACAAAAGAACTGCCCCGCGAGTTCCCTGGCTTATCATCACATGGTTGGAAGCTTTGATGACAGCACTACGGTTGAGAAATTTGCCAAGAGGTTCAATTTTTATGTAATGCGTGTTATTTTGAATTTGTCATTTTTCTGCTTCACTTATTGGAAAGTATGATGGTCAGATGTGGAGTATTAATGGTTGAAATTGAACATGTTGACGTTGCTACATTGGAAAAACTTGAGAAACAAGGAGTTGACTGCCAACCCAAAGCCTCTACAATTCGAATTATTCAGGTAGTTACTTTTTTAGTTTTGGCTAGTGCTATTAACTTAGAAGATGAACAACTAGATATTTCCACCTCATGCATAAAGTATTGCCATTGTAGTAGGATAATTTTTCTCATTGTAGACTCGCTAATTTCCATCTTTTTGAAGAGAAGAATAATGTTCTCTGAATGATTTCCTTGACATGACTATTGAATGTATGACAGGATAAGTATCAACAAAAGGTTCACTTCTCACAGCATGGCATTCCACTTCCTGAATTTAAGTGGGTTTGTACCGTTTATATTAGTTAAAAGTATTTGAAAATTCATCTTTAGGATACTAATTTGAAGATGCACGAGTAATTCATTGAACAGATAGATGATCTTGCTAAAAAGGTTGGAGAGCTCTTTGGCTATCCTCTTATGATCAAGAGTAGGAGATTAGCTTATGATGGACGAGGAAATGCTGTCATTAAAAGTGAAGAGGAACTTCCTTCTGGCGTGGATGGTAATTTATTTTTCTTTCTTTGAGAAAAGGAGAATAGGAAAAACTTATCTTTGAGTTCCAAATTGTCCTTTTGTCTATTTGATATGTGCTCACTCCTTACTTTTTACATTTTACATTTTCTTATTTACACCACCCCTACCCCCAACTTTGCAGCCCTTGGAGGATTCGATCGTGGTTTATATGCTGAAAAATGGGCACCTTTTATCACGGTCAATATCTAAATTAAGATGGCATTTTTTTCAATCCTGAATTCACTAATTGTACAATAGAAGGTGATATTGCTGGTGTTAAGCTAACAAGTCTTAAAATTTGTATATTATGATCAGGGTTCCTTACAATGGTTGTTTCTGTTCTTGAATATGGTTCTCAATCAGCTAATTGCATGCTCTTTTTTGTCCGGTAATAATCCTATGATGTTTACCTCCAATAACAATGATGTCACTTATTCCAATGCCATACTATGCTTGCATCACTTACAAAATGCTCCTACTATTAAACTGTCTCCCTTTCAAAAAATTATGATTACACTTCATAGTGCTTGCATGCAGTTTACTTTTGTAAAACATGTCATTTGATTTGCCAAAAAAAGTCTTTAATTTCTTAAAACTACCCAATTTTGTCATGATGCTTACAAGTTTAAGGATTTTCTTACATACTTTGTTCCAAATATAATGGCAGGAACTAGCTGTCATTGTGGCGAGAGGAAGAGACAATTCTATTTCATGCTATCCTGTTGTTGAAACTATTCACAGGTAACGTGCAGAACACATAAATCCCATTAATATGGAAGGTTTTAAATCAAGATTTACCTCAGATTAAATTCAAAATCTAGGTTATGGTAATTTGAATAAATCAGCAATGTCTCATTTGAGCTTCCTTATTATATATTTGCTTAAAGATTAATGTTTTATTCTAGGGATAACATATGTCACATAGTCAAGGCTCCAGCTAATGTGAAATGGAAGATTAGGGAGCGTGCCACTGAAGTTGCTTTCAAAGCTGTTAACTCTCTAGAAGGTGCTGGTGTGTTCACAGTTGAACTGTTCTTGACTAGCGATGGACAGGTTGTGAATTTATTTCTTCGTTCACTCTGGACATGCCTCAATGTTTTTTCTTTTCTTGACTGCTACATTGAATTTGTTTTACTAGTTATTTTTCTGCTGTTGCAAAAGCATTTCATTTGTTTGTTGTGTCTGTGTTTCTTCTCAGATTTTATTAAATGAAGTAGCACCTAGACCTCACAATAGTGGGCATCACACAATTGAATCTTGCTATACCTCACAATTTGAGCAACAATTGCGAGCTGTTGTAGGTCTTCTCCTTGGAGATCCATCGATGAAAACTCCAGCAGCTATAATGTACAATATATTAGGTGAAGAATAGGTACTATTAGCATTTAATATTTTCCCATTTTCCTTTCCAAATTTGAAAAAAAATCTGGTTTTCTTTTATCCCGAGTCCCGACTGAAATCATGCTATTATATTTGCTTGGAATTAATTATGTTTATTATTATTATTGTTGTCGTTGTTATTAATATTGTTAGGTGCTTGGTTGGGAGGGAGTGGTGTTATAACTAAGGAACTGTATATTTCTCATGATTATTCTATGTAGAAAATGAAAATGTAAAAATTATGTAGTAGGACATTAAATTAAGCGCTTGTCAGAAGGTATGAAAGTCAAATTAGATCATGAATCTGGATAAAATGTTTTACTCTTTTCTTGTTATATTCTTGGTTCATAGTGCAGTGATGGTTATACTCCTTAAGGCTATTGAGTGCTCCCATTAGTTATTTACTTGTTTTTAGAAGAACATTCTAGTTTGTTCCCATAGTTTCAGATGATAGTGCATTAAATTTGCTAATTGATTTTAGGGGGAGCTTGGTTTTCAATTAGCTCATCAATTGCTCAGAAGGGCATTGACCATCCCTGGGTCTCCTGTTCATTGGTATAAGCCAGGTAAACTTCTGGTTAAGCAATAATGTTAAGGTTGATCACTCCCCTCTCAGTTGTTGCTGTTTAATCACTTGTATGACTAGTAAATATTATTGTCATGACACTTTGTCAGAAATGAGAAAGCATCGGAAGATGGGGCATATAACGATTGTTGGGACTTCCCTTGGCAATATTGAAAGCAATCTTGCAACAATGGTAGAAGGGAAAATATTAGATTACAAGACTGCAGGTCAGTGACAAAGACTTTTCTTCGCTTATACTTTATCTTTGTAGTTAGTGATTTCATGTTGATAGATCAATGAAGAAAAATGGTTTTCTTCATTTTATATCTGATCAACTCATGTAATAATTTCATATGTACAGTGAATAGTTCATAGCATCATAGCCATTTTATTTTTTTTTTGGAAAATTCAGTTTAAATTATAATGTAGAATATTAAAAAATAATGCCTCATTTTTTGAGTCATTATCTTAGGAAGTTGAATGTGAATTATAAAATATTGATTATCAATTTAGATCTTTGGCCATATTGCACATGGCTACGTTTTTTAATTGAACATTACCCCCTTTTCTATCATTGAAGCAAAATTAGTCTTTTTACTGTAATTTTTTGTTCATTTTTAAGTCATTTGATATTTTTACAATTTTCTTTTTTGGGTTTTCTAGTTTATTAGGAAAAGTCTATTATTGTGTGTTTCATTATCTTAATCCTCTGACAAATTTTAATGTTTCCTTGTGAATCTGGTGAGACAAATTGCTTGTTTCTTCCCCTTATTTTGCAAAAAATATTGTTGGTGGCTGATGAATTGAGAAAATAAAATAAGATTATGAAAGTGGAATATTATCTGTCTCATTCATTCATATATTGCTTTCAGTTGTACTTTTTCTATTTTATTATGAAATCTTTGATAAAATTGAAAACTACCTTTCTCTTCTAATTTAGGAAAATGGAGAGGAGCATTGTATTTGAAATTTGAAGTTAAAAATTTGTTATTCTTGCACTTAATTATGCTTTGTTTTCTTTGTCAAATGTAGTTGCTCCACGTGTGGGGATCATAATGGGCTCTGATTCAGATCTGCCTGTTATGAAAAGTGCTGCTGAAATCTTGGAGATGTTTGGTGTGCCTCATGAGGTAAAATTGTTTTAATTTCCTTGGGGGGTTCCTGTATGAACTTGTTTATCCTTAACTATGAATATTTCAGGTAAGAATAGTTTCAGCACATCGGACTCCAGAATTGATGTTTTCTTATGCCTCATCGGCTCATGAACGAGGCATACAAGTCATTATTGCTGGTGCTGGTGGGGCAGCTCACTTGCCAGGTAAATAATTTTAATTTTGTTTGGTTTGATTTTCTTTTTGAAATTAAGCAAGCTTTTAATTTCAGGTATGGTTGCTGCACTAACTGCCTTGCCTGTTATTGGTGTTCCTGTGCGAGCTTCTACCCTGGATGGGCTTGATTCACTTTTGTCAATTGTCCAGGTATACTTTTCTATGATGTTTAAATATTCATTACTTACCAATTTTCCATGCTCAACAAAATTACTTTTACTGGTTTCTAGGATTTCCTTTCTAATGGTGAGTTAATAATATGCCTTATGTTAGTTCACAAAAAGGACAAATGAATAAATTTGAGTTATGGCTTCTTTCAGAAAATTGTCACTAATTAGAAGTTTCTTCCACTATCTAGAACTTGTGGTCAATAAGGATTCTTGTAACTTTATGGATGTTAATATTAGGTTAAATATTGTATGTGAATGAGAGATGCCTTGTGCAAAATGCTAAAACAAATGAATCCTAGAAGTTTTCTTATGCAACACTTAATGAGTTCAGCAACTGTCTAAAGTACTTGAAAATTAGTATTGACAATCAGTTAACCTACATATATAAAAGCAAATTTTCAATTACTGTGCTTATTATGGGGAATGTTCTATCCTGCATAGAATCACATTTCTTGTCACAATTCTCTCGTCACTTCTTTGGTTCAATCTCATTGGAGCTAGAGTTGGTCTCTTTTTGACCATCTTGAAAATTACCCTTGTTTTGCCTTGCTTTATCTCTGTCTTGAGTAACATGATGGATTAACCAAAGGGATAGAATCATGGGTATTGTCATACTAATCTTCTCTGCTAGGTAGTTAAAATCAGTGCCGATGACTTCCTCAATTGGTGTAGGAAGTAGGACATTCAGTCGATCTTTTGCAATTATTAAAGCTGCTTCATTACATGTAGGTAGTTTTTTGCTCAATTCTTTTGAGCTTTGTTTCTACTTAAAAGGAAAGGTTAGGGTTAGGGCAAACACAAATTTAGAAAAGCTTTCAAGAGTAAAAATAGTCAAATAAGCAGAAGCTCAAAAATAGAGCTTCCATACAACCCAAGAGTCAAAAAGACTGAACCAAACGCTATTATTTTCTTTTCTTGCTTACAAATATAATTGTTGGCTGTGCAGATGCCAAGAGGTGTTCCCGTTGCCACAGTTGCAGTCAATAATGCAACTAATGCTGGATTATTGGCAGTGAGAATGTTGGGTGTTGCCAATGATAATCTTCTGTCAAGGTTTCTCCTCTTCCTGTCTGTTATGTCTTTGATGTTACTGAAATAAAAATCACAAAATGTAATAGAAATATTATCTCATTTTTCATTTATTCGATTTGACATTTATAATATTGTGCAGGATGAGTCAATATCAAGAGGACCAAAAAGAAGACGTCTTGAGGAAAGGAAACAAATTAGAAAAAAATGGTTGGGAATCCTACTTAAATAGTAGTTAGTATTACACATTAATTTGGTGATTCGTTTTTAGTCTCATTCTCAATTTTGGAAATTTTGATAGACAAGATTTCATATGAAGGGTGTTTAGACCAGGGTATCAATAACAATAAGTAGATTGAGAATCATTGGAGCAAAAGCAATTTCTATTGCTAACATATAGCAAGAGAGTATAATAATATAATATAATGTATTTACTTGTGTTTTATTTGGTTACTAAATGATGTAGTTGATGGACGATGCGATTGCACCCGTGTGTAGACGGGACCAAATTTTGGTTTTATTACTCACAACTTTTGTTTTTTAATGTTTCAAAGTATTAATTTTCCTGACTTATCGTTTGTTTTAAGTGTTTCATGCTTAACTCTCTTGTTAAGAGAGCTAATTTTATCATGTTGTAGGTGTTCTTGTTATGAGTAAGATAGTCTCCTGTGGAATATTGAAAGTGTTACTTTTTCATTTTCCTTTCATTTTTAAATGTCTTTGTTGGTAGTTTTCTCATGTTTTCAATAATGCTTCGTTACATGTCCATGGGGAGTACTTTGTGCTCTACACGGAGCAATAGGCATAATTTGCTTGCAATTTTTTTGACAAATGCTTCTAAAGGAATTGAATTGACTTATTTTTGCTGCTGATTAGTGCTGATTAGTCCATCAGCTACAATAATGTGATCGACCGATGAGATCATTTGGGTATGCTGCTCCGGTCATGCATGTATTGTTTTCCATATTGATACTGAAACTGGGAACATATTTGAGTATGTTCTGTATTATAGGGTCTGGTTATCTATGTCAGCATTTTTTATATATGAAATTTGGTAAGTTTTAATTTTATTTACTTCTGTCAATCATTGAATCCTTAAGTGTCTTAAGAATGTTTATTAGTACTTTCTCATGATACTAAAATGTAAAAGATAAGAAGTATTTAATGGTAAATATATTATTTAATATGTTTAGTTACTGCAAAATTATATTTTGATTTTTAAATCGTTAACAAATTTTGTGAACGTTTATTAACATTGACAAAAGCACCCATAAAATATTGGCTTGACTTACAACATGGAATTTGTGCTTTTAGAATAATGAATGAAGAGTGTTGGAAGAGATTTTAGAGTTTCTTTGAATTTAAGAAAATAATGTTATCTTTTTACAAGCTTTTCTAACTTAAGAAATTTGATGGAGAAGTTTAATAAAATATTTTTTATTTTAATATATTTTATAGTTAAACTTACTAGTAAGTTTATTTTCTTTTGTTGAATGGTTATTTAATTAAGTTGACTATAGGAACGTATCCCAAGAAAATTCAAGCTAATAAAAATTGAATTCAAGCTATAGTAACGGTGATGTAATGTGGTATGATAATACGTCTATAACTTCTGACAAAAAATAAATAAATTTTCTATTTATATTAATTAAGAATGTTATAAATTCACTAAAAACGCTTCATTTTGTCTTAAGAATGTACACGAAGATAAAATGTTTATTTTAATCACCATATATTATAACATTCTTGTGTTTGTTTAAGGTGGGTATTTTTTGTATAAATTATTTTTGTTTGATTTATTATTATTATTATTATTGTTTAAATTACATTTTTTTGGTAATATATAAAACTCACTATAGTCATCAAATAATAAATGTAAGAAACAAATGTTATTAACATTCTCTTTTTTTTCTTTGGTAATAGATCTTACTGTTACTTAAAAACGTCTATTTTTTAAATGAAATTGTTGAACTTACGGGATGTTTTCCAATGATAATCCAAAGTTTAAATTACATAGTTTTAATTAAAAAAATTTAGTATATGCTTGGAAACTAATCAAAATCACGTTAAACCTTCAACGTGAAATTTATAATTTGTAGGATTTGATACCAATCCAAAAACACAATTGACAATTTACAATTATCCTTTGGCATTGAACATCAAGTCATGCCGCATCTCCTGCTACAAAAGAGATTCCTCAGCTGCAATTGACACTAATGTATTAAATAAACCATCTCTCTCTACAATGTCTGCAAGATAAAAGCAGTAAGGGGTTTTTTACGCGTTTTCATTTTTGTTTTTTTTCGTGTGTGGGAGGGAGGGGGAAGCGGTTGGTTGGTGAGTATAAGCAATCATACTTAGCTCAATCCACCATGAGTTGTAATTGAGTTTCTTAGCTAGTCAGACTTATTAGCCAGACTTAATACCACTCCAATGGTAATACTTGAAGCTACAAAACCAAGAGAGGCCTCCGTTGAGACATGGATCCCTGTAGGAATGAGAAGATATGGAAATTCAAGTACAGTATATCTTGTATGAATTGGTAAATGATCAAACAACATATACTCACCAAAATAGTCTGAGATCATCTTACACCCAATAAATCCCAGAACAACAGCAATGGACGGCTAAAAAGGCCAAAAAATGGAAATAATCACAGGATGGAAGCATTAGTAAACAGAAGCATTTTAGTATCGGCTAATGCAAAGATATTATTCTTAAATTTAAAAAATATGAGTGATGGTGCTGCTAAAGGTAACAATATATGTAAACAAAAAGGAAACGTGATTACAAGTACAAACCAAGTAACAGAGTAATAACTTTGAACCAAAACCTTTGATAATAATACTAGTTTGGATAAACTTATCAACAAATACTTATAAAAAAAAATAGTTATAATGAATCAAACTTCTCTTATAAGTTAATCATGTCGTTTAGAAGCTCTCTCATTTAACTTATCCAAAAGTTGAGGTGTAAACTTACAATTTTGATTGCATTTAAGATGCAGATATGCAATCAAAATGCAACACTACGGCTGTCCAAATAAGAACTTAGTGCCCTACAAATGCATTGCTCTGTCAGGCACATAATATTTAATGATTTTCTGCTAAAGTGAATCTCAAGGTGACAGTACTAGATGTTAATGTCAACTAAGTGATGTAGATTAGGCTTTTTTTTTGCGCTTTCTTTACAGGGTTTTTATTTCAAAATTAAGGTTTTCAATTGGGATTATGTATTGTTATACACAAAAGTGCAAATCTCGATTAAAATATTGACAAAATGAGCATTAATTTTTCTTCAACCACTATACAGGATGAAGTAGCAAACTTTGCATGAACTCTCACTTTAATCCCCAAGATTATAGGCGTCAATCATTTTAGTATCTGATTTTGCAAAAAATTATTCATTTTAGACTGTGAGGTTAGCTCAACAAACATGATTTTAGTAAACATGATTTGCTCAGAAATTTCAGGAACTAGATTGGAAATTTGCTCAGCGAACTTCTATATTAGCAGGAATCCCGAGAAAAACAGCAATGTTGAAGTGATACCCAAACCATAGTCCAAGTCACAACAGTAAAACTCATGGTTATTTTATTGGATAGACACATAAGCAGCAGAGCATTATGTAGCAACCAAGGTATTTCATAACAGACCAAGTCAACATTTACCTGTAGGTACTTCAACTCTGACATACCCTCGGAAATTACTAAGTAAAGTGACCTTAAACCTACATTTGATAAATAACAATTGTTTATTTGTTGCTTATTCAAATACAAATAAATTTGTAAGGAAAAGCATCAAATATTGTTGGGTGGATGCACATCTGATCTGAGATTATAACAAGAATGAACTTATCTAGCCTCTCCACCAACACATGGTAGTGGAGAAGTAGAGAAATGAGGTTCAAAAGAACCATTTCACTGCAACAAATTCTGCGTTATAAAATCATTTATTACAACATGTTCCATAGTGAAAATAGATGAATCATGCCCTTAAAACAAAGCTCTCAAGGTGTCAATCAAATACACTTACTTTAAGAAACACAAATCCCAATTTTAAAGGATTAAGAAATGAATTCAGATATACACAAGGGAAACAGCGGCAAGAGAACTTACCCAAAATGGCAAAAAGATTAGAAGTAAACACTACAAATGGATCCCGTGTTACACCAAAAACTGCAGGTATTGAGTCAACCTAAAAAAATTGTGTCAACATTCCCATGCCCAAGTAACAAGAAAATTCCTCATGAAATAGAGGGATGAGAAAAACCTACTGCAAATGCAATGTCACTGAGCTCAATAATTGCTACAGTAAGAAGCAAAGGGGTAGCCTGCCCAAAATGTTTGATCCCTGTTAGAAATCAAGTTGAAATTAATTTAATTCATTAAAAATTATTTTTAGTTATTGACAAAAGAAGCAACAAATGCTAATCTGACAAAACGTTCAGTGCATTTGTGCTCTGAAAATATAACAATTGATTTAATCAAGACAATAAGGAATTGATTTTAAATTTTACTGAGTACTGACACACATCAATAACTTACCTTCCACACGCCATCCTGATTAGTTATGAACCGATTTCCATCATAATAGGCTGCAACAAGTTTGTCAGCAGTTAGATTATGGACAATAAGATGACACAGTACAACTTGAATCAATGCAACAACCGCATGCCAAGTGATATGTATTAGCTACAATATATTTTGCCCATTTGCATTTGCCAATGTAGCAGACATGTAGATACACCTATGTAATATGTATATCTATCTATTCTAATCAAGCATTCCAAAAAGGTACAGTGGATCAACCTAACATAAAAATACTCCAGCTTATACTAGAAGAAAGCTAAAATAGGATATACCTATACCCAAAATTCAATGAGAGAATACTCATGAAATCAAAATTATTTTTTGCATTTACCAAACAACACGAGTTGCACTTTATATGAACACACACACACACACACAATTCCATTAGAAAAGGAAAACTTAACATTTTCCTAAATCATCAGCCAATTAAGCTTTTATTCAGCCCTTTCTACTACACATTCATTAAGATTTTAATTGATTCTTCTACCATATCCTTCCATTTGGCTTTTTCAAAATGTAAGAATTAAAATTCACGGTCAGGATAACCATGAAATCAGCAAAATCTCCAACTAGGAAAAGAGAAAGAATGATTATGAGTAGTGAACATTACTTGTTACAGGGATAAATTTCTGGCATGTCTTCACCACAAAGTTATCAGATAAGTCAGTCTCATCTTCTTCACTGGCAAATAGCTATTCATAAAACAATAAAATGTTGTGATTAAAGCCACTCCATTGAACTCTGAATATAATAACAAGAAGTCTCAACTTCCTAAGATATAGTTAGAGAGATAAAATCATTCAGGTGGTTCCATCTAAAAGTGTATATATATCATATAAATTATGAAAACCTCATGACTCATTCCTTCGTGATTAAATTGAATTTCAGTGGTAATAATTTATAAAATGGACATATCCAGTTTCATGCTTTGAGCACAAAACAAAGTAGAACGAGGACAATGTTAGGTATATAAACGATCAAGTAGCTTCTATTATCTTTAGCCTTAAGGGTCACTGTTTCCTTGACAAACATGAACACATGGTGTTATATCAAATTCAAACCAATATAAGGAATAGAGATATTGGAAATAGTGAATCCTCACCTTAAATGATGAGTAGAGCAATATTGCAGCCAAGAGAAGGTTGACTGCCTCAAACCTCTATACACAACATAAAAAACAAGATATGATAATCAGAAAAAGTATAATGCTTTTACTAAAAAAATGTAAAATATGCAAAGAAATATATCCATCATGAAGCACACCTGAAGGGTGGCTGTTCCAATAAGTATCAATGTCAGGCGAAAGACAACTGCACCAGCAATACCATAGGAAAGTACACGATTCTGTAAGTTCAATGAGAAGTACATGAAAACTAATCAATTATTTGCACTCAGACTTTCTTATTGTTAAAATGATATTACAAGTTCAGTATCAAGTACTTGTTAAAACATAAAATTGAAATTGCTCATATTTACCCTTGGCAAGAAGGTTAATACATCACCTGATATGAAATTGGAACTTGGAAGTAATTGAATACTAGAACAAAGACAAAGAGATTATCTACCGAAAGACTTTGCTCCAATATGTATCTAAAAAGTGCACAAAATTCAAAGGCCATCATCATTCCCAGTTCGGACAAAGCTCAAGAAAATGAAAACAAAGGAGAGAAAGAAACAAAAAAGGCATCATCACAGCTCAAACCATAAAGTTAGTATTCATGAATACTAAAATAAACATCCAACATGCTATAACTTCCAACTCATACACCTAGTGTTTTGATCAATCTCTTGGTGATATACAACTCTAAGGCAATATAAAGAAGAGGGGCAGAAGCAGGATAAAAGAGAGATACAAAGGCATCTGAAATACTCCAAATGACAAATAAACTCAAAGAAACTTGGCGCAATATCAACTTTGATTCGTCCAGAACATTAGCTATTCTTGCTAACACTGCAAAATTGGAGTGACTTACTAATTGATAATAAAATAAAATAAAGTAAAATAAAATAATTGCAGATACCCAGCAAAGAATTCGGATGCCTTGCCAAAACCGTCTTTAAAACCCAAACCAATGCCAAATGCCACCGCAGTGCACACCTACAAGAAATCATAATGAAATTAACGCAAATCTAAACAAGCAAAGAAAGCAGTAAAAAGATAATTAGCAGTGATTTGGGGACCCACCCATAACGCCACAGCTCTAACAGATGAGTTGTAAATTTCATTTCCCTGAGATTCCTGAGTTGGAGAATTCTCAATGTCTTCATTTGGCCGAGCACTAATCCTCTTTACTTCTGCACATGCGCATTCATCCACTACCGCATATAATTATAATAATAAAAACTGTTATGCATGTGTAGATAATTAGAATGATAGTGCAGTAACCTGAGGCGAGAAATCCATGGGTCTGGCGACCAATTCGTGTGGAGAAAAGAAGAGGAAGAGCGTGAGGGTGAGAAGAACGATGATGAGGGAGAAAAAGGAGCGAAGAGGATTTGGAGGGTGGATGGGAACGTGAAAGGGTGTTGCTGAAGTTTAATGGAAATTGGACACCGTTGTGAACAACAGAGGCCAATCCCATGACTCTTTACCTCGGTGGTTGCGAATGGTGTTGTTGGTGGCTACAATTCAACTCCAATTACAAATTCTGGGCCAGATTCGATGTTTTTCTCACACGCGCCAAAGATAAGATGTTTGTTTCTGCTCTCTGTTTTGTGTTCTCATGGAGGAGTGGTCACGACTCACACTCCATCCCTGAGTAAGATTATAAGAGATTTTTTTCAAAAGAAAAAATTAAGATTAAAATTTCATTTTGTACAAATTTGGAAACTATAACTAAGAATTTAAATTTTGAATAAGGAACTTTTTAAATACTTAAACTCATTTAGAATTTAACTGTTCTTTGAAAAGAATACAAATTACGATGTACTCAGTATCACTGAAGTACATACTTAATAATTAAATGAGAAATATTGATTCAATTTTATGCAAAAGTTCATAATAAATATAAAACAAGTAGGAAAGTTATGCATTTGGGTGTATAAAGTATTAATAAATAATTTTTTTTCTATCTTAAAATATTCCTATTTTTTCACTAAAAATTAAAATACGTCATTTTTTTTGTCTTTGATGAAAACTGTATAAGAGGTAGACGATTTATTACTTTAATGCTTTTACAAATAGAGTATTAAAAATATTTAAAAAATTTAAATATATAAATAAAATTAATAAGCTTAAAATATTATAATATATGAATATTAAATTAAAAATAAAATTTTAAAAATTATTTTTAATAGTATAAACTTAAATGAATTAAGTAGTATATTGTATAATAAAAAAGAAAAATAATATAATATTTATATCTTATAGAAGAGAAAAATATGTTTTACTCAAAATGAATTGACGATAATAGTTAAATTTAGAAATTAAATTAATCGGGTTAATAAAATTAAGGAATTAAATTAATTAATAATACTTGATTTTAGAAAATTAATCTAATTAATTAATAATTATTAAATTTAAAAATAAAAAATACATTTTTCTTAATAAATGGACGGTGTATCCATTTGTTTGCATTGCTTGTTCCCGCTAAGGAAAAGGAATAAACATTGGTTGGCTTCTTTACAACTTCACTGTAGCAATGGCAACCGGTGCGGCGTCGCCGGCGGAAGAAGCCACTCCTCCGGCTTCGGACGATAGCCCTCTCAAAACCCTCGAATTCAAAGACTCGAAGGGAATGTCAATTCCCTCTCCTTTTCTTCTCTCACTAACTCCTCCATTTACCGCTATTACTACCGCTATTACTACTATTGCCCCTAATTACTTATGTGATTCACACTTAATGGATTTGATGATTTGATTTATTGCAGGTTTGGCTCTGCAAAGATAAAAAAAAGAAATATTTTAAATTACATCACTCTTCACTCTAAAATTTATTTTTCAAGCTCGGTTAAAATTTTACTTTTCAAACTCGGTGTAATACAAAATTAGTAAGAAAAGAGATTTTTTGGAATGATACTAAGGGACCTTAGGCCTCCTTTTATAAGCCAAAGGACCAAAATATAAGTACAAGCCAAAGGACCAAAATATACTTAAATTAATTATATTTTCAAGTAGGAGAAAGATTATGATTAAGTTAATTATATTTTCAAGTGAGAGAATGATAAAAGTCCCATATCGTACTCATATTTTAAACCTCTTTTAGCTTATAAAAACTTAAGGGTCCTTAGGTATCATCTCAAAAAATCTCCTCTCTTATTAATCTTCACTCTAAAATTTACTCTCAATATAAAAAACTACTACTACCAAATAAATAGGAGAGGAAATTTTTTAAAATAATAAGGGACTCTTAGACCTCCTTTTATATGACAAAGGAAGTCCAAAATATGAGTACTTACCGATGTGGGACTTAGGCCTCCTTTTATAAGCCAAAGGAAGGCTAAAATATGAAACTTAGGCCTCCTTTTATAAGCAAAATGAAGTCTAAAATATGAGTACCGATGTGGAACTTCTATCAGTTACCGAACACTGATGTGGGACTTCTATCAGTTACCAGCATCAGACGCATCAAAATCGGAGGAGCTAAAGAGAAAGGCTAGAGCTGAGAGGTTATACTTTTAACTCCACTTTGTTAATCCTGAGCTTATTTGCATCATTTGAGTGGATGAAAGGGATGTACAGAGCAGTGAAGGAAAATATTCTTAATTCATTTGTATACCTCAATACACACTATATGCGTACCTTATATGCACTGTTACAGGGAAAGCAATAACTTAAAAAGAAGATTCCCAATCATTACAGCTTATGCAAAATACCAAAATTGGTTCCTAATAGCGAATGTAATCCTTCAAACTGATAGAAGCTTGAATTTTTCTTCTAGATTTCTCTTCACTGATGTCAGCTATGTACTTGGACAAGGACTATTCGGCAGTACCTTCTTTTGATATGGTGGGTGTGGTACTTGGGATAGTTGTACTATCAGTGGATTAGCTGAATTTTGCTACACAGTTTTCCTATCCTCATGTTATTAGCGATTACTAATTGTGCTTCACAGGTTTGGGATGCCTATGCCATCTACAGTAGCTGATGAGGATGCGAAGAAGAAAGCTCGGCTTCCTAGATTTGCTGCACCTGTTTGCAAGAATGATCCTTTGGAGGACGATAAACAGAAAGCAAGAACACTGAAGTATATATCATAACTCATTCCGTATATGCAAGTATCTCTTAATTCTTACAATTTGTAATCTTTGAGTGAGCAAGTAGCTAATTGATTCTCTCTGCTTTCTGTTGCCAGGTTTTCAAATCCATCGTTAGCCATTGCTGGTAAAGCTGGAAGTGGGGTCTGAATTGCAGCTTCAGCCTTAATATTAGGAGATTTTCTTGATAGTTACTTTCAGAAAATAAGTCAAGATTCTGTGGTCTTTTTCTCTTTTTTGTAATCCTTTGACTTCTCGAATACCATTTCTTCAATTGTAAATTTGTAATCTTGTTTGAAATGTCATGTTCTTTGTTTTATAAGCTTTTTGCTTCAACTTGTCTGCAGGTTTAGCTTAACAGCCAGGATTCCCTTGATAGCCTCAATACTTTATCTATTTTGGTCGACATATTGATCTCTAGATGCATCAATCTTATATTTTTGGAACACTGCCTTCCTCTGAGCCATGGTCAAGATTCAAGATTTGTTTTGTCTTAGTTTTGGCTTAATAGTTGATACCTTGGAATTATTAACAGCTGTTTGCTTGTCTTAACATATGCTAAGATCATAATTTTGGAATGTACAGCCTAGAAAAGATTTTTAGATGAATGAAGCTTTTGTAGAAAGGAAGCTTGTTTATTCTTAATTTTTCTTTCATCCCTATCATCAACTATAATATGTTCCTTGTCAAAATTAAATTCCCTTAATCACTGTGCTAAAAGGAAGTACCAGGTCGGTATTGTTAATCCAGCATCATGCTGATCCAAAATATGCTAATGTGGTTTTTGTTGCTTCTGTGGTCTGTTGAGGAATGTTTATAAATTGACAAGATAAGCCCTTAAATTGCTTGAAGATATGATGTACTCATTTCTGTTTAGTTCCTACCATTAACACTCTTCCTGTTTGTTTTAATGGTTATGTAGCAAAAAATAAAATAAAAAATACTAAACCTTAGAAAGGCTAAGAATGGCTGTTTTGGGCTTCCATATTGGGTTGCTTTCCCTCCATCATCTTGTGTGTTTGTTTTAACTGCTGAGAAAATAATAGCTTATTTTGAGTAGCTTCGTAGAGTTTTTGAAAGAAAAAAAAATAATTCCTCATTTACAAAAATTTCCAAACATGTGAGAATCCTTTGATCTTGAGTTCTTCATTTGTATGTGTATGCATACTGTTGCACTCTTTTATGAGCTCTGTTATTATTGGATCTTGTGGGAAAGCTGAGATTAAGCCACATATTTACTGGGTGGTAATATGGATTGGAAGCATATTCCTTGAAAAGGAATATTGCATAGAGTTGGTTTCTTGCTAGATAGGAGCATAGAGCTTATTTATTGCTAAATAGGACTGGGAATGCAGGGAAGTTCTTAATGTCCTACTAAATTACATTGTGATTTGTTTTTATTTTTTTTGTTTGGAGAAAAATTTTAGCAGTATCCCGATTCTGGAGCAACTTCTGTTGATAGCTAAATAAATGAACTGAAGGACCATTATATATGTTTGTAGCCTCTAATTTCTGACTAGATTTCTTGTATATTGTCAAATTTTATTATGAAATAAAAGTATGAAACCCATTTCTGTCATATCCTCTAATCTTTTGTTGCTGATGCAGTTAGCCCTTGAAGATATTAGATAACAGACATCCATATTTATTATTGCATCTAATTTTAAAATGACTGCACGGATTGGTAGTTTGATTTAGGATTCGTGAAGAAACGGCGTCAAGCATTCAAGCTTATTTCGAAAGTGTTTAGAGGCTTTGGTTTATGTACTTCGATCTCGTTGATTAGGGAGAAAAAAAAAATATGAAATAGGATTCATTATTCAATTTCTTGCTTCATTTACTCATTTGGTTTGTCTAGTTTATTTTCTTGCTTTGATTGTTTTTTATAGGCATGTTATTTTCTTTCAACTCATCTATTTTAAAACAAATATTCAACATTTTTACTCTTTTTATTTAGTTAAAATTACTAACCACCACAATCACTACTTTTTAAAGAACCACAACTTTGAAATTGCCTTTAGGGAATACGTTGGTAGAAATTTGGTTTGGCATGAAAGCTTGTGTTTTGGGTATTTTCTCTGTAATTATCATAATGTTGAGAATTCAATTATAGATATGACTATAATGAAAGCTTGGTTCAGCATAGGCTTTTCTGCTTGTGTTTTGGGTATTTGTCAATGAAGCCTGTAATTTATTTCCCTCGAGTTTTACATATCCAGTTTCTTCCAATGTTTTGCCTAAGGCTAGAGCATGGCTAGGTCATAGATCCTAAATGATAAATAATTACTTATTTTGATTTAACTTATTTTCGAGACATAATTATTTTGTTATTGTTAGCTGTGTGAGACAACCTTTGAAGAATAATGACATACATACATAAATATATGTAATTTAAAATTTAGTAGCCGCAAAACGGTGACTGCATGTCAAAAATATGGTCTCACACGGGCCACGACATATGAACATGCAAACTGCCCACATGCAAATAAGCCAAAGAAAGCAAACACCTTCATTCTCCACTTTCATAAGTAAAAGAAATTATCAGAGGTGAGGTGCTTGGAGCAATCTTTTACTATACTTTTACTAATTCGAATGTAATATGTTTCGAAATATATACTAACACAATTGTAGAAAAAGTGGGATCACAGAGATAGTGGCAAGTACGAGTGAGGATCATTGATGTTGAGTCCATTTTTGTACAATTAGTATGCATTCTATGTTCAAAATATGTTTTAATATATCTACGTTAGTTTATTAGGGATGTCAATAAACAAAGAAATAATATTCCACCCATAGAGCTATGCACAAACAATCCAAGACCATTCAAGAAAAACCTCAATCGAAAGACACTGTCACTAAGGAAATAGTTACCACTAGTCCATTGCCAATGCAAGATCACGGTCAAGGATAGCTGCTTTCATCAATTCCTCTCAAGAATCACTCAGAAGCATTATCAAAATCCAAAACCTGGAGTTTATTTGTAAATGTCCAAGGTTTTATTAGAAGTTTTTTTTTTTTTTTTTTTATAGACAGCAGTGCATTTTTTGATAGGGGTATTTTTTTTTTTAGGGTAGTGATTATACTAGAGTGCCTTTCAGTTTGATGATAATATGGATGATTGTTTAAATCAACCAAACTTCTTTCCAACTCGCACCAAAAATCCTTTGTGCTCTTTTCGAAGTTTCAATTCATTGATCAAAGTTTCTAGTTCTTTAACCTTAATGTAATCATTAAATGACCACTTGAATTCTTCTTCTTCTTCTTTTTTTTGAGAAAAAACATATAAGAAGATTTACTGTTTCATTCAAATTATCCGTAAAATCTTTCTCTAATTTCCCCCCTTCAAAGTTATTTCTTCCTCTTTTTGAAATTGTATTTATCTATTCATTTGAATTATCTTTTTCTTCTATCCTTCCGTTCCTTCTTTTATTCGTTCTTTTATTCTTATTATCATCATCATTGTTAGGGTTAATATTTTTTTCTTTTAAAATAAAAGACTTGGATACTCTTAATTCAAGGAATTTTACATTAAAAATTGGCAGTTGAGAAAGGATTTAAATTGGGGAATTGAGACATGGAACGTTTTTATTAAATTTTTTTCATTTTAACTTTACTGAGGTTAATTTTGATATATTATTGGTATAAAAATTTTACACTATGAATTAATGAAAAAAGTACTTAAAGTTTGAAATTTAAATAAGTATTACAAAATTCAACAATTTTTAATAATATGATAATCTATGATAATTTAATACTATAAAAAATTAATTTACATTATTAGCATATTTTAATTAAATTTTTAGTTTATAAATAAAATTGATCACTAACCTAGCATACTCTTTTTAATATACTTTTTTATTATTATAAAATTTCTTAAATAAGAAATGAAAATCACCATTTACTAGAATATTCATATGAATTTTATCTAATATTAAAGGGTGAATTGAAAAAATATATGAAAGACTATCTGGTTATTAAATTTTGTAACAAATGGGTAGAGGGACTAAATTATTAGACATTTGATATTTGAGGGATTAAAATAACAGAATGTATCCTTGAGAAATTAAATTGTAATAAATGCATTTCTGAGGAGAGAAAAAAATCTTTCGTATTTTCCATATCAAATGATTATTTAAAAAGTAATTCAAGAAAAATAAATAAGATATCAAATTGTAAAAGGATTTATAAGTTTTTTTTTTCCAACAAAAATTATCAGTAATAAGAGACCTAGCTTTCAATAGTAAAATCTGGACGAATCTACCTAACATTTTTATGGATCGAGCTTGTATGATACTCACGATTTTAACTTCTATGTGAACACCAAATGGAACATTTATACAAAGCTATATCTTTCTATGATTTTACTATTCGATCTTTTTCAATGGCCATAGTAATGCATAATATGTGAAGAATTATTGTTATGGAAATGATGGATATATCATGAACGAAAAGAAGCAAACATTTTCATCAACATTAAATTATCTTTCTATGGGAAAAAAAGGAAAAAGTCATACAAATCTTCTAAAGAAACATCAGTTCTACCAAGTAAACGCAGAATTATTAAATTATTAATTAGTATACAACGCTTTGCAATTTATGAACCACGACCTGAGGCCATAGATTCGTGTCTTCAGAAACATGAGCAGTGAAGGGATTACAATTAATATATAAAATATACGTTCATGTTAACCATATCATAAACAGAAACACGATAGGGAAAGATCATCATGATACATCTAAATTTTGCTAGGTTATAGTGATAATTGCTTCACATTCATCTACACATACATACATATATATATTTATATATATATGTTGTTATTTTTGTATGATCAGCTAGGAATTGGCAGACCCACCTCCCTTGATTGAAAGAGGAGAACCACAGAAAGAGCTGTTATCAGTAATTTTGGAATTTATGAACACAACAATCACTGTTATGTCATCATGGAAGTGTCTCCTCATCCCTTGTTCAATCTTTTGGAGGTCAGCAAGTCTCATTTCACTCTTCTTAGCAGCTTCTCTTAGTGCTGCTTTCACAAGTCGCCTAGCAATTCCCTGAACATGAATGAAATGCATGCCATCCATACAATTCAGAAAGGAAAAGACTCGTACCAAAGAGAAGAATGCTTGCAACACACTCTTTTAACATACTTTTTATGATTGGTCCATTCTCTAAAAAGTGATCAATTGGCGAGGTGAGTGTTCTGGCTTTTTAAAATAATTTTAAAAATAAATAAATCAATTACAATGAGTGTATTGAAGAGTCTGTTTAAAAGAGAGTGTTTTTAGCATTTCTCAAAAAAAGGATAAACTTGAATGGATAGAAAGAGTGTATTGAAAAGAGTATGATGCTAAAGAAAACAAACAAACTTGAATGGACAGAAAGAGTTAATGGAACCTTACATTAGGTGGGTTATTGCTGACTATGTTAACAGCCTCTTGGTTGCTAAGATGCTCCCATAAACCATCAGAAGCAAATATGAGAAATTGATCATCGGGGTGGAGTTTGTGCAATGATGTTGATGGCTCAGAGCTAAGAATTGGCTTGAAGAATGTTTCTGGTAGTCTAAACTTCATTGGTAGAGGCTCCCTGTTAAATTCTGCTTTCTTCAGATATGCATCACCTATGGATCGTGAAACCTGCCAAGCCAAGTTCTATCGACATCAAATTCTAATAAATAAATAAAATGGTTATAAGTTATCAGCAGTTAAATATGTCTGTTCTTGCTTATGCTATGGTCTTGTGCCAAGGCAAGAATAATTCATTAGTCTTCTATCTTTACAAATAATATAAAGCAATTTGTTTAAACACTAGATTACTATTTCCTTGTTTTCTTAGAAGAATTTGAACCTTGAATTTAAAATCTTCCTTAGTGACAAAAAAGAAATATAGATCTACCAAACTTCAACCTGTATGAGGCCTTTCACACGCCAAACGTTCTGTCTCATAACCACGATTTGTGAATCAAAAGGGTGCTTTGACCGAAGTTCATCTCTCACTCCTTCTTGGTTAACATTGTGTTCTTTAGATAATTGTATAGCTTCTATTTCCCTTGTTGCTCTCTCCAATCTTCCTAACACCACTCGGGAGTCTCCAGAATTTGCAATATAGATCATGCCATCGCAAATTACCCCCACCAAACAACAAGTACCAGTGGATGCAATCTGTGGCTTAATCAGCCACTGTTTCTTCACAAGAGACAGAAAACCCTCTTCAGTTGCTGAATATGCCCTTTTGATAACATTTTCTGACACACCTTGATGTTCAGCTGCAAGCTCTGGATCACACAGAAAATGGATTCAGTAAGTAACAAACTGAAATTAAGGGTGGCCAAGTGCATGAGGCTCACATATATGTAGCAAGTTTTTGTTTTGGTTGAAGGGTAACTAGGACTTGTGCTATTAATGTTTTTAAGGATATCTTGTTTTTGATGAGTTTGAAGGACGTGATCTTAGACAAATAGCTGTCAGGGTCATTATGAAAGTGGCTTGGCTTGCTTAGTCTTCAATTCATTTGAAAATCTGCATAGAGCAACGTCTAGGGAAGCAATAATCCAAATGAATTTTAATCTAGAAGTCATAATAAAAAAAGAGAGCATACTTTTGAGATTGCAGAAAAGATTGTCACTGACAAACTGTGAGGCCTCGCTTCCACCATGGCCATCATATACACCTATAAAGGTTCCTTGAGGACCCAAGTGGTTGGAACTCAAGGGTCCAGATTCAAGTTCACTTCGATCCTCTAATGAACTATTGGCCTGAACCACAGCCATTGAGAATTCCCCATAAAGATGGCTCCCTAAGTCCTTGTACCATAGCAATCCATCAACTCTCCCGCTTCCATCTCCTTCGTCACCATCTGCAATTGGTTTCCAACAGGATCTAACCATATTTTGGTACCCCTTTATGTTACAAAAGCTTATGCTTCACATCAACAGCACAAATGATCCAAAAATTGAACAAATATCAAGTTTTTCTTGATTTTGGCTCTAGCACAAGACCTCAGTTCCTGAATTTATATATATATATATATATATACCCTGCAGAAGCAGACACCATTGGATAAGAACAAATTTTACATAAAAGCCAAAAGGGTATGGGCTGAACTAACTGAGAAATGTACCTTGGAAAGTGAAACCAAATAGTTTTCATGCAAGTACAAAGAATATGAAGGCGTGCTAGTACTCTATACCTTGAATCTGAGTTGAATACGTTTGGAGCTCAGAAGTTTGCCATATTTGAGAAACAGATTTAGCTGTAAAAGCACATAAAGATTCAATATGGCAGAGTTGGTCTATGATCTCAGTGACCAAAGAGAGCAATGGATAAGAGAAGGGTTTGGAGCTTTATGGCAGAGGATCTTAAAAATAGTGTCAGACGAGATCTAAGATCAGAAAGGTGAAGAGAGATTTAAACAACATAGTCTGACATTGTTGTTGTTGTCCTTTTATTTGTCCCTTATGATTAATGTTTATGTGGCCAAGTGGGTTTCTAAACTTCTTCTATTTCATGGCTGAGATTGTGAGTTCCATCACCTTTTTAAGCTATAATCCTCAGTTTTTAGACAACTAAGTTCGCATAACACTCCCACTTTCCAATCTTTTGGGTTAACGTTAACATCATCCTTTTTCCTCTGGTTTAACTTTCGTGATAATCAAAAACTTTACTTCATTTAGTGTTCATGACCGACAAGGTTTTATGGTCCCCTTAGCTCTTCCCATGCACTTCATCTTACAACTGTAATTTCTTCTAATCAAGATTATTCTAATATAAACTGTTAGATATTTTTTTCCTTTTATTTTTTTTTAATCTGTGAAAGATTTATACATGTTTGAATTTTAAGAAAAACATAGAATTATCAGTACAAGTGCGTGTTTGAATTCGCATTAAAATATTCTTAATTTACATTTATTTTTACGTTTTAGTTAAACTTTAAAAAAATATATTAAAAAAAGTTTATAACATATTTAGGTAAAGTAATGGTTCTTCACACTATTCTTTGAATTTGTACGCGGAATTGTCTGTTATGTTATGGTCAAACATATCTTTAGGTCAACAATACATTATTCACGTTTGTTACCTGACAAATATAACTAGAAAAGGAAAAAGTAACAGACTTTAAGATCAATGTAACGCATTTCATAACATCACATTCATTATTCCAATTACTATATAATTGCTCATTTTTAACCTTTGAATTTTATTAACTTCATCTCTTAAAACTAAAAATAAGTAAATAATAATAATAAAATTTAAAAAAATATTTATTATATTTTTATAATTAATAATTTTTTTATAAAAAAAATTATTTATAAATATAAACTCAGTTTTAAAAACTGAGGTTAACAAAACTCTTAATCTTTTTTTTCTTTTACTATGCCGCATTACACTTAATTCTACATTTTTTTTTTGTTTTCACTAATTTTGGAAAGGAAAACTTGAAATAATATTTTGAAGCATAATTAGACATCAAAAACATTGTCTTAATTTTAAATATTACAACTTTATTGTCATGAATCGTTAATTTTGTTATGTGATTATTATATTACTTCGACAATTCCCTTCAATGAGTAGACAAGTTAGAAGGATTTTTTTAATGGAAATTTATGCGATTGGCATTAAAACGATGCAAACTAACTTCAAAGGGCCAAAAAATATCCACAGGAATTGTTCAAGTGTTATGCTTGATCTTCTTTAAAATAAGTTCTTCATTTTGAACCTTGTGTGTGAAAAAAAAAAATTCTGAAATTACCAATCTTCACACATTGTAGATGTTCCAAGATTGAGTAATTATTGTTTTTTGTGGCTCTTGTGGAGTATGTCTGACTAGACCAAAAAAAAATTAACTTCAAAGGACAATCAAAATTGACAAACCAATTATTTTAATGCATGGATTTGTTAAAACATTTATAATTAAAGTTTTCATGAAAAGTATTTGATCTGATGTATACAGTGTATTAGTACGAATGGAGTAATTTAAAAGATTATAAGGGAAAAAACATTTGATGATATATATCATCTATAATCAATCACTCCTTTAATATATTTATCTAATGATTTATACTTTTGAAATTTTGTTTAATATAAGGTATAATTATATGTTGTTATTTTTAGGTTTGATTTATCTTATTTGAACTGAAATTAAATAAGATCTGATAAAACTCTCTTTATCCCACTTTAACATAAGTGCTAGGAAACACATATTTGGTTATGAATAATAGTGCATTATCAAGGTAGAGGTAAAATTAGAGTTAAATCAACTTTTAAAAATATTATCTAAAATAAAAATCAGTTTCACATTTATACAAAAACAAATTCTAATTATTACTTTAAAAGACATTATTTAAAAAATTAAGTAAATTATTTTATTAAAAATAACGTTAAAATGAATTAAAAATTACAAAGAAAATACATTAATAAAATTTTTCAATAATTTTTTAATTTAACTCTTTAAGTAATACTTAACAACTCTTAAATTATATATCTATCTAAAACATTTTAAAAATTTATTATTTTATTAATTTTTAAACTTATTTTTATTGAAAAATTATTAAATCTCAAAATTTTCAAATATATTAAATATTTTCTAATAATAAAATGATAATTAAAATTATTTAAAAATTTATATAAATAAATAAATAATTTCTTCTTAAAATATATAATAAAAACAGAGATGGTAAAAAATTGAACTCACCCACCCATTATTGGCTGTACGTATTTGTTGAAAAAGCATGAAAAGTCTGACAGAAAAAGATGACCTTTGCACTTTCAGTCTTTACAGAAACATATGTCACACGCACGCATGCATGCATTTCTAGTAAACATATTTCAATTTTTTAATATTCTTTGGAGCATGAATTTTGTATGATTATGTTTGGTTTACTAAATATTTTAAATTAAATTATAAATGTTTAAAAAATTATAAAAATAATTATATCTTAATTTCTAAAATTTAAATATAACATTCTACCTTTGTTTTTAATTAAAGTTACACTTTATTGTTCTATTATTCTCATCGATTTATGTTAAATATCACTGAGTATTAATATACATTTAAGAAAAGTGAATTTGTTTAAATTGATTTTCCTTTGAACTTTACTTTTGATATACTAATTTAAATTAATCAAATCGGCTAGTTTTAACGATCTACGGTGCACCGACTGTTGAGGGATATATAATGCTCTCCTTGAATTATAATAAAATATTTTTTATATTAAAAATTAAATTATAATAAAAAAATTATTAATTAATTAAATTAATAATATAAAGTATCGATACCTTCTCAAACGTAAAAGCAACGTAATAAATACTTTTTTTTCTTTTTTCTTCTTTCTTTTATTCTTTCTAGTTCCTCCCTTTTTTTCTTTCTTGTTTTTATTTTTTATGTTGATTTGTAATTCTTCTATCTTTCAAATTTTAAAATTAGTTTAATATTCTTAATATAGAAAAAAAAAACTAGAGGAGATTTAATGCTTTAAAAAACTTATGTGAGTGTGTTTTAAATATTGATGTGTATTGCAATTTACTTGGGTATTTTTAATTTTATATTTTTTTAACTGGATGTTACTCTTTTCACTAAGATTAATGGATATATATTTCTATGTTTTTGGGCAGTTGATTCAATTTATTTATTTTTTTATGTAGAGCTTTTCAAAACTCTAATAGCGTATGTTACATTATTCTAAAATTCAAAGTTGCTTAATTTTCATTATTTAAATACATGCTAATTTGCAATTTCAAATTTTATTCACTTAAGTTAACAGTGTTACACATTCTTTTCTGAAATTTTTTTGCAAAATAGATTATTAACATTACTCAAATATGAAAGAATCGAGTTTTAGGGGAAGATTTCCCATGATAAAGTACTTATATTATTAATTCACTTTTAACTTACATTAAGTTTTTAAAATCAAGCTATATTTCAAAATCAACTTTACAATATCCAATATAAAAGACACTTTTATATATGACATGCTTGATTAAGCTATTGATCAGCCACACAAAATCATGTTTACCGAAAAAGAAATGAGTATATGTACACAGTGCATTGTGATTGTTTGACAAATTTTAAAAACATATTTTTATTCATACTTTAAAAGTGATTTTATTTTACCATTCAAATAAAATCAATTTTTGTAAACTAACTTTTAAAGTATCAGTCACACACACGGGAAGAGAGAGAGAGAGAGAATGATGATCATGATGAGAACTGAGATGATTCGTTGACATGAAGATAAGTCGTTCTTCTGAGTGGATATTGCTTATTGAATTGTTAATATAAAGCGAATTACGAGAGGAATTGCCAAATGCATATTCAAGTAAGTTACTTACTTAAGATGGAGAGTACATGTGTTGTAGAAACAAAAAATGACTAAACATGATATTTGGAGCAACATGAATGCACAGTTGAAGTTAAAGTCTTGTTAAAAGAAGGTTATTATTTGTAGTTACAGTTATATCAGCAGAAAATAAAAAACTTCAGAAGTTGAGTAAACTATGACAGTGTGTTTTGGATATAGAAACAAAAAAATGAATTATTTGAAAGGGAAGCTTAGCTGAGAAACAATTGCATGAATGATAATGAGTTCCAAAGAAATTGGTAGGCCAACTTCCCTTCACAAGTCACAATATAAGAGGCGCCGCCCCTAATGATAATTAGAACACGCGTCCCAGACTCACAGGTAACTCACCATCTCTTGTAGAGTAATCATGTTTCTTTCATTTTCTCATTATTTCATTATTTATATATAGTAAGTACTAGTTTCATTTTCGTAATATTTATTATTATTGTCTAAAATGTGTTTATTCAACTTTCCTAGTACATGTTTGGAATATATTTTATACTCATCAAATCTTAATCTGAAAGGAGCACATTGGGTTTCACTCACAAATAATACTTGGCATAATCATGATTCATTTGTATAAATATAATTTTAGGTCTCAAACTTCAATTTGAATAAAAGAAATAAATTACTTTTTTATTGGCTAGATGACCATAATTTGTAAATTATAATCCAGATACAGGATTATATTTAAATGTTTGACAAGAGTTTGACCGTGAAAGTTTTAAAACAAATCTTATTTCAATCCTTGAGATTATAGGTATCAATTTTCAATCTTTGATTTTACAAAACCTTTGTTATAGTCTCTAATTTTAGAATTTGTCGTTCACTTTAATTTATTCTTATTACGAGTGAAAAAGCATGCAATCTCAAAAGTGAGCCAGCTTTCACTCAAATGTTTATTATGCTAATCTCTTGAAGTGCTGTGTTTTATCATTGACCACGCATTGTTGGGATTCTAATCACCTTCTTTTTCATATTTTCCCATTTCTCTAATTAAAAAAAAATAACATGTTAATAACAAAGAAAAAAATGATCAAGCGAAAATGTTATTACTTCTAAGAGAAAAAAAAATTCTTCTTGAAACTGAAGGAATAGGGAAAAGACATATAAAGGGACCAGTGATGTCATTACCCGTGGTGGATCTGAATGTGTTAACAAATAAAGCTTATGATATTGATTAGTTCTTTTGCTTCTCTCAACCTCCAATGGCCACCTCAAAAGAGAACGACAAAGGCTTTCGGCAACCTCTTTCTCTTTACTTTGAGGGACAAAATGGAACACACTCTTATTGACGGTGAGAAAGAAGAAACATCTATAGAGTTGCATAATCAGCATTACTTATACATTTGACAATGACAAAGGCATTTTGTGAAATCCAAGAAGGAAACACGGGGGACCAAATGGATTTTCTATGCTTTGTAAATCCTTTAGAGATGTAACTGATATATTTTGATAGGAATGCAAACCAAATAACAGAAACTCCAAACTAGAAAATTAAAGTAATGCATAACTTATTGTAGGATAAATTACCCTTTATCTCTTTATAATTTCTTTTATTTATTTATTTATATTAATAATTCCCCTTATTAGGATTCAAAAAATAACACTACAAGAGGATTAATTGACACAAAAAAAGTAGAGTTTAGTCATATAAAAGTATAAGAATAAATCGAGAAAAAGTGAAACTACATAGAATAAAATATAATTTACCCTTAATTTTAATTATTTTTTATATTATTTCTTTTTATCTAAGCATGTAACCAAGTCGTTCCTACTAGCATGGTGTTACAACATGCATTCAATTCTATGAATGGATAGCATATGTTGTTGTGCGTACATCATTTGAACTGACTTGTTATTGCAATACTAATTACCAATAAATTAATTCCTAAATTATTTGATTGTATTCTTACACTGAAGACATATAAAATCATGATGTTTCACATCAGAAATAAGCTGATATATCAGAAAAGAGCAGCAGATGACAAAATTGCCTTGTTACTAAGATACTCTTGGTCTGAGGCTAAGCCTTGTCCTTCTCATAAACCATAAGCCCAATTATAATGTTAATAATGTTGATGCAAGTCACAGGAATCAAGGGGTGACCACATTAAAAGTCACCAAAAGTATATGAAGGAAAAGCACAAGAAAAGAATATGGACAGAAAAAGTTGGACCCCAAAGTATAAGCCATAAGCTGACAGCACATCCCCACGTCACATGCATTCTGTGGTGACTGGTGAGTGAAACCACAATTCACAAGAACTTTACCACTCTTCTACCAATCTTATTAATTTTAGGACCTCAAAGCTTATGATGTTCCCGCCTATTTGCAATTTGCATGCTAAATAATAATCTCACAGCCTTATAATACATTTAACTTATAGTAGAAATAATTAATAATTTAGCATCATAACTATCTCAGTGGTAGTTTAAATTGGGCCAACGTGAATCATTTGCCTTGTTCCCATTGAACTTTGAAGACTTTCTCTTGCACGCCTCAATGCATCTAGAGCTTCAAGGACACTCAAACTCACTGGTTTGGGATTACTGGTGGCATGTGATGTTGCTGTCACATTCACGGGAACTATTGCCAGAGAATTGTCACAGAAATCTGCATGATCACTCTCATTTTCTGTCACTGATGATCTTGGGCTTAAGCTGAAAAGCCTGAAAACACAGTCCCAAATTCCAAAATTGGCCGCTTTGATTAAACAAATGCAATTAACAGACAAAAATTGTTCATCTAATAGGATATGATATAAAATCACGGGATATAATTTAAAAGAAAAATATGTATAATTATAATAGTAACAAATTTGTAATTTTGATACATTAACATGTATTTTATTATGATCTCAACCGTTAATTTTTTAATCAACGCTCATAATTGCACTAAGCCAAATCTCATCTAACTGTCAGCGTCAGCACGTTCAAATTTAGTACCTGCTTTCATCATTCTTCAAATTCCCAAAGCCTGTATTCGGATCCTCACTCAGAATTTGTGGAGATGAATAACCCGGGTCTGAAATACAACTGAAATTATCAGTATTCTGAGAATCACAATCTTTGGTAGTGGATGGACTATTCTGGGTCTGAATGAGTGTTGAGGCTTCTAAAACATTGTGATTGTGAACTACATTTTGTGGCAAAGCTGGATCCTTTACATGATGTATTGCTTCATTTGCTTCTGAATGTTTGGAAGCTGAACTAATTGAAGATGACCCACAAGAATTTTCACATTTCTCTGACGAATCAGAATGCTCCAATTGCCCTATCTTGGAGGATATGTTGAAAGATTCAAGCTTCTCCTTTAAAAATTTAAGCTTTCTTTCAGCTTTATCTCTTAATTTGGTCTCTTTTCTGAGCAATTTTTCCAACTCAACCAACTGCCCACCACCCCAGAAGAATTTTTCAAATTTTTAGAGACAGAAAAAGAAACATAGAATAAAGTTTGTCAGACAAAAGGCCACACAAATAGAACACTAGAACAGCAATGTCATTTTCTTTCCTGATCTAAAAACAGTGTCACATAAAAAGTTAAGTGAAACAATTATTCAAAATTGATACTCTTTAAGTCTTAATAGATTAGATATATCATATATTACCTTGTTGCCCATCGATTCTGCTTCCTCCTTGGCTACCCTTGAAGCTTGTCTCTCTGCCAACAGTCTCCCTCTGAGGCACCCCACAGTATTCAGACTCTCATCTCCTTCCATTTTCTTGCAGCTGAAATGACCAATTGAGCAATGTCATTCCATTTTTCATGCCACTGGGATACCCCATTTCACAATGCAATTGAGAGAGAAAGAGAGACAAAAAACACACCTCCTTATGTGGTCCTTATCAGCAGCTATCACTTGCTTATAATATGCACTTTCATCACAGCAAGACTCCATCTCAGCCCTTCAGATCAGACCCAAAAGTGTGTTGAGGTTATTTTCAAATAAACAGAGAAAAGGGTAATGCGATATGACTAATGCTTTCTTAGAAAGAAGAATCCTTGTTGTGCAATGTGCATTGCAGGTTCAAAAATAAATGTACTTTGAACATTTGAAAACCTGGGGGGAATGGAATCTTGCTCACAGCTCACACAAGGTGATTTTGAAGTCACTTTCACAAAGTTACAAATAAATAATTAAATATCCACCTTCAAAGTCCAAAGTACAATGCTGTGTTTTGTGGCACTTATTGACGGTGAATAGTTTTTTTTCCTTTTTCTATGTAATAGTTAAAGAGACTTTTTGGCGTAATTTAAAAGATATTTTTTACCACATTTATGTTTCGTGTATAAAACAAACATTCATCATATATGTATAAACTGTGTAGTTTAACAGCAAAATAAAGCATAAATGTAAAATAAAAATTGAAGTTACATGTCCATTTTACAATTTTTTTTTTCTGTTAAATATGTTGAAGTTTTGCTTACATGTAGTATTTGTCTCGTATAATTTATATAGCATCAATTAAAATAACTTCTTTTGATGATTTTTTAATAAAATTCAGGTGCCCACTTTTTTTATTTTGATTTTGACTATCCACCGATCAAAATAAATAATGGCAAAACATGCCTAAATAGAAGGCTTGCGTGAAGAGATTAATGTATTAATGTATATATAGATCTTACAATGACCAAAAGGCCAAGTCCCAAAGTCATAAATTATTAATTATCAACAATGTGACTGGTTTACTATACTTTATTAATTAAAATGTTTGAAATCTGAATCTATTGTTGTGTCTTTCAAACTGTTTGAAGGATTTGGTTTTAAAAAACTATTTTAGTATCAAAAGGAAAACAAAATTCACAAACCAAACAAATTTGCAATTGCCACTCAAAATAAAAATTAAAAAAAAAAAAGAAAATATTTGTATTGAAAACTATGGCCTTGGTCGGTTTGCCCTATGCTTCTTGCAGCTGCAGGCTGCAGCAGGCACACAAGGAGAGTGTTTTGTGTGATACAGACACATATAATTCTGTAGCATTTATTTTTCTTTTCTAACAGCATTTATTATTTATTGTATGGTATGAATTACTTTGTTAAATTTAAATTTTGAATTTGCATGAAAGGGATGAGTTTGCTTGTCCACCCTTGATTCACTACTGTCACGTGATCTTCTTCAATTGTCTTTTCCTTCTCAACCTTCTTCTCTCTCTCTCTCTTAATATCTCCCATCTGTCCATCCTTCCATAAAAATAATACTGTACAAACTATTTTAGGAATGAAAAAAAAGCATATAAAATTGTTAAATTAGAAATTAATTAATATGTATATATCATTAAAAAAATGCATAAATATAGACCACATTTTATTATGAGGAGAATAAAAATAGAAAATATAAACTGTTAAACTTTATCTAAATAATTATTATTAAAATTATTAATTTTTAATTTTCATCATCTATATATCATTATATAATCTAAATTTATAATTTTTGCAACATGAGACAAATATTAAATTTGCTGCCTGTTTAGCAAACTCAAAATCAATTTATTTTCTGTATAACATGTTAACATAAAGTATGCACATAACCGTCTTGTTAATTTAAAAATAATTTTCCATATTTTATGATTTAAGGTTTAGGAAAACATGTTTCTAAGGATGATTACTTGTTTTTTAAATTGGGCTCTGAAGTCACTTATAATATATATATATATATATATATATATATATATATATTTAACAAAAGTGACTTGATTAAAATATAGGATAGGATTCTAATATTGAAGGAAGAGTGTATGGGTATAACTAACCAAACAGGCAAGTAGGCCCAAATACTAATAATTATACCAAATTATGTCTGCAACTGTGAAAATGGTTATAGAACTCTTCAATTTTATATTTCCAATTACATGTTAATGTATATGAGAAGCATAATCACTATTATGAGGTTTTGCTTTTGTCTTGCACTTCACTCAAAGAAATGAGATTGCTCTTTACTTTATTCTTCACTGTAGATCAAATACTTCCACCTAACTACACTATTATTATCCATTCCAAAGTTCAGAACATAAATGCATTAAACTTTACCTGTATTTCACTGCAGGACCACTTCACCTTTACTTAAGGGTCGCCTTTTGAATTGCTCACGGACTCAGGTACCTTTATTAGACCTCAAACATTTTCATCTTCTTATATGAACCTAGAAAAGATGGGGAAAAAAATTATCAATTTCATTTAAAATTGAATAGATGAATGTTCGTGAAACTTCTAATTATTAGTTGAAGTTTATTAAAATTTATAAACATAACATAAGTCCAAATGCACACTGCACATGAAATCACAATTAGCAGTTTCATATAAAAGACTTTTAGTTTTATCTATGCAATTACTTAGTATAGTATAATTGATATTAATCAATAGCTTACATTAAATTAGTATTCTTTTTCTTAAATTAATATCACTCTTAATGGTTATGTAAGGCATCACTTAAAAAAAAATATTGACTAACAAATTTGTTAATTTAATAATTAAAAATGAACAGATTATGATTGATTCTTCTAAACCTCTTAACCTCAATTTATTTTAATAGTTTCATTAGCTAATCATAATATAATTATTAGTTAACTCATTAATATTGATAGTAATTGATTCTCAAACGTAAAGTAAAAGAAAAAAATCATTTTAAAGAATATATTAAAATTTAGAAAACAAATAATTTAACTCAAGATCTATTATATCCCTTGAGTATCAGTTTAGTTTTCCTAATTAAAAAATAAATAAAACATCAAATCCACAACATAAACTTAACAAAATAGCATAATGAAATAAAAAGATAATGACCCTTCCAACTGTGAATATTGTGAGTATCTAAGATTCTTCCACATGAAGTATATTTAGTCCACAATGATATTGGGAGGGTGCACGAGTGTGCATTTATTTGGCAACCAACAAATTAAAATTGGCATAGTCATATATGCTACATTCAAAATAGCTTCCATGGATGTGACTGTAATCTGACACGAGTGTGCTCATTCTTACACCACCGTGCCAATAAATGATTCACAATTCACTATGTTTTCTTCCTATTTACATATATTTTTATTTCTATTCATATGATATTTTATTTTTTATTTTAATTTCTGATTTATTAGAATTTAGCATGTGACATAATAAAATAATTAACATGTGACAAATTATTAATTAATCATATCATCACTATTCAATTTAAAGAAATTAAGAATTAAAGGACACGTAATATGTATTTGTAATATTGACTATTGAATTGAAATTGTGGCTGAAGTGTTGTTTGCGTGAACTTTAACGATGATTAATGAACAGTGATCACGTGGAAGCTTAGTCGAACACGTGGTTGGTCACGAAATATAATTAACTCATAACCAAATATTGATTGAAGATTATGTAATCCATCCACATTTGGGCAAATGTCATATGCTTACTGGCACTGCTTTATTATATTTTCCCTACTTTTAAATCAACATTAACTTAATTTTAGTATTTTTAATACTATTTTTAAATTAAAATTTGAATATTACTTTAATAAAAAATTATAAAAAATATTCAGTAATACATTTTTTCATCATATCTAAATATTCGATTTAAGCCAGATTCAAATTAAATAAAATAAAAGAAAAAAATAAAATTTTAATTTTAATTCAAAAATACTTAAAATTTGTACTTTGAATTAATGTATTTAATTATAAAAAAATAAAAAAATCATATAGACTAATTTAAAAAAAAAGATATTTCGGTGTTGAGATTGGATATGGAAGTTGGGCGGGCCATGGCCCATGGGCTTGAATGGGGGGTGTTATTTGAGCATTATAGCTGGAATTACGTGTTTGGTATCTGGCAAGTGCGACTATCCTCATCTAATCAAATATTTGTTATATATGATTAAGAGTTGATTTTTTATGAACACGCTTAAGAAATACAATTATTTATCAACTACATTATACTTTGTTGATTTCTGTAGTTCTGTTTTGCTGGAATCAGAATATGTGCCTACTGTTTAAGATAAATTTTCTAATTTTTTAAAATGAATTATAATACACTATTTATTTAAATAATATTAATTTAATCATCAATATTGTGATATCAAAAACTTTAAATAATTATGAATATACATAAATTTTTATTTTACACAATATTACACTTTTTTTTTTATAAAAATTGTATGATAAATTTAATTGTTGAGATCACAAATACTTATTAATTTAGTCTTTAAAATTATTAAAAAGTAATGATTTTAGTTCTATAAATAGGTAGCTATTATTTTAATAATTACATTATAAAAAAATATTTTTATGTTTGAAATGATAAAAAAAAATTAATTATTTTAATTCTTAAAATTATAGGCTCAATTTAATTTTTAAAATTGTGAAAAGATTTTGTTTAGTTCTTGAAATATCTTTATCTAAAATCTATCTATTTTATTTATATTTTTAAACTTTTCACAAACTCTTCATTTAATAGCTGAAAAAGAAATATGATAAATAAATATATAATTAAAATAGTTAGTTAAAGTTATTGTTTCTATATATTTAATTTATTATATATATATATATATATATATATATATATATGTATATAAAGATACATAAATTGGCTAATAGAGATTAGTTTAAGTGACAAATAACTTAGTATCACTTGATAAAAGTTTTGAATTCAAATTTTTGTATATGAAAAAAAAATTATAATATTAGACTCATCTATCATATCCAAATATACAATTTAAGTTAAATCCAGATTAAACCAAATAAAAAAAAAACACAAATTGAGTCGGGTTAAACTCTGATCTTTATATTTTTAATCGAATATTTTTCGTCAATAGTTCAAGCTTTTTGGGGGTCCAATCAATAGTTAGAGCTGAAGCACATTTTTTGGTCCATCAAAGCTGAAACAGTTTTAAATCTTTCGAATATGATTCATTTATTGGGCCACCGACTCTTCTTGGGTCAATTCAGTTTTTAGCACACTAAGAGGCCCAAGAAAAAGTTTCATCATCTATTTTTTTTTTTTTGCAGTAGTCTGTTTAACATTTTTTTTAATGCTAAGATACAAATTTATTAAATATCAAAAGAGAGTGCATCTAAAATAAACGATGGAGGAATGTCCATCCAACAATTTATATTTCTACCAAAATTTGCCAAAGCATTAACAACTCTATTTTTGTGTTGTTCTGTCCAATGAAAGGTGCATGAACTAAGTTTTCACTATACTTTATGATATCTTCTAGTAAAAATTCCATTGCTGACAAAAATGAAGCTCTCTCATTAAGTGCCTGGATAATCAATTGAGAATTTCCCTCTACATATACATAATTGAAGTTCCAAGTAGACAAGAAAGTCAGGCCTTCTCTTATTGCAATGGCTTCTAGGGAGTCAATTGATTATGTCATCATCTTACCATTTATATCAAAAGAGGCATTCACATTCAACTTAATATAAGAATGAGTTGGAGAAGGTATAGATTTTAGTGCCTTGTTTCTATGTGTCAGCTAATTTCCTTTTTACATAATTGAAAATTTTCTCCTTTTAATACTCTACATTGCAACGGAGTTTTGAGTCTAAGAAAATGTACAAAATTAATTTTGAATGATAAACAAACTGGCTCTTGCTCATTTCAAATTGAGAGATCTTTTTCTTATATCTCTTGGGTACAGGGTATATTAGTCTATGGGCATTTTCTATTGTGTAATCTGAAGGAAAAGGAAAAAGGTATGGGTCTTTTCTCGACTGTAAAAAAAATTGTAAACTATACATAAACTTGAATAAATGATGATTGAGATGTTGTTACGTGATGACAGCCATTCAGAAAAAGAAAAGGAAGCCATGATTAATTGATGTTGTGCATATTGTATGCCAAATATTTAAAGCACAATAAACTCTGATATTTTTTCCCAATAAATAATTGTTTTGCAGCGGAAGAGCTAGAAATAATAGTTACGTTTTTGTTTGAATTGAATCCCCTAATCTCTTAAATGATTATAATTAAGTCCGTCCATCAGTTTTCTTTTACTCCAAATCTGCATCTTTATTTTCTATTAAAAAAATGAATGTTTATATATGATATATTTGAGATAGAAATGATTTGAAATATTTCAAATTTAAAATTTGGATAAAATTAAATTTATTTTATGGGATTTGATGATAGGGTTCCAAGAAAATAAGCATTTAGAATTTCTTAATTTTAAGTGAAAATAAAAACTCAAAAACCGATAGAAGAATTTTATTGTAGAAATTAAAATCGTGAAGGACTAAATTCAAATAAAAAAATTAGTTGTGAAATAAAAAATTATTTTAAAAATAATATCGTAAATTGTTTTTTTGGTCTAATAAAAATCAAATATTTGAATAAATGGACGGATCCGCCTTAGAGTATAGGATCCATCTATTTATGGGCTAAATGATGATTGCCCAATTAATTCCACAAAAAACCAATGTTTTCGTTAGATGGATAAGTATTGGGCTTCTTCCGCAACTTTATTCCCTCAATCCCCCCTTCGGCCCTTACCTTTCTAAAAATGGAAAAAGCTCTTTCCATTCTTCAATTATTTTCCTCACCCTGACCCAAATAAAATATTTCTTCCTTTTTCTCAGTTTATTTCCTACACTTTTTGCATAAGAGTAGAATAATGATAGTTAACAAAATTTGAGTAAAGTGTAATGTCCAAGGTAAGTGATGTGCTTAACTTTTTCCTTTGTCTTAGTTTGGCAAGGTAGCAAATGGTGAATTAGGAATAAAGTTAACATGACTGTTCTAATACAGTCAAGAAGGGGTTTTAGTAGAAAGATAGAAGGATGCGTTTACATACTTTGGCTTGCTCATTTGATTATGGAAGAATATAAAAATTGAATGGTTAGATTTTATTAAAAGAAAGCTGCAGAAAGGAGAGGAAATGAAACTTCGGTGAAAGGAGAACGCCGAGCAACTTGGATTTGTTTGTCCATTTTAGGGCACATCAAAATCATTGACATAAATCCATAAATAATGGGCCAACTGAAAATAAGCAATTAATGCAAATGAAGAGGCAATAACGAGGCACACATTGTGAAACTGAAAGTCGTTGCAATTTATGATTCTATCTATGGACATATGATAATATCTGTCTGAGTACTAATACTTAACATTATACATGCAAGATTACTTGATTATGAACCTCACACTTGTACTCTATCTATCCTTCCATTGATTTGGCCACACAGTCATACCCTCTGGCCTCTCTACCACAGGAGTCCCTGTCTGAGGTCAAAAACATAAACACCAAACACACATGCAAACCATTACATTGATCCTCTTCTCATCACAAATATCACGAGCCTTAGATTGTGGGCCCCACCTCCCTTTGATCCTGACAAATTGCGCCATCTAGTGCTTCCTTGAATTCATTTGTGAAGTAACAAATAAAAATGATTGTCCAACATTAACTATAGGGTTAAGGAATCATCCTAGCTAGCCTATCCTTTGGTACCCATTTTAACCAAGACTTCCCAGAGCCGTTGGATCTCTCCGAAGACATCATCGGACGGTAACCGAAACCTGCAGCAAGGACACGTGTTCCTCTTACCCAGCCACGGCAAAATGCACATCCAATGAAACAAATGCTGGCATGGCAACTCACACACGTCCCTCCCTATTTTCATCTCCTCTTTGCATATCACGCACTCTCTCCCACCCACCATCACCTCCATCGCCGGCAGTGCCACCACGGTCGCCGCCGACGCTGCCACCTCCCTCACTTCCTTCCCTTCACCGCCTCCACAACCCAGCGAACCCACCAGTCTCCAGCACCGGCTCACCGTCTCAACGAAGGGAATCAAGATCGTCCCTTCACACGCCCCAAGGGGTGGTGCAGAAGGAGAACAAGAAAGCGTCAGCAATGTCTCAGTGAAAAGGTTGATCAACTTTCCCCTCCAATCGCAAAAGGGTGCGTCGAGGGCTTCTGGAGTGTGATTGTGTGTTTCGCAGAGCAAAAGGAGGAGCAAAACGGCGTCGAGCTCACGCTGCCTGATGGCGGTGGACAACGGCGGAGGAAGCGGCGGTGACGTGGCGCTGTGTGGTTGGATGTGGCGGGTGAGGTGGTGGAGACATGAGAGGAGGTGGCGGGCAATGAGAAGGGTCTTTTGGGGGAGAGAGAGAGAGTGAAGATGGTGAAGCGTTAAAGAAAAAAGAGTTGGGGAAGAGAGGAGGGTAGAGAGGCGGTGATTGTGGTGGTGGGTGGCTGAGAGAATGGAGTGGGTAAGATCTGAGAACTTGGAAGGAGTGAGGGTGGAGAGTGCAGCCATGATGGTTGTTGTTGTTTCTTCCATTGTGGGATCATGTGCCTAATTGAACTTTGGCTTTTTACACGCTCAACTACGGAAGAAGAATGTTGCTTTTCATCTACGTGTGTGTGTGTGTGTGTTAGCGATTATTACTATAATAAATAGACAACTAGTTCTTGCTTGTATTGACCAATGTGTCCTTCCTTCACGTTCCTTTTTCTACCCATTGTATGTGTACTCTGTTACTATATCTTTTTGGTCGGTTGTCTGTTATATATTTAGGAACTTGTGATTGGTTACGTCAGTACCTGACTTCTTTTTACCCATCTTTCTGTGTGTTTAATTATACTAACAATGATTTCGCAAACACTAGAGGAGGTACTAATTTTAATTAGCAAAACTGTATAATTGTCGGGTATGTATCAAACTAAAGGAAGTAATAAATAGCTGTAACAGGAAGACAATATATGGAGGAGATATTTACTGGTCTCTATCAGTATATTCGCGTTTGTTAATAATATCTATGATTGATACTATCAATCATTAATGCTTCAAAACTATCGATATCCATTGCATGTTAAAATCGAAGGCCAAGCATGAATAAATGGAAAAAAAAGGGAAGAAAATATCAATATTGATTTGTAAGATTAAAATGGAAGTTAGATAGATTAGATTGCATATTACCTGATTTAGTCATTTTTGGACAGTAATCTGGAAAGGTTATGTGGAAATAACTAACACTGGTGTGACGCTTGTGGAGATGGAACATAATGAAATGGCAGCGCTTGTCCACACGTTGATGTCCAGTGCAAACACGTTTCTTACTCTTGTGCTTTTCGTTATCCCTTTCAGATGTTGTCTCTCGACCGATTTTGTTTATTGTCAACAAAACAAGCAGAAGAGAAAGTTCCACCCTTGGCCCATGCCCTGGCTTGTTCCTCTTGTCACTAGTCAATTTCACCAAAACAAATCAATAATGCAATTCAGGTGAAAAGATGTTGAAGAATTAGACATCATATACTTTGTTCGTCAAGACTTTTCTCATCTATTGCAGTTCCTTAAGTATTTTGTATTTTTAATTAAAATTATAGTTTCACCGATAAAAAAAAAAAAAAAACATTTAACATTATCGTAAATTATCAAGTTAAAACTCTAATTTTGATTAAAAAAATACTTTAAAAACTATGCTTAAGTTTTATCTTCCTATTAATACGTCCTAATTTCTCAAAGCTCCCAGCGTATGCCTACCATTGTGGAAACCTTGCAAATTGCTTCGTGGTACGAGTTAAGGAGGCATCGTGCATTTCTATGATGATGGGCACTTTAGTCAAAATAGTAAAATATAAGACCTAGTAGTCATTCCCTGTTTTGGAGAAAGACCACATTTGGGTGGCAAACCAAGCTATGATTAAAGGAAAGGATATTTAACAGATATGGGATGCTTTATTAGCAAGAAAACTATTTTCGAGACAAGAAAGGGGTAAAGAAGTAAAAAGAAAAAGGTGGATGCGAGACAAGCCCTACAAAAAAAGAATAAAAATGAAACAATTATGCTTCCTGGGTTAAATTACAACTGGCTTTGTCAAAATCAATGCTCAATGCATTCCAAAGTCTCATCTCACCGATTTGGTGATCTCCCAATAAATCCTATACGTGGAGCCATTTTCAACAGAAAGTGTCCCTTTTGTTCTAGCTTTTCACAAAATATTAGGCCCCCATCTCGTCCTTCCACACCGTATCAACCTTCGCGCCATAAATTTGAAGGGTAAAAAAAAGAAAAAAAATAAAGTATTCGTCCTGAAATTCGGGGATCCTACCTAAGTTCACAAAATACGATCACAATGTAGTTTGCCGAACAATCAATCAAGCTACTTGTAGAAGGAAACTGGCAAATTAACCTCAAATAAGATGGTATATCCATCTCAAGGAGCCATATCTTGACTGTAGAACCCAGCAGATGTTCATAAAATCTACGTCCTTCATCACCCAACCGACAAATGATTACATACTCCCTTGTAGCCCGGTGTTTCTAGGCCCAAACTATCTTCTTAGGTGAAAAATCAGTAATCAGCATGCATAAATTTTCTATTGACACTCAATAAAAAAGGAGAGATCATTCCTAACCTTTTGCACGCAGTAAAGCTTGATAATTTTGTGAGTACAGGAGCTATCTAGTTTCCGTACCTGAAAATTTGTGTGATCTTTTGCTGTTCCGGCCATAAAAGAGCGAGTGACATGTTTCAGTTTAAATTACCGCATGTCAGTTATTAACTAAACATTCTCATAATCTAACTCTTCCTGTAAAATATATCCTTCTTCCCTCATCACACAAAGCAATCCTTCCAGCAATGCATATATTTCATCAGATCTTCCATTTGACAAATCCTTGGCAATGAAACTTAGTAACCCTACACTCGTTTCAATCCAGCTACACCCACGGATCTTCTGCAACCCAATTTCTTTCAACTTTATCCTAACCTTCTCAGCTTCTTCCCATCTTCCAGCCTGTGAATATAAGTTGGTCATAATCATGTAATTCCCAGTATTTTCAGGCTCAATCTCAATCAAATGATCATAAGCAAGCTTGCCAATTTCAACATCATCATATATGGAAGCCCCATGTATCAAAGCACCCCAAACTTTAGCACTTGGTTCAATTGGCATATCAGAAATGAATTGAGCTGCTTCTGAGAGCTTTCCAGCTCGACTCAGAACAGCCACCATGCAAGCATAATGCTCCACCAAGGGTTGAATACTATATTTCAAGGGCATCGCATTCCAGATATCCCAAGCTTCATCAACCAATCCAGAATGAGCACAAGCTGTCAATACAGCAGTTAATGTCACTGGATCAGGTTGAATTCCATTATCTAGCATCTGAGTATAAAGACCAAGTGCCAAATCAGCATCTCCATGAATAGCATTGGCGGATATAATTGCTGTCCAAATGATTAAGCTCCTATTCCGTGATTGATCAAAAACCTGTTGTGCCCCATGAATAAACCCCAACTTTGCATAAGTATCAATAATGGCAGTTTCCACAATGATATTTTGATCATAACCACTTCTAATAGCATAGGCATGCACCTCTTTCACTCCTCGCAGGTTTGAGAAGTGAGAAAACAAAGGAAGAGCACTAGCAAGTGAGAAAGCATTGAGTTTCAAACCAGAACTCTGCATTTCTCGAACCAAATCAAAGACTCCTTTATACCGGTCATTCTGAACCATACCAGAAATCACAGTATTCCAGGTACTCAATCCAGGGTTTTCCATTCCATGAAAAATAGTCATTGCTTCATCCACGAACCCATAAACCATATAGCCCGAAATAATCGACCCATAAGTAACATCATCCTTCTCACTCATTTCCTCAAACAACTCTCGGGCATACTCCAAACTACCACATTTCGCATACATAGCAATCACCGCATTACAAAGCGAAACATCAACCTCAACTCCATTCTCGTTCACAAAACGGTGAACTTCCATTCCGAACAGAAGATCCTTAGACTGTCCACACGCCTGCATCACGCTCACTATGGTAACCCCATTGGGTACAAGTCCCGCAACATTCAACATCTCCAAGTACAAACCCTTACACTTATCATAGAACCCACTCTGAGAATACCCAGCAATCATAGAGTTCCAAGTCACGATATCCCTCTCAGCCATTCCGTCGAACACTTTGCGCGCAAGTTCAATTTCATCGCTTCTGCAGTAACACGTGACCAATGCATTGAGAACGAAAATATCAGAGTCCAACCCACGTCGAAGAACGAAACAGTGAACCTCTTTTGTCAATTTGGGGATCCAGAAAGAGGAAGCCAGAATCTTCAAGACGCATGTAGCGGTGTAGTTATCGGGAGAGACGTTGGTGTTGGTGGAAGAGGCGAACGACGAAAACAGGTTAAGCGCGTCACGGTACATGCCGTTGAAGGAGTAGCCCATGAGCATGGCGTTCCAGGAGAAGGAATTTTTGTGGGGAATCGCGTCGAACACCTTGCGCGCTTCGCGCGCGTGATTGGACCTGGCGTAGCAGATGATGAGCTTCGAGGCGAGGAAGTTATGGGGTGTGACGGAGAACAGGAATAGGCGAGCGTGGAGCTGCTTAGCCTGCCGGATGAGGCGGTGGCTGGTGCAGTGCTGAATGGCGGCGCCAAAGGCGGCGCAGTCGACACCGCCGCAGGTTGTGAGCAGTTTTTGTCGGAGATTGCCGTTAACGGCCAATTGAGTTTGAATTTGAACGCTCCGTGCCACCGGGTTATGGATCCTCATTCTGATTCATTTGTTTTGCAAGGCAACGCTGGATTTTCGTGGTTGCTCTTCAAGGAAAATTCGGGCCGGGCCTCTAGCCCAATTTTGTTTTTTTGTGGGCTACAAAAATTATCGACTTTTGTCTCGGAAATTATATTTTTCAGCTTTTATTTTTACTTTTAACAGCCACCTTTAATATTTTTTGTCAATTTTTTTTTTCTAAAATTACCCTTTTTTCTAACCTCGTTAAAACATTGACAAAGAAGAAAATTCTCCTTAGTTTCCTTTACCACATCTCCATCTTCTTATCTCAAGACGATTAAATTGAAAATTCGTGGCTATTAATCACAAACGATTACTTATATTTTATTTTTTTTTCAAACTATTGCAATATTCAAAATAAACAACCCTCAATCCGAAGTTCTAGCAAATACTATTGAAATGGAACCTCTCTTATAATAGACATCATTTTTATGTGTCACCTGCATATATGCTAGAGCAAATAATTGATGAAGAGTGTTTTCTACTGTTTTTAAAAATGTTGTGGAAGCTAATTTTGCAGTGGATTAGTGGAACTTGATTCCTGAAACTTCATGAATAAAGAGGATTTTTATTGTTAGCGTTGATTTTTTTTTCCTCATTTTATTATTTGAAATTCGAAATTTGAGATTGCATGTTGAAGAGTCACAACGAACAACAATCTAACATATCACATTATTATTTCATAAAAAAAAAAAAACTTAAAATTTAGATGTTGGGATGAAATGCAATAATGCATCCCTATTACATGTCTATGTCTTGTAAGAAAGAGTCGCACTTAAATATTTTGCATTATTATTGGTTAATCCTTTTTATATGTATGATATTAATCTGTATTTGTATTTATTGTATATTTAATAATTTACTTACTTAAATTAAATATTAATTTAAAAGTAATAAATAGAGATATATAATTTTATTACAAATATTTAAAGTATTATACCATTTTTTATGACTTATTTATATATAAATCTTATAAATTTTATAAAGATATAATTATTTAATTGATTACTTGTAACGAAGTTTACAAATAAATCATTAAATAAACTAACAAGATAAATAAAACTTTTAAAAATGTTAGACTAAATTTAACAAAAAAGCTATAACAAATAATTTATTATACTCAAACTTTAAAATTATTAGATAAATTATATCATGTAATTAATTTTATTTACTCACATTTTTTATACATATAAAATAATATTTATATCTTAGGTTATTATTAATTGAAAATATCTTATATTGTTATCAAATTATACAAAAATTTATCACCAAATCAAACAGAATATTGTAACAAAGGGCATATAGGTGGCTATCAAATTATCCACTAACTCAATAATTAAAAAGTATAAAATTTAGATTTAAATATATTTTAACTATCTTTAAATAAGATTTATTTCAAATTACTATCTATTAATTCTTTTTATTTTATTACTTAACTATTTTTTTTTATTTTATACTTAATGTTCACTTCCGTCAATTAAATAGTGACATAGCTCACAGTTTGTCATATTATCCAATCTCTCTCCTCCACTTCATCTTTAAATTTTCACCTCACAAATATTTTAACTACCTATAAATTGAGTTTATTTCAAATTACTACTTATTAAATATTTATTTTGTCATTTGTGTCTAACTATTTTTTTAATTTTGTACTTGAGGTTAATCTTTATTAATCAAATGGTGACATGATTCACAATTTGTCATATCACTTGTAATCTTTTTTCTCTATCTTACTCTTAAAATTTCACGTCATGAATCTGTCTTTAAAAAAATTAAAAAATTAAAAAATTAAAAAATTAAAAAATTAAAAAATTAAAAAATTAAAAAATTAAAATTCAGGCATGTAGTGTTTCAACTTTAAAAATGTTGAAGAAAGAAACACTAATGTTATAAATGGACAATTAAGAATATTTTTTTAAAAAAATATATTTATTTTCTCAACAGCAAACTGTAAAATACATCACTATTTAATTGACAATGGTTAATATCAAATACAAAATCAAAAAAACAATTAGATATTAAAATAAAAAATTAATAGGTAATAATTTGAAATAAATTTTATTTAGAGGTAGTTAAACTTAAAATATTTGTTACATAAAAATTTAAAGATGATATAAAAGAGAGAGATTGGAGTGATGTGACAAATTGTGAGAGTTAATGTCATATATAAAATTAAAAAAATAATTAAATATTAAAATAAAAAAAATTAATAAGTAATATTTAAAATAAATTATGTTTAGAGGTAGTTAAAGCATATTTATACTTAAATTTTATTATATTTTTATTAAAAAAATAACTATATGTATAATTCTTTAAATGGAAAGTAATAGTTAAGTAAGTTATTTTTTGAAATTAATAAATTCAGAATTTGAGCATGACAGTGTGAAAAAAATTTACGAGTAAGAAATTATGTAAAAGATTACAAAATGAACCGTCGCTTACCACGGCACAGAAGCTTGAGCCAATGAGGAATGGCCACACTGACAGAGGGCCCCACGAGGCACTAGCTTACCGTCCTCAGTCGTACGTACGTCCGGTTAGTTTTGGAAATCCATTTTTCAATTATAATTAAAGTACCATACGGTGTTGTGGTTAAGTTCAACTAACTCAGTTACCAAGCATCCTAAGTCACAGCATCGCATATCACTAGACAAGACATGTACATTAACCCAAGATTTATGCTTCATTGCATAGAAAAATGCCAAATTTTGGTGAACATGTTAATTTGGCAACACGGGTAGTGACTTCACGAGATCACTCTTATTCAGGGGAAGGTCGTTTCTGCCTTTAACTTATCATATATAATTGTATTTGCAATTTTGCATTAGAGCAACGTTTCCTTGGGCTTGGGGTCTTCTCTTCAGAACGTTATCATGGAATCGTTTTTCTTCAAAACGATGGTATCCCACAACGAGACGTTCCAGCAGCAGATGCAGGTTCCTTTGGCGGGGATGGATTTGTCGTGGATGGCTGAGTTTGTGGAGGGTATGGCGAAGCCTGTGGCTGCCACCGTGGTGGTTTTTGTGGCTGTGGTATTGTCGTTTTGGCAGAAGCTGGGGCTTGAGTGGGAGATGGTTTACGCCATGTTGAGGGCATTTCTTCAGCTCTCTGTTATTGGGTTTGTGTTGCAGTTCATATTCAACCAGGACAACGCTGGATGGATCATTCTTGCATACCTTTTCATGGTAAGTGTTACTCATATCCTTTCATATTTCATTGTTTTCAACTATACCTCTTCCATAGAGCAGAATCAAAACATACTAGTGGAACTTGTGCCTCCTTTTTTTGCTTCTCGCTGATAAATTATAGTCCGGGAAGCGGGAACTTAATCGTTTCTAACACTTTCCATTAACCAAAGATGGCCCTTCTGATTTTAAATTCATTAAAACAGTGAAATTGACACAGTTTGCGCTTCCTTTTCCTTTTTCATTTTGTGCTCTTAATTTCGAAAATTGAAGGATTTCAATTATTCTATGCGCCTTAAGTTAATTTTCTTAGCAAATTTTGTCGGACAAGAATTTATTTTTTTGTATGTTAATTAATACTATTTATTTGTTTGTCTTTTCCTTTCAGTGATAAATTTCAACAAACAAAACCCAAACCATAAAGTATAAATATTATTATATCATCACAACCTCATGTAGCGTGTGTGGGGTGACCGGAGTAAAAAGAAAGAGAAAGGGTGAAAAAATATATTAGATAATATAAATAAAAAGATAACAAAAATATAAGAACTAGCAACACATTCTATAATAAACTTTTTATTCTTTACTAAAATTTATTAAATTCTAAAAGTTAGGATAAATTTTCACAACTCTATCTATCTACACTTGCAGAGTTGTCAATACAATGATAAGAAATAGAGGAATATTATTTCCAAATCATATTCTGATAAGAAGAGAAAAAGAAAGTAACAAAAAATGATTTTGAATAAATGAGTTTGGGTGCAGGTGTGTGTTGCTGGTTACACAGCGGGTCAACGAGCGAAACAGGTCCCTCGAGGGAAATATGTGGCTGGTGCATCCATTCTTATAGGAACAGCAGTGACCATGTTGGTACTAGTATTACTCAACGTGTTCCCTTTCACTCCCAGATACATAATCCCCGTAGCAGGCATGATGGTCGGAAACGCAATGACAGTAACCGGTGTTACCATGAAAAGACTCCGCGACGACATCAAAACACAAATGAACTTGGCAAGTCTTGTTGTTAATTCAATTCCTAAACTTTTCAATTATGAAATAATATTAATTAATTAGGGGATTTTGGAATAACAGGTTGAGACGGCATTAGCATTAGGTGCAACTCCGCGAGAAGCTACGCATCAGCAAGTGAAAAAGGCTTTGGTTTTGGCCCTTTCGCCAGTAGTGGACAACGCTAAAACTGTGGGTTTGATATCGCTGCCAGGGGCAATGACGGGTCTTATTATGGGAGGGGCTTCTCCATTGGAAGCCATTCAACTACAGATTGTGGTGATGAATATGTTGATAGGTGCATCCACTGTGAGTAGCATCATGTCTACGTACCTTTGTTGGCCAGCGTTCTTCACTAAGGCCTACCAATTAGAGACCAAAGTCTTCTCAAGATGAATCTACCTTCCATAAACCATACGCTTATCATCACTCCTTTTATTCTTCTCTCTCTCTGTTTTTATTTTGGTGGTTCATGTTTCATAGAGTCATCGCCCAAGGGGATTTTAATCTGGTTCTGCACCTTTTTTTTTCAACAACGTGTAGACGTCCAGTTTTTTTTTAATTCTTATTAGGAAAATATTATGGATACTAATTAAGAAATTGAAAACATTTTTGATTAAAAAAATGAACAAATGCTTTCAGCACAAATTTATTGCATACAAAATTCTAACAGTTAATTAATTGTCATGAATCTTGCCCGCTTTCAACAAACTGAAATGCAAATAAATGCCTAATGTATTTTTGAAATGACTGATTCGTTTAGGCATGGAATAATGCAATTGTTGTTCATATATATAGCAGGTGTCTTCATAAACTGAATATTTATATTTGCCTAAAATTGCTATTCACTAATTATTGTGTCAGCAACGTTAAACAGTACGACAACTTTCAAGCACGAAAACACGATTTAAAATTGACAAATGAAGTCAGCATAACTATTTAGGAAGGGGAGATATTTCATTTGTGAATAACACCACTTTCATTTAATGTATCACCGATTAATGTTTTTTTTTTTTCGATAATTTCTTATTACAAAATTTTCTCAATATTTCAATTGTAATTGGATTTTAAAGTCATTAAATTTAAAGTTGTGGCTACTTTTGCAACTTGTAATAATTAATGACCGACGAGACAGCCTTGTAATTGTCTTGCAAAAACCAGAAAAGGCCACCCATTCTTTGGTAAGTCAATCACAAATTAAAATACATAGAACAAACACATCCAAATGCATTATTTAACCCGTCTATACGATATGCCAACCGATGTGTTGTTCTATAGAAACGTACAACTAACTTACATTTAAAAAAAAAAAAAAAAAGCACGACAACGATTTTCATTAGACTAACATGTGATACAGTTTCCCCGACAACAATGCAGCATTTGGAATTAAAATACAACATTACAACATAAAAAATGCAAAGACATTTAAACAACCATATAAAAATCATGACACGGCCAAGAAGGACAAGTCTTTTGTAGAAAAAGGGAATAAAAAGAAGAAGTTTCTAATTAATCTTTGAAAGGGCTCCACCAATTAACTGTCTACCATTGCTGAAAAAAGCAAAGCAACAATAATTATGTACAATCTGCCAGCGAAACTGGACGACAAGATTAATGAAAAATCCACAATAAGTAATTTAATCTCGTGCAGCGAAGAACTCTATCAACAACCTTTGGTGATTAGTAGTAGAATTATGTATATGTGGGATATAATTATATAATGAAAACGTTAATTGTGTATTTATTAAAGGTGGTTAGGAATGAATTAAGTGTTATGTTGTTTCAAAGGGTGCTCATTTTCATAGTTACCAGGGGGGTCATATTCGCAAGCAATGAGCATTCCAGCACCGGGGTTGTGGCAATGCTGAAGCGCACAGCCAATGCGAATAGAGTCTCTCCACACGATCTGGGTGAAGTGGCCACACGCTTTGGGTGGTGGGGCACACGTGAGGGTGTGAAAATCATACCATTGTTTCTCCTTGTACCAATAGTACGTGGCATCAGAAGGGGTCCAATTCAACTTCTTCGCCCAAAACATGTTCTCGCCGTAGTCTGAGTTGGAGTGAACCAATTTGCAGTCCTCGTACCGCTGCATCAGGTACCCACGAGCGTAGCTCGCCAGTTGCTCGTCCCACGCGTACAGGGGAAGGTTGTAGAGCTTCCTCACCCAGTTGTGCGCGTGCAGGAACTCTTCCGCTAACTCAGTTTGGTTAACGGACGTCGTCGATGCCGGAATCCATCCGAAATACTTTCTTGTGTTGACGCGGTGGTGGCCGCCATGGTGGCCGCCATGGGTGTGGTTGCCCGCCGTGTTGTTGCCGGCCGGCAGTGACGGTTGCGGCTGCGAGGAGACGGTGGCGAGGAACAGGAGAAGGACGCAGAGGGGGAAGGGACGCATTGTGAGGTTTTGGTAAAGGGTGTGGAACGGAATAGCCGCTCTCGTATTCCGAGAGCTTGGGCTAGAATGGAATGGGATTGTGGTGTTTTTTATATTTGAACATGAGCCTTCTTTGTTTCCAAAACTGCATCTTGTACAAAATCCCGTGGATTTTGGGTGTCCATAAACCATGGGTCTATCAATAGTCAAAACGTTAATCAATTTTGTTTTCTCAGTTAATATATGGAATGCAAGATCTGTATTTCGATAACGGTTTTTCCACACACAACTTACTTACGGTAGTTTTTATTCAAAATTAATATATGAATAATATTAAATATTATATTTTTTAAGATTAAAAATAAAATTGTTACAGGAAAGGAATGCAGAGAAAATGGTGTGGCACATTTCTAAATCATTCTCTTGATTTGCTGCATATGGCTTCTTTTCCTTGCGTTCTCCTAAGTTAGTTGGGAAAATTTTGATTGTATTCTTCTGATTCTTAGCTCAATCCAATTTGCTTCCCGTCATCTCGTTGTTAAATTGTCAACAGGACTATTTGAGAGATTTACTTTCAAAATCACATCATTAAACATTAAATATGTATTAACTAAAGAATTTAAAATTTAAATTATACACTTGTTATGGTATTTAAAAGAAACTTTATAGAAACATATCTTTTTTATGATAACATAATACCATCAATACTAATTCTAAAACATCTTTGAATATTAGGAGCTATATTCTCAATATTTAGTTATCTTTATCATTCAATTTAATTCAATTCTTGGAATTTATTTATCCTGAAAGCCAAACTTCCATCTCACAGGTGTCTAAAATGAAGAATCAAACAAGAACAAGGTACACAGAACAATTTGGATTCAGATATGAAAGTTTCCGTTGGCGGTTTAAAATTTTCAAACAATGGTTTAATAGTGAGTACAAAGGAAGAACAAACGCTAAACTAAAAATTGTTATTTTCTTTTGGTTAAATTGAGAGGCAGAATAAAATTAGGAGGCAATTTATTTAATAAATTAACTTATAATTTATAATTATTTTTAAGTAATCAAAATTTAATATACTTTTATAATATAACTTGTAAATAATTTATCGTTCAATGAAATTTAATTAAAAAAGCTAGTTAATTATTTAAATCATATATGCAACTTAATCCAACTGAACAATTGAGCGGCGTGTAGAGTAAGTCGTCTGTGAAGACCGGAGAGAATTGCAGTAACAGGACGAAGGACGGAGTCAACAGCAGCAGTCGCCGCCAGTGACGTGGCAGGTGCGTAATGCGCACGGTGCGTAGACCAGACAACACCCCAGCCAATGACACTACCATAGCTTCTTCGCATTCCATTACCGAGCCATGTCGCTGCCCAATTCTAGGGTTCCTCTTCTCCTTTTTATCTCTTCCATATTCTTCGCCTCTTTTCCAGGTAATACTTATACTTTTCCTCTCAACATAACTAATTAACTAACTGTGGTGGTCGGGGTTGTTTGCATTTGCGTAGGGTTGATGTTGTGTGCAGTTGTGTCGCTGAGTTCAATTGAGATCTATAAAACACACGAATGGCTCAAAGCCACTTCAACTGTGTATTTCCTATGCAAAGGGAGAGAAGAGAACAAGACGGTGCTTCCGGATGTTAAGAAACCTCACGTCATTTATGCTTTCAATGGTCAAGAATCTTGGCAGGTTCCTTCTGTATACTGTTTTTCCATCCACTATTTTTATTCTCAATTCATTTCAACTCAATCAACTGAGACCATATGGGTTATGGGATGTGATTTCATACACTGCAAGTTTGAATCTCTTGCCCCCCCTTTTTTTTTCCAAGGAACTGTTATTATTCTCCACTTGACTACATAATACGTCTCTAATTACATACTGATGATGCTATTATGGTTCTGTTTCACGGGGGCTCAGTCTGTGTGTGACCTTTGTCCCAGAAATGGAATAGTTTTGGAACTTTGCCTGCTACTCTCTCTGATCTTTTCATAAGTCACGTTTTAAAAGATTTTAGAGGTTTTTTTACAAAGTATTTATAGTTTTTACGAAGTATATATTATGTTTTTAACATTTGTCCTTAATAAATGAGGTTGGTGAAAAACAACGAATCCCAGCAACACACCATTTAATACTTATTTTAATGTTCTTTCAATTATTGATTAAAATAATCATTAAAAACTATAAAAATTATGAGAGTGTATCTCTTTCTCACTCTTAATCTAATACTTCTCTCTCCCTTTTGTAATTTTTAATAAATTTTAGTCAATAATTAAGTGTGTTTTAGAGAGTTTATTATTAACATTCCCCAACTTGAATTAAAATTAACAAAGGTGAATATTTATAGTCGTTAGATAGAATAACATTAAATGAGAGTAAAATTGTCCCTCTATACTAATTTTTTAAAATATTTTAAAAAATCAACTAACTTTAATTACTTCTATTAATTTGTATAATTTAGTTGAAGATGTCTTGTAAATGTGATCGGCGGAAGTATTATAATTTATGTGTATTATTTACAAACAAGCATTTTAGTTCCTGCAACTTTTCACGCTTAAACTTTTTTTGGCACAGTGAAGGAGGGCTTTTTTTTTTTGTTACTTCAGGAAATTTAATTTCGGGAGTGATTTATAAATTACCTTTCTGGAATTAAATTTCCGGACGAGTATTTTATGCAATTTGGAATTACATTTCCGAAAATAATGAAAAACGGAGTTGCAATTAGAAAAAAAAAAAAGAAGAAGAAGGGTGTGTAAAGAAATTCCCCTTAGGGACCTGAAACTTTGGTAAATTTAAGTGTCTTGTATTGCGAGTTACTATTTGAAGCTGATATTGTGATTTTGTGTTGTGCTTGCAGCCTTTAACCAACTTTTCAAGTAAACAATGCAAGCGGTGTGGACTGTATGAGGAGGACAGCATTACTTCAGATGATGTATTTGACGAATGGGAGTTTTGTCCTTCTGACTTTGCTGCGCGAGATGGTGAATACATTCGATTCAAAGAAAAGGAATTCAATGCTACTTTTCTGTGCCGAGAGTGCTTATCTCTAGCGCGGGGTGAGTACTTGCTACCTTTTCCTTTGAAGGTTCTTTATTCCCACAATCATGCCATTTGACAGCACACATCAACTAGTTATTAGGAAAATGTGACTTAGGAGATGCCATTGCAAAAGCTGTATATTTATCAGAAGTATTTTAATTTCAATTTGTATGAGCGATTCGTTTGATATTTAGTTCTAGTGCTTATTTTTTTACACTTCGATGAAGCAAGTTATCCTCAATTTAGAATCTCAGGAAGGATTATTCATGTCATAAAAAAGCAAGTAACCTCAATTTGCTATATTGTATTGGATTTGTTCATCGTGGATAGCTTTGGTATTTAAATTAAGAATAGCAGATGACTTATATTCTTTAGATTTTTAAGACTCTAAAGAAAGGGGAAACAATAAACTAAATTATGCTGTTCCTCTTCTGCATTTGTGTTTACTATTCAAGCATCCCCTCTATTGTGAAAAGCTACACAAAATGCTACAACTAATTCCCAAAAATGTTGTTACTTGTTAGCAATATTGTTAATTGAGCCATTAACTCTTCGATTTTGATTTTGTCTAATGTGATTTCTATCCTAATTCAGCATCAATTGTTTTGATAAAAATAGAAAATTCCATCTATTAGGCATGTAGATGAACTGAAAGTTCTTGGTAGCCAACCATTTGAATTGAAGGTATAGTTACACTAAATGAACGCATTTTCCCCTCTTTTTGCTCCACATGTAAAGCTAACCAAGAGTCAGAATGCCATTCGATTGTAACGCATCCATGAGCTAACTAGTAACTACTGATAACAAATCTGGTAGGCTTAACACCATTTTAGATTTAATCCTAAACCATAACCCCCCCCCCCCCCCCCCAAAGAAAAAATTGACAATCGTTATGTCATAACCAACTAAATTGAGGAATATTAGATCGATTAAAGAGAAGCTACATAGTGTTTATTTTTGTTCTCAATCTTGTATTTATTTATTTTCTTTTTAATATTGATCTGTAAGTACTGTGAACTTGTGGAATTACTGGTTGTCTCAGACTCAGTATTTGGTTTGTTCCACTTCCTTGCAGTTCTGAACAACCTTCAAGGTCTTGTTCTAAGTTATGTTCATGTCATAAGCTTACGGTAAAGCAAGGAGGAGTGAAATCTCCTGACACCCCCCCCTCCAAAAAAAAAAAAACTTGTATTTTGTATAGCAATTGAATTTTATTTTCTGGAAACGCTTGCATTGATACTCATTTACATGCTTATTATTTTATAATAAAATTAATTGTATTCATGTTTTGTAGTCCCTGGCGCTTCTGATGAGCACGATAATGGAAAAGGAATGCATATAGCAGTCGGGGTTTTGCTTAGTGCTTTGGTCTCAATTATACTGGTGCTTGGATTGGTGGGTGCATATAAGTTCTGGCAAAAGAAGATAAGGGAACAGGACCAGGCTCGGTTTTTGAAGTTGTTTGAAGATGGAGATGACATTGGAGATGAGCTGGGCCTTGATACTGTGATATGATATAAAGATAGTAAACAAAATACTCCGTACAGTATAGGTCAACCTCAAAATATTGTTTTATGGAAAGGATTAGAAATTATTTTCTTCTGATTGAGATGCAATTATCACGATTCATAGGAGATGCTTATCAAAGCGAAAATAAAGATGCCCATGTTCACATCCACCTGTACATATAACGTTGGGCTATGTTGTAATTCTAATTAAGATTTGCAGAGCAATCTAATAGAAACAAATAAGCAAAATAAATAAATAAGCCTTGATTCTCATGAATGACCGTTATTTAATTGGCATGAGGATTTTTTAGACACTATCCAGTAGCCTGTGTGTACCACAATTTGTGTTGAGACTCTAGTTAGTGTTGCCACTCAAGAAGACAGCACAGCGGCACCATGTCAGTTACCACAATTCGTAGCTCTTCATCTTTATTCATCTCATTCTTCATAACACGTGATAGGGCGTTGTCTGATACAGGCAAAGCCATTAGTAAGTAGTATGAACCCTTGTCAAAACGATGATGTTTGTGCCTGGTTCGTGAGTGCTATTTCTATAATATATTCGCAATTTACGTGGCCAACATCTTTTGTTCTGCAAATAGCAAAACCAACCACCCAAAAGTCTAAGAATAAGGTTACATTCTTATATCTGAACTTCTACGGGACCTTAAGTTTTCCTTATAGAACCGACATGAAATTATACTCTTCAAATCCCCTTTAGTAATTTTTTAAAATCAATACAGGAAGGCATCTCTGAATTCCACACCATAGCATTTAACACTTAATCACCGACATGAAAAGCTTCCACTACTACACACTTTCAGACTTCTATTTATAGCTGTTTACCACAAAGACCTTATCGAGAGACCATTGGAGTTATTATTGGAAGATAATGAAAAGCCTGTTTTCACAAATATTCCATTGAGTATGTAATCACATTCAGTCAACATTTTGGAATATTACAAACCTCAGGGGGCAAATTCTATCGGTAGTTAACTAGTTTCATAGAAAAAGGTAGCCTCCATGGATCAAGATGCTCTTAGATTGAACTCTAGTATTTTTTATTTTTTGGATACAGCAAACACTAAATGGTTAATTTATATAAATTAGGGGTCCTTCGGTTAACCCAAAACAAGATATATGGAAACCAACTAGTTATAATTTCAGTGATCAATAATTCCCAGAAAGAACATACAATAAGAACCCATTAATCCTTTACATATAGCTATTTTTCCAGTGTAGTTAGGTTTACAACGTAGATACAAGAAGCACTTACAATAGTTCAAGAAATCATATATCAAAACTTACAAACATGAAAACTCCCACCAGCGTAATAATTAATGAAGATGAAGGCAAGAAAACGACCTTGAGCAATTAATAATTCAAAGCCAACAAAATCTAACTAGAAGAGCTCCTTATTGAGTTGTTAAAATTATAAAGCTCCTTTGAATTGGGACCATAAATAGCCTTAATTGTATCCCTACAGAAACTGCAAGAATAAAAATATTGGATTAGAAATACACTTCAGGTGTCTTTGTTTCAAGAAAAATGTTTTTGCTTGCTAATTTCTGCTTGTTTTTATACAGTATTTTCAGTGCATAAATTGCATACAAGTCAACAAGAAAATTTGGAGCATAGTAACAACATTCAGAATGACTTCTGCTTTAGCAAAATTCAGCATGTACGTGTCCTAGCCTTGGCAATTGTATTGTATAAGCAAAGGAAGCAAAGGCTAACAAATTAACGACCTCACTGTATCAACAGAATTTTCTTTAACATCTTAACTTTTATTGACCAAACACAGAAATACCATCCCTCAAAATCTTGAAATATAACCAACCTCAAAGCAAGCACCTTTATCAAATATTGACAAATAGCTGCACCTAATGCAGCTTGAAGTGAGGAGATAGAATCTCAAAAGTGTCAATGCCTTGTGATGGCTCCAAATTTTGGATCTAATAGAAACCCCAGAATTGTTCCAATCTCATGAAGTTCATATAAGATTGTTACCCAATTATACAACATAAGAACACTAGCACATCGTACACATTGAATTATTAACACCAAACAAAAGCATTTCTTTTTAGAAAAACAATTCATCTAAATTACTGTGATTCCTCCTTAAAAACACATTTCACTAAAAAGCAAGCAAGAAAGGTGAACCTGCAGGCCTCCTTGTGAAATTTCTTCTCTTTAACTCCATACAACGATTTGAATACCTCTGGCTCTACACGGCAAAAATATGGACGCTCTGAAGAGGAAGAAAAAGAACAAGTTAAACCCCAAACCCAACCTTCCCATTGAAGAAATTTAAACATCAACACTGAAAGGGACAATAACCAGAGTATATGGAGCATTTCCGAGTACTCTTTTCATAATGAATACACCATCCATCTGGGCCTATTAAGCTTTTGTAGAGCTGAAATTCATCACAGCACATTAACTATGAAGACTAAAAAGTAATAACATGTTGGGAATCAGGTTTGAGCATGCTTTAAAATTACGTTAACACCTTGTAGCAGCGTTGGAATAAACATGAATTTAAACACACAATAATACAAACAAATCATTTCAAACAATAAATGACATAGTCACTGAGTATATCACATGTACCACAAAAATTTGATTTTTTTTAAAGCTAAACGTAGAGTAGAAAAAGGACCTGAACGTGTGAAGGGTCATCGAAAATTTCTTCGGGAGAGAGAAAAGAAGGACCCTTTTGGAGCTTACAGCAGGCCCCACAACCCTCAACGCAATGCCACCATGTTTCCTTCTTATCGCCGCTGAAGCCGAGGCTGTTCTGCCTTTGCTTTTTCTCAGCCCTCACCTTAGCTGTCTGCCGTGGACCACGCGCCGCCGAACTGACGACGACGGATAACGGCAGTGTCAGAGTGGTGGTGGCCGGAGACATCATAAGCCGCTTACTTCCTTCTTGTGGCTTCCTGGCGAAGTGCAAACCATCATCCTAAAAGATATTTCACACTATTTTTTTTTAATTATTTTCTATTTACAAAAAGATATTAACATTTATAATTATTTATTTTTTAATATAATTATTCTTCAAAAATAAGAGAAATCATTAAATAAAAAAATAATGATAAGGGAATAGATATTAAGAAAGATCCAAAATTTATCATTCTTTATTAATTTATTTTAATGTGTTAAATTTAGTACGAAAATATACAAAATGAAGACAGAAAATAAGACGTTTAATCAAAAGAGTATACACAATAATCAGTGTTACTAAATTCGGCTAAGCTAATCACTCTGTCTAAGTACTGGTTATATATATAGACACACGTGTGTATTGAAATATGCACTATTATATCAATAACGAATAGTGGTTTGGGAGTTGGTGCTGCGGTTTCCCTCACTTGATCCAAGGTTTGAATCTCTTCAATTCAACAGGACTCTAAAAAAGAGTCTGCACGAAATACAGTGCCATTTTATATAAAGGAATTGTTCTCTTCAGGATGTTTTACTTACAAATTCGCTGCTGTAGAGGTTTGGAATCTTCTAGTGCTGAAGGTTTCCATAGACAATTTCACTTTAGTTTTTGAACTTTCACAGATAACCTTAGTCACTAGGCTCACTACGACTATTCGCCCAAACCATTATTTTTAATCTTTGGGTTAGGGGCAAACGGAATAATTGATGTTCAACAGGATTAGTCAGGTGAGTTAAATGGCCAAGCCTTACATCAGCGACCCCTAATTGTTATCCAGTTTATTTCCATATTTATCAAATACCAACTCCAAAAAATTGGTTTCTTATTAATATTTTTGCAGTATTTAATGCTATAGACTTCAATCATATGTAAACTCGAAGATGAACACATAAAATTTTAGTAAAATACCAATGCTGCATTGTATACCTCACACTTCAGTTGTTCCAAGTTCCTTCTCACTAACGTACAAATCTTTGGACTACGTTGCAACCCAGCTTCAACGAAGACTTGGCAAATTACTTCGAATGTCAATTGTCAATTATTGGGATGCCCTTGAGAACGACATTGATGTTTTAGTGCTTTGTTTGACCTCAGCTACCAGTCTTCTCCCTCACTAACTCGCTATTTTGGAGTGAAGATTTGTTGTAGTTTTTTGGTTTACACTAACTTATTAAGACAGTGAAGAAAAAATAAACAGTATTTGTTACAAAAAAAAACATATCAAAGTATAAAACAACTTATTTCATACTTTTTGGAATAAATAAATTTAGTTACTAATATACAGTAGACGTTGCTTAACTGTCTTTTTACGACAAACAGATGAAGACTACAAATAAAACGACTTTCGAGTTGAGACGATCACTTTTGCTTTGGTATAATGAAATCCAATTCCCCGGTTGAGCTAATTGTCTTGATTTTCCGTTTGATATCTCTAAATTATTTCGGCAAGTTGCCAAAAAAAAAAAAACATTTTCTAAAGCATGATTTAGTCCTTTTCTAAAAATAAGATCAAACCGGTAGTGGATTTTCGTTTAGAAAACTCCAAAACAAAGTTTGAGCGAATATGTCATGTAATTTTTGCCTGAATTATGGTATAGAAATTTCAAACGGAAATCTAAACACGCTATAAGTTGTCTATTCTGATTTTTGCTTTGATCTTGCTGATGATGTTCGAGACCTATCAGCACACCTCCCCACAAATTTCAGAATCTCATCGATTATAACAACCGGGAATGCAACAACCAAAACCAAAAGCCATTCATTGAAGCTCAGGGGCACGATGCCAAATACTTGGGCAAGGAATGGCATATACAAGATCAAAAAGTGAAGACCAAATGACACAGACATTGCCAAAAGAAGCCAAGGGTTGACCCAAGGAGGCATCGTCAAAAGGCTTCCATCCTCTGAAAGGGCATTGAGGGAATTGAACATTTCGATTGCTACCAACACAGAAAGGGAGAGAGTCATAGCCTTCACTTTTCCACCACGGAAATATTCACAAGGGTCGTTATCAAAAGAGACAACTTTAGCACCAGCGGTGAAAGGAGAAGCAGTGAAATTCTTCCATGTGGAGCATTGACCCCAGTTTGCAAGTTGGGAGTAAGTGACAAGAGAGTGCCCATCCCTGCTAAGGTCAATACCCAAGAAGGAACCATGTGTATACCATATAATGAAAACACCAACTGTAGCTAATCCAACGTACATCCCAATAACCTGAGCAGTGTAACAGAGAGAAGGAATAAGTAATCTTGACATGTAATCAATACTTCCAACACACGCCCAAATAACAGGTGTTGAGAAAAGGAAAAAGAGAAAACGTGGCAAATTACCAGATAACGGAATAAAATCCACATATTGATGAGAGAGTCGTCACTGTGACGAGGAGGCTTCTTCATTATATCCTTATCTGGAGGGTTAAATCCCAAAGCCGTTGCGGGTGGTCCATCTGTGACAAGATTGACCCACAGAAGCTGAACTGGTAGCAAACCTTCAGGAATACCTAAGGCAGCCGTTAGAAATATGGAAGCAACCTCCCCGATATTGGACGAGATCATGTACCTGCAAAAATAAAATAAAAATTGGAATCACCGAAAAGATATACTTTGATCATTAGAGAAGGCACTGAAAATTGGAGAATAACTAATTAACACCATAGTAAGATCTTAGTAAGGCTTGTGACATGCCATAATAAGAAATATAAAGCAATATAGGACATAATAATTTGTGATTGCCGGCAATTAAATTACAGCATATGTACCACGATCATAGATTTGGGGAGGGGCAGAAAATAAAGAGCATAACAAGTAACCACATCCTCTTAAGAGGGTTACTAAGAAATATAAAGATAGATTGATCCACCTGATAAAAGCCTTCATGTTATTGTAGATAGATCTACCTTCACCGACAGCAGCAACTATTGTGCTAAAATTATCATCAGCCAATACCATATCCGAAGCTTCCTTTGCCACCTGTTTTGGATGATAATAAAATCAGACAGATTATTGAGAACCAAAATAATCAGAATTACCATTTAGTATAAAATGAGTACACAAACAAAATAACAAGTATTAGATTCAAATTAAATCGTTTTATCAAACATGAAGCTATTTACAAGATTACCTTTTCCAATCAGAAAGCTAAAATTGATTTCTACTAATATTCCCCTGTACCAATTGCCATGATATGATCATAAGAGAAACGTATACCTCAGTCCCTGCAATGCCCATTGCAATGCCGATATCAGCGAGCTTCAAGGCAGGTGCATCATTAACACCATCTCCAGTCATGGCCACAACCTCCCCATCCTCTTTGAGCAGCCTCACAATTTCTTGCTTGTGCCTCGGTTCAGCCCTTGAAAACAAAAGCCCACCACTCTGAGACAGATGGGCTTTTTTATCACGAAGCTCCATAAATTCTTTTCCCGACATGCTTCTCAAACTAATGTCTTCATTGGGTCCAAATACACCTATTTCACGGCATACAGCTTCTGCTGTGTCCTTGTTGTCTCCAGTAATAACCAAAACACGAATTCCAGCTGCTCTACAGTCCTCTATTGCTTGGTATACCTCCTCCCTTGGAGGATCCTTATCACGAATTAACATTCAAAATTTAAAACATATACCACAGCTCAAATATATGATAAAAGTGAGAGAGTACACAGTGTAAAATGAGAAGATAGAAACTTACTCTTAACCCAACGAAGCCAACAAAAATAAGTTCACCTTCAATTGATGAATAGTTGGAAGGATTAAGCAAAAGCTTGTGAGCTGGATGATCATCATTACCGTTGTAGCTTTCAAACATAGGGAGCTCATCCTTATACGCAAATCCCAAACAGCGTAATGCACCAGTTGAAATTTCATGGAGAGCTTGCAATACAAGGTTCCTACCATTATTGTCCAGTTTCACGATAGAACCATCAGGCAACTGAATTTTAGAGCATCGTTCCAACACATTCTCTACAGCACCCTATCAAATATGAAGGCCAAATATGTTTAAAACACTACCCAACAGCTAAGATAAAAAAATGAGAACAGAAGTGTATAAGCACAGGTATGCAGAGGTATAGGGCTTGCAATGGAAATTGTCCTATCCTAAATACAAATTAATAAAGCCAACAAAAGATAGAGATGGACCAGGCGATAAACGCCTATGTTGTGGAGTTCAATTTATAAAATATAGAACAGACATTCAAAAACACTTCGCCAATTATTTACAACAAAAAAATGTACTTTTCACCCCAAGAAAAACACGTAGATATTCCACTTCATTAACATCGTATTTGTATTGGCAAGTTTAGTCAAAATAGCCACTTCCTACCCAAAATATTGACGACATGAGAAATGCATGCACTCTCCAACATAATCTATGTAGAGATTGATACTAGCATTCCTCTTCATTACATTCCTGTTCTTTAGACTAGCCTCCCCAAGCATATGCACTTTTGCATATGGAATGCTATTTGTTTTGTTAAATATCATAATTTACTTTCTTCAATTCTATTCTCTCACATCTAATTGTCATGCAAGTGCGGGAATAGTTACCATAAATGTATAGTAATCTCTACTGTTTTTGTTGTTTATAGTCGATAACAACGTGAGAAGCTTTGCCTAATTTCATGTACAGATAATTTCACAATAAGCAGTTTTGTCATTAATCAACTATAAGGTGTCTGATTAATGGGGAAAGAATTAGACATGTACAAGAGTAGGGACCAGCAGTCCCAGGGAGACAGGAAGAGACAATACCTTTACCAGCAGCGACTTTTTCCCTGAACTGGACTCCACAATTACACCCATTGACTTCCTGTCATGGTCAAACTCAAGAATAGCAATCCGACGGTCATGTACATTCCAGCATTCACAACAACCTTAATTAAAAATCGAGACAAAGCAAATTAATTTTATGTACTGAGTCTGTTTCTGACTCAAATTACCCCAAAAACCCTCCTGCTCAAAGAAATGCTTTATAAATTACTTTAATTCAAGTTCAACGTTCTTATTTTTCTCATTATGCAGAACAATATTATGAATAATAAGAAACCAAAAGGTTGAACCCACGTAGTAGGATACTTCCATTTGCTGAATCTGAACATACATCCTTAGATCCTTCAGGAAGACCCATCTTCTCCACGAGAACCTGAAATCCCAAGAAAAAGATGAAAGATTGTCATACGCGTTAAATTAAGTATATATTGAGTAGGTCCACTCGAATTGTGTGATTGTAAACACTTCACAAATACTGCAAAAAATGGATCCATAGCAAAATCTAAAACTATTAATCAACGTTAAAATAAACATAAATCCACAGTCATTTGAATACTAACCCAAACATACTATGAATTACAAATTGATAACAGTGTAAAAGGGGCAAGGAAAGGAAGGAGAAATGGTCTTTTACCATTCATTACCTTTAAGGCAGCTTCGGTGGGTATTCCATGAGCAGTAAACTTTTGCTCTGACTCTGCAACTTGGGAATCATTACAAACCGCAGCAATTTTAGCTATCATCTCAAGATTAGCATCAAATAAACCCGTTGACCAGTCCTCTATTTTACCATCACGAGGATTATAAGTAGTCCCTTCCACCTTGAAGTACCGCAACGTGTCCACGCCAGCACCAACAGTCACAATCTTGGTCACCGCCATCTGATTAGTCGTCAACGTACCCGTCTTATCGGAACAAATCACCGTCGTGCAACCCAGCGTTTCCACACTCGTCAGCTTCCGAACAAGCGCATTCTTCTGAGCCATCTTGCGTGTTCCCAACGCCAAGCAAGCAGTGATAACCGCCGGCAAACCTTCTGGAATCGCCGCCACGGCCAACGCCACCGCGATCTCAAAGTAATAAGTACACTTCTCAAACGAAAACTTGAAATTCCTCGGCCATCCATCCACGTTCTCCCACGTGAGAAAATATTTAACGTTGATGAGCCACACCAAACCACAAACAACTCCAATTATCAGAGTCAACGTTTCTCCGAACTCATTGAGCTTTTTCTTTAACGGCGTTTCTTCCTCACTCAATCCCGCCACGTGTATCTGCTTATGCACTTTTCCTATCTCCGTGTCCATGCCGGTGTGAGTAACCAAACAAAAGCAATGGCCGTTAACCACCGTTGTTCCCGCGAAGACCATGCACTTCTTGCCTTGAATATCAGTATCCTCCGCAACAGGCTTCGTCATCTTAATCACCGCTTCACTCTCTCCAGTGAGCGATCCCTGTTCTAACCGCAGAGTGGAGCTAACCAATTCAGCAATTCGCATATCGGCGGGGACTTTATCTCCGACCTTGAGTTCCACAACATCGCCGGGGACGAGTTCCTTCGCCGGCAAATTCGGGATCCACTTGCCGTCGCGAATCACGTCGGCGTGCTCCGATTGAACTTCTTTCAAAGCTTCGAGTGCTTTCTCGGCATTGGTCTCCTGCCACACCCCGACGACGGCGTTGACGACGAGGATGAGGAAGATGACGAGAGGCTCAACGAAAGCGGTGACGTCGACGTCGGCGGCTTCATGGCCGTCGAACCAGGCGAGAACGAATGAAACGATGGCGGCGAGAAGGAGAATCCGAACGAGAGTATCGTTGAACTGATCCAGAACGAGATTCCAAATGGATTGTCCCTGGTGGTTTTCGAATTCGTTGCAACCGAAAATACGACGCCGTTTCTCCACGTCGTTGAGACTCAACCCCGTTTTCAAACTCACGTTGAAATGCTCTTGGCATTCGGCAACGCTCTTAGCCCACGCCTTCAAGTTTTCGTCCTTCTTCATTTTCATCCAAATCGGTTACAGAGTTGATGTGGTAACAGTTTGGCGAGTACGTTTTATAATAACGAGTTTGTGTTGCTGAAGGGAAGAGCTTGGAGTTTGACTTGGACTTTGGGTTTTCCCCGGTAAAGTTGCGTCGTGGCTACACCTACATTGCGCTTCCATTCTGCGTTTTGTGAAAGCAATTAACTGGCGAAGTCATTTTATGAGTGGAAACTTCGCGGTACCTTCGTGCGGCTATTAAAATTAAATTAAATACTAAGCATGACGTTTCTTTGTTAGGGAAATGGATATCCAACTGAACCATTATTGCTGTACCATCGTCACGTAACTTCCAATAATACCTGAATCTATCAAGTTGACTAATGCAGAGCTTTTTTGCATTTTTTATAAGTTTAAAATCATTTATATTGTTTTAAACAACTGCAAAGTTGATCTATAATATGCTTCTGATTGTTTTTTTATTGCTGCAATTATTTTACAAGTTATATAGAACAAAATGGAATGTGTTGAAACTTTTGTTTCTGAGTGGGACATAAATAAATTTCAAAAGTGTAATAAAAGTCAGAATAATAAGAAAAAGATGTAACAATAGAGTGGTTCCGTGCAAATCTACAAGTGCGTACCTCCATAGCTCTTAACTCTGCAACAGTGAGAAAAAATGGAAAATGGTGGGGCGAAGCTTTGATTTGATGTGGGCTTTAACCCTTCAGGGAATGTTCGTACATAAACAAATGCAAAATTAAAATTAGAATTTAGAATGGTGACGTATCAATATAATGACTTTTGGAGCCGTGAAACTCTGAAAGTGCTTAGTATAAAATAAGAATTGAAAAGGAATAGAATTGGACCCACCCAACAAGGAAAAGCTTCAGGAGGTTGACTACTTTTTCTGTGATTATGACGCCATTTACTTCTTCTCTAGACTTCATTTTTGTTTTTTTATTATAAGAAAGTTAAAAAACATAATATTTTTAGTTATTTATTTGAAAATTTTTATCATTAAGTAGTTTATTATGTCCTTTCTCTCTTCGGGAAGAAGAAAAAACAGGAAAGAGAATAAAAATGTTAGAATGATAAGTTTGTTTGTTTATTTATTTACTCAGTATTGTCACAACAAATTAATTATTTAAATATCAATTGAACTTGTGTTTGATATTTTGTCATGTCATCTTTATATGTTTTTTAATACTCTCAAAATTAAAAATAAGCATTTTACTTCAGACTGTACAAAAATTATATGTTTATATTAAAAATAAAATTTTTATTTATCGATGTTATAAATATTTTAAACGAATTTATCTTAAAATATATTTAAAATCATGAAAGTTAGTGTATTTTACCTTTTTATTAAGATTTTTTATTTTAAATTTTTATTAACATCTTAATAATATTATTTAATACCTTTTTTTATGTATATAAAAAAGTCGAACTAAAAAAATAAAAAAGTTATCAAATTATTAACTTGAAAGTACTTAACTTGATTTTAAATTATTATTTTTTTACTTTTCTCGATATGTTTTTATTGATAATGAAAAATATCATATTAGTTTTATTATGTTTGTCCATAGTCCCATGTCAATGTCATGCCAATTTATGATTAGGTGATATTATAAAAAAATAATGGTAAAATTAATTTAGTAAAATTATATTTTCTCACAGTGACATCTGAGAGTTATTTTATTTGTTAAACAGGGTAGGTTTTTTTATTTTTTGGGGGGGTCATGTAAAACTGGGCTCAGTAGTTTTGCGGATATTCAGCGAACAAGTTCCAAGAGGGCGTTAGTATTTTCTAGAAACTGGACGATGGGCCGTTGCCTGAAGAATGGAGCCCAGGGCTTGAGCCCGTTTCTTCAAAAGAAAACTTCGGGCCCAAATTTTCCGAACCCTATTATTCTTAGGGGATTGTTTTTCGCTCCCCTTTCCGAGCCCGTTAGTATTTTCCCTCGCTGGTTTTTTTAAAATATTACATTCTATTAAATACTTTAATTATTATAAAAAGTATGTATTAAATTTTTTTAATAATTTTAAGATAATAAATATTTTATTTATAATTAAATTTGTTAACATATGCTTTTTTAGACACGTATTAGAAAAACTCACTTAATTAAAAGTTATTTTTAAATGAGAAGATTAAACTAAATAAATTTAATCATAAAACCATATTAACCAATGATAACGCGAAAAGAGTATATCTTTTTTCCAATGGCTTATCGTGCAAGTTGCAACACATTTTTTTAAAGTGTAAATTACTTCTTTTTTTTCTTGAAATCTTTAAATTACAACTTTTTGAGTTTGAATTTAAAATTATACTTTTTTAGAGAAATAAAACACATTATATATATGTGGTTTTTATTTTTTAATATATATTTACAAGTACATGTTAATAAGTTAAAAATATAAAAAACTTCATTATCTTTAATTTATAAAAATTGTTTATCTATATTTTTTTAATGATATTTAAAACATTAAGTAGAGAATATTTTAAACACTCTTTAAGAAAATTAATTTTTATTTGAATTTAAATTACGCTGCTCTGTTTGTGATATCATATTTGTGCGTCATCATCCAACATAAATGCAGCCATTAACGCTTTCATAAAGTTGCAGAAACGCTTACAGATTACAGGGATACCTGTGATTTTGTGAGTGAAAACTAGTCACACGTGGAGTTCTGTGTGGGCTAACACTTTCTTGGTTTTTGATATTTTCTATTTTCAAGTTCGGACAGCTAAATAAATGCTTTCTTCACTCAAGAACCATGAGTTACTAAATTTTATTTATTCTGAAAATGGAAATTGTGAGACAGTCAGGGTAGAAGGTCCATATTTACTATATAATATGATTTCATAGATGATGATCATAATAAAGCTCCTTCATTTTCCTTGTATAAAAATAAAGAACCATGGTCAATGAATTAAACAACAACAACACAAGTGAAAAATAATGTCACATCATCAAATAATGCTGACAGAGAAGCAACAAAGTAAGAATAAAAAATGGAAAAGAAAAAGCATGATTATTCCACGCAGCCTCCTGCATTTTTGGCACCCCATGAGGAACAGGACCCATTCTATACATAGCACAAAACTCATTATAAATTTTATTATATGCTGGAATTTTCCTTAGGCCATCTAACTCTTGCCTAACAGCACAAACTCCCACGCATTGAATTAATGAATACGGTTCACAATCACAAAACATAGTCATTGCAAATCATCACTCATGATAACGTGACAAAATCAATCCACTATAAATTCGCTTCAATTATCCCTATTTCCCACACCCTTTTCTTTCGATTCAAGGCTTTGAAATTTATATCTCAGAGAAAGCAGAGCCAGAACAGAGAAAAATAAAACAGAGCAAAACCAGAGAAACCAGAAGATGACCTCTGTTTGCATATCCAATTGTGTCAACGACGCACGTGACCCGCGTGTTCCGGTTCGAGCAACGTACGTGAACCTCTACAAGTGGCCGGAATCTGATGCGGAGTTTGTGAGATCGGTGAGTTCGAATCGAAGAAAGGGTTCGCATGTGTATGGGCACCCCAGGGTGGTGGATAGCATCTCTTTCAGACAGATGTATCTAAGAAGCTACAAATTTTCGAGGAAAGAGACGGTGCCAGAGAAAACCCAGAAATGTTTTGGGAGAGTGAAAGAGAAAATGGCACACAGGGGAAGGTCTCAGGGTAGTAGGAGAAGGAAGTGTTTGGTTTGGAGGAAAATGAGAGAAATTTCATGTGCTGCTCTGTTTAGGATTTTCCACAGGTTCTTGTCTTGCGGAGCTAGTGTAGATGTTGTCCATGCAAAATGTTGACTTTTTGTCTCTTTGATTAATTTAAGGTTTGAACTGCCAAATTCCTTTTTTTTATTATATTCGGTTCTTATATTTTATTTTATTTGCTTTCTGAGTTGGGTTTAAGAATGTGTGAATGTAAGGGATCTCCAGAGTAGGGAATGTTGTGGTTATGGCTCTCTCTATCTGTATATTAATTTTTATTTTATTTTCTTCATTTGCATGCAGTAAAAGATTTGGTTAATTTTGCTTCCTTTTAGTCTTTCAATTTGTCTTACCTATTCCAAGACTAGTTAAAGTTTTTGATGAACTCAACTCAGGACTCTTCCAGATCCTTGGCTTCTCTCTTATTCATTTTTGTTTTTGCCATGTGATACTGTGGAGATAAGGCCTAGGAAGTGCTTTGGCTTTTTGCCACTTTCAAAAAGGAAACATGGGTCCTTAATTTTCTGCATGCTCTTCCATTTGGGTAGCTAGCATGAGTTTCCAAATCAATGTACACATATAATCTTGTTACTCTTCTTTTATTGTCCGTTGAAATATAGAAAATTATGAGTGAAATTCATGAAGAAATTGTCTAATGAATACTTTTTTTTGAAGGTGTATAATGGATAATCAATTAAATAAAAGTCACTATTTTGAATAATTAATTGTGGATCATGCATATGTATACATATAGTATAGTAACAAAGGGTGACTTGGTGGAGAAATTGGAAACTTGTCAAAGCTTTTGACTAATGTTTGAGACCTTAAACAGACGTAGTTATGGAAAACGAACGAGTGTTTCTTGCAGGTTTTGAGGCATTGCACAATCTGTTTAAGGAGGCTGAATCTTTTGATGATAAAATATAAGTACAGTTGTTTTTATATATTTTTGTACTTTTCTCTTTCATAATCTACATTAATCTTAAATATTGAGCTTTATTATGCAAATTAATAAAGTAAAAGTATAGTTTAATTGAAAAAATGGCATCAAAATACTTAAAAACTTGGATTAAATTTCATCCAATTTTAAATATAATTACAAATAATGGCAAATAAATAAATAAACGTGAGGGTCAACTTATCAGTATTTTATCATAAAAGGGAGAGAGAGACAGCACAATGCTTTGTGGAATTTTTATTAGTACACTTATATATGTCTTGCAACACTACTTTGTTTATTTATTTTATCCTTTTAATTAATTTAAATTATACTATTTTTTTATAATTTTATCCCGAAATTTAATTTTTTAAAAGCACCAAATATAAAATAAAACACATATATCATGCTGCATTTTGTTTTCATCCGCGTAATAAATACTATCCAAATTTCTCTTAGACTTACATTTTGGAACAAATCTAATTTATAAACACCCAACTGTAATCATATTTATTAAATTTTTATTTTCATTCCATTATCTATTATTTTTAGCTTTGCTTAGGATTCTATTGTGTCCTGAGATGGAAAGGGAATGAGTAAGTATAATTTGAGGAGTGTGACTCCGAAAATTCCGTAGATGTCGAAAGCCAGTTGTTACGGCCTTGGTCGCCGTCACTCGTGAAATTTTTTTTTATATTAATTATTATAAAAATTTATAATTCATGTTAACATGATTGAGCGATTGTGTAATTTTTTTTATATTATCTATGCGTTCAATTAAGTTTTTATTTTAAATATAAAAATAACTTAATTCAAACCAATTTTATAAACTGTATCATTTAACTTATACTTCAATATTAGTTTCATCAATTTCTATAATTTTGGAGTGATCAATTTACCTTCTTCAAAGTAATATGCAATGTGACCAATAATAATCACAATGTGGCTTAACTGTCTCTTAATTAGTTTGTCAATGTAAAAGGGCAATACTTTATCTAAAAAATATTTGAAACGATTACTCGATAAGTTTCAGTTTAGTGAGCAATGATCTAGATTGGATGAGAATGATAGGGTCTAAAACCAAATCTTCAAGTTGAAATGGAGGAATTGTCGCCATTAATCATAACGTTATTCTTCAATTGGTTAACTGTGCAGAGATTATGAAGAATTACAAAGAAAATGTGTAATGATTCATCCTCTTGGATTTCATTTCAAGTTCAATGCTTTGAAGTGTTGGGCAATAGAGAACAGTGGTGGGCATGGAGAATGGGCGTGAATAAACAAGATAAAATATAATCATAACATCCACCAAACCCCATTGGCTTTAGTGAAACTTGCATTCTAATCCTGGTTCTGGTGGGGGTCTAATCAGTGCTCTTCCTTGAGCTCAATGTTCAGTTATGAGGCTAATGTATAGCACTAAAGTGCTTAACAATATCATGACCAAGTGAAACCATCATTCATCAGTCATCACAATCATTTTCCACTAAGTTCAATTCACATTCACACGCAAGCGCTTACTAACCTACATACTTTTTATATGTTTATTCTGACACTTTAACCATTTTAAATGCTTATTAATTTGAATTTCTTATGTAATTTTCAACATGTAGTATAAGGGAAAAAAATACACGTTGGCCCCATCATGCTTAATATTAAATTCACTTAGTTGACCATTTTGTTGCTTAGCATTTAGCAACTAGTTTTGTTAACTGCGAAATAATGTCATACCTTAATTATATGCTCAACATGTTTTTCTTCCCTTTTTATTGTCGTTTGCAAAAGAGCTGCACATAAAAGGGAACGGGTTAATTGTCGATCCTTACTAAGTTTAGGTTAGAAATTATAGCCCATTTTGGCTTGGTTGATATTGTTTTCTTAATCAAATTCTTCACGTCAGCATAACAAAAAATAAAATAAAATCTAAATCTAATTAAGGGCCTTTTCTCGTTGAATGCTAGAGGAATAAGATAGTCAAGTTTGTTTGATTTTATAAAAGAGATTCTTTTGGTAGAAGAATATTTTTAAAAGTGTAATGGAATTTTGATATTTAATTAAAAAGTGAAAATAATTTAGGAGGAATATAATTAATATGAAAATGTTTATGACTGTTCTAAAATGTTTATAAAAAAAAGACAAATTATCTTTGCAATAGTCCATCATTTTATTCATTTCATTATAAAAATTAAAGTAAATGATATTTATTTAAAATATAAAATTTACCTGCTCTTCTTCTATTTGACTTTTTCCCTCTAATACCCTCAACGCATATCTTATCATAATAAAGTCCACATATTTATCTGCATCTGTAATGAATGGGAGGGGTTATGGCTTTTAGAGGTAATGCTATCATGATTAGGGATGATAATTGAGTTTAAATTTAATTAATACTTACAAAAATATCAATAGTAGGTATGATTTCATTTATCAAACAAGTCAAGATCTAGGTAATTACCAGCATAATGTTATAGATATAAGTACATATATGTGCCATAATATATAACCTACCACATATATACCATGCACAAACATTAGATAAAATTAACTGATACTGAATATCAAATTTGTAAAAGAAACATATTTGATAATTTTAAAAAATTTTATTAATCAAATAATGAAATTTAAAGTCATCTTTATTCTCCTAATCTAATTTTTTTTTTCAGTTAAATGTAAACCTAAAATACATTGATGAAAACATGCGAGAACAAAGTTTAGTTTCCAAATTCACGTTATTTTTTATTTGTTATATAATAAATAAAGACATTTTTTAATAATAAAAGATACATTTAGAAGAGCTTATAAAAAATTTATGAAAATAACTTATAATTTATCTATGTTAATTTTAACTTATAAACAAACTTGTTAATATAACTTATTAATTTTTTTATAAAAAAATTATAATAAATTCCATGATCAAGTTTATGTAAAACATCCTCATGTTATAATAACTTATTAAAGGCTTAACTAAATTTTTAGTTTCTAAAACATTTGAAACTTTGTCATTTATCATCTTATTTTTAACCATTTATAATATATTTTTCTTTACTAAATAATGTCTTTATAATTTTTAGTTTTGTATGATCCTTTTTAAATATAATTATTTTCTATTTAATATTCATAAATATTTTAAATATCTTTTAAGTCCCCTTAAAATGATGAAGTAAATAAAAAAAGCTTTAATATTTAAAGAGACCAAATGAGAATTTGTTTTTTTTTTAACTCTGATGCATTGTTCAGGGTAAAAATTTTTTACATTGAAAACCAACTAAAATATATAATAGATATGATTTCTATATTCATTATTATAGAAATAAATAATTTTACTGATTTGAGATTAAATAGCAGTATAAAATTATTTTTTACACTCTCATTGTATTTAAATATTCATAAAAAAACAAAGGAGACCATTTTGTAAAAGAATTATAAGAATTTTTGGAAAAAAATGAAAACAACAGACCAAATGAAAAATTTAACAAATTTTCTTACACGCTTGGTTTTTCTACAGAGTAATTTTTCTCTAAGGTAAGAAAATTTTCGTCGACTATTACTTGGAAACCACACCCCCCCCCCCCCCCCAAATAAATAAATAAATCCCAAGATATCAGGACAGGATGTGTAACTCGAATCAAATAATTTCACAAAGTATTGACAAAAAATTAAAAAAATAACTAATTTTCAAAACTCATTGACCCGCTGTAGACATGTTTTTTTTAACGGCGTTTTACCAGATGAATTGTGCAATCTTACAGTTGCAAGATTCAACAGAAAATCACAATGACAACCGGAGAAAGACAGAGGTCTACAATGAGAAGATGACATAACATCTGTTAATTAGTCCAGTGATCATGCATTATATAAACTGCCCAAAAGAGCTGCTATATTTTCTTACTTATCATTCTAATATTTTATTTTACAAAGCAAGCATTCAAAAATATACACATTTATTATCTTAAAAATATAAAACATAATTAAAAGATTTGCAGGAATACATGTCAAGAGGATTTATAATTATTCTTTTTCTATTTTCTCTAATCAATCGAATACTGAAGATCCTCACTAGTCGGATCCATGCATTGCAAAATCTGCAAATTCATAATTTTCCGTATTTTAGACTGTAAACCAACTCCAGTGCATATAGTATTAGGGTAAGAGAAGTCTTGTAGCATCACCTATATGCGATTAAAACCCATTTAAACAATTGTTTGCAAGCAAGACTGATATGTTTTCCGTCTTATACACCAAGTGTGTGAGAATTATTCCCCCCCCACCCCCCTTTTTTCTTGGTAAAATTTTTACCAGCTTAAACCACGTACCCACCAGCGGTTGGACAACAACTTGTTAAACAGAATGACTGAGCTTTAAAATGGTAACTGTAACATGATGGAAAACTAAAATTAAAATGATTCTATGTCAAATACTCCCTAGTGCAGTTAAAAAGTTCCATTATCAAGCCTACATTTGTGAAGATGTAAATTTGAAAAAAAATGAATATACAAAACAACATTATGGCAATCAAATGATGACAATAGTATATGCTGACTTGAAAACCAAATTATGGCAATCAAATGATGACAATAGCATATGCTGACTTGAAAACCAAAAGTATATGGATGCATGAGCTCAAGTTCAATGGATGGTCAATGTAAACATGTGTACCATCGTGTATAAAAGTTAAACTGTATCTGATGCCTTCAAAATTCATTTACAAGCTTCTAGAACTATTCTCTGTTTCTGCCTGAGCATATGCATTTGCCTGAGATTAGATCCTCTCAAGCAGAAATGGATTTGTCCATGCAATTCATGCTGTTGAAGAAACATTGCGTACCAGAATATAGAAAAGCCAACCAGGCCTACGTCTAAAAATTCCAGTCCAGCTCTTTTCCCGCCACAAGGTAAAGTTCACAAGATAGGAACAAGCATAAAATGACTAGTTCTAAATTGAGGTATCAAATGTGAACTATTCATAAACCATCCATTTTACACGACTCTTTGCATTTGAAGTGGTAAAAGCACCAGCATTTATCTTTCATAAAAATGAATAAGTATAAACCACGATCAAATAAAACGAAAATACATACATTTAACATGCAAATAGTTTTATGATATAATTAACCACAAAACCCTCCACAGTCCACTTGCCTAGCAGTCAAGCCTTGCTATGCTTCATGGTACCCTTTTAATAAAAGGAAAGTGGAGCCATGCAAAGCACTTGGCAAGCCATTCAAAAGTACTCTGTTCAATTGCGTACTTCCCTTGCTCTATGTATCGATTCTCCCAAGTCAACCAAAAACGAAACCATATTGCACTGATATGAAAAATTCAAAGAGCCAGTAAATTAAAACTAAAAATCAATTAAACAACATGAATTATGACAGGAAGGCCTTTTGTCAGATAACACGGTGAAAAAAAAAATGCAAGACATTCTATTAGCCCAAAACAAGATGTAGTTGCTCGCTCAAGCTAAATGTCAAGGGAAAACAAGAATAAAAAAGAGTATAAAAGGATCCTATTGTAAAAGAAAATAAAATGAACTGAGAATCGTGGAGTGCCCAATCTAAGTTCTCTAACTATTCAATAAAGCAGAAAGCGAATATGGAAATTCAGTTGAAAGAAGAACGGTCAGTAACAAAATAACTCAGTAATAATTGAGCCAACAGTACAGTTCCTTGAGTTAAAGTGGCATTTGAGTGAGAACATGATCAAACTTTTTTTTTCTATTCGACATAATACATTATCAGCATTGAAAACAAAAAAGACAAAACTAAACACAAAGGCAGTATTCCAGTATTAACACGTTTCTAACAGTAGTGTTAAGGGTAAAAGAGGAAAAAAAGGAGGAACAGCATTGCAGTAGCAGCAGACTTGAACCACAAACAAAGGTAGTAACTAGTAACAGTGAAGTGATTGAAGAACCTGATAGTCTCAAAGCTCAAATTCTTCATCCCTGAGAGCAATCTCCGCAGCCTCTTCTTCCTCCTCATCGAGAACAAAGTACTCATTCCTCTCCACAGGCCTAAACATATAGAACATAACAATATAAAACGCAAGACTCGCAGTCTCCTCAGCAAGATTACTCACCCACTGATACTTGTACGCAGCAATGGTTTTCAGAGCAAAAACCACAATCCGCGTGAAATACAAGTAACCAATCACAACAATGTAAAACTGCCTAAACAGTGTCAACTTGGCCAAGTTCCTCGCAGCCTTCCCATCGGTCTTAGAGGTTTCCCTAAGCGACCTTATGGACCAAACAATGGGGAAAATAATCGCACAGCAACAGATAATATCAACGAGCAGGAAAACCTGATTCCAAGTAACCCAATCCTTGATGAAGGGTCCAGTTTCGCCAATTACAATGGAAGCGACATTGGCGAGAACCTGAAGGGGAATAACAATCATAAGCACCTTCTTCTCCCTCTCTTGCAAAAAGGGTTTAAGAAATGACCAGCCGGTTCCGACCAAAACGATGACGGTGAAGAGCAAAACTACGCGAATGAACTGGAAGATGTAGAAGAGAACGTCCCAACCATGGGGAGTGCCGGTGACTTTAACGAAGTGTTTGTCCTCAGCGGCGCAGATGAGGTTAAGAGCCTTCATGAGGAGGAGCGAGGCCATCAAGAGGTGGATCCGGTGAAGGGAGCGTTTGTTGGAGTGACAGAGGTAGAGCCAGAAGGCGAGGAAGGCGAAGTAAGCGAGGGAGAAGAGAAAGAAGAGGGAAGGAAGTTGAGTTTGACCGGCGGAGAGGTAGTCCCGGGAACGGTCAGGGTCAAGGTTGTAGAGCTCGGTGCGAACGGCCATGGAGACGGAGCTTTCGGGGGCGCAGTTGGCGAAGAAGAGGCTGTATTCGTTGGGGAAGGTGACGTTGTAGGTTTGGGTGAAGGAGGCGGTGGGAGGGGGAGAGAGGCCGCGGAAGGTGAAGAGGCGAGTGATGTAGCGGGAATCGAGGACGCAGAAGCTAGGGTTTTGCTGGATCTCTATTAGGACTTGGAGGAGTGACTCTTCGTTTAGGAGGAAGAAGCCTAAGCGCGACGGATCGGGTTGGGAAGGTGCCACTACAGAGACGGAGGAGACGGCGATGGAGACGTGGCCGGTGTGGGTAAAGCCGAATTTCTCGAAGAGGATCATTGGGCGGGTGTCAGAGGTTATGGTGAGGGTTTTGATCTCCGCGGTGGAGAATTGGAAGAGGAGGATGAAGAGTGAGATGACGGTGAGGAATGGCGGTTTGGCCATTGGAGACGGCGGTGAAGGAACGGAGGTTGACCAGAGTAAACGATTGTTCTTTTCTTTCTGTTGTTGTTAGCTTATTGTTGAAGACAAAGGTAACAGTGTTGGAGTCTTAATGTATGAATGCCGTGTGGAGATTTTGGCTTTTCTAAACGACGTCGTCACGCTGCTTGGGCGGAGTTTTCGTTGATCGTCGGCCCAAACTTGCGTTGTGCTCTTGTGGCCCAATGCTTGTCTTTAACTTCCATGCTTTTCCTTATTTTCTTCAAAAGTATTTTTCTTGCTACGGCTGGACTGAGTCTTCAATTCAAGTTTTGTTGCTTTTTATATAATATTCTCTGTAATAATTCGCTTTACTTTCAGTGATAAATGTTGAATGAAATTTAATATATTTAAGGTATTCAAAACTTCAATAAAATTATGGAATGCTTCATTTATTTATTAATTTAAAATTTTATTAAAAAATATTGCAAGAGAATTTTAAATTGTTATTTGCCGTGTATTAAATTGTAGGAACTAACTATGGGACGACCTGATTGAGAAGTGATCCACCCATGCATGGAGCACTAAACTCAACAAGAGTATTGTTTATATATATATATATATACATATATTACAATACTTTTTATTCTTATTTCATCACACACTTTTCTTTTATCTCTTATTGTATAATTGTTTTTATATTAGTGTAATTTCTCATATTTTAATATGAAGCAATCTCGTTTCTTTAAGATTAGACTAGTAAATCCAAATTATTACCATATGTGATTGAAGTTTTAGATAAATTAATCTAGTATTAGAGCAGGACTTCTCTCGAGAAGCAAACACTTCTCCGATTAAACACCTCGGCACTAAGAATAAAATGTAAAATATTTGATAATAATAATAATAAACCGTGCAACGACTACACTAAGTTAATAATGGAAAATGTTTTGAGTCACTAATGCAAAGATATTTCTTTTATAAATGAGATACATTTTTAGAATATATAATATTAACGTCGAGTGGTTTAAAATGGAAGTTACTGCGGATGGTAGAACGAAATATATTATTCATTGGTCAGATTGAGACGATGAGCCCGAGAAATTGATTAAAGCGAGTTTTTGGTTGGCTTGGTCAAATTCGGTCATGCTCCGAATTTAATTTTCTCATCAACAAATGAAACCATCTTGCACAAACACAAGACCTTGTAAATATTTTTTTTTTAAAAAAAGCACCTGGGAATCAACCAACAATATGAACTATGACATGAAGAACTTGTCAGAGGGAACCAAAAAAAGAATGGAAAAGAAAGACAGAAGACAAATCTCTGACATATTTTGCGCACTCAATGTAAGCGGAAAACAAAAGTGAAAAGGGTGGGATTATAAACAAAATAACCAAGTAATAAACTCGTTGACCGAAATTAAGGAGCATCTTATAAAACATTTTAAAACTTTTTTCAATTCTGCACACATGATCAGCTAGCACTGCGAACCAAAACCACAGTACAGTGTTAACGGGAATAATAAAAGGGGTTTTAGCGTTTTAAAAAGAAGAAGATCATGAAAGGAGTAACAACACGTGCAGCACTAGCAGCAGACTTGAACCAACAAAGACGATCAACGAGATAGTTTCAACTTTCAAGGCTCCAATTCTAATTTCTTGACAGCAACCACCACTTCCTCCTCCTCATCGAGCACAAAGTACTCATTCCTCTCCACAGGCCTAAACATGTAGAACATGATAACGTAAAACGCAAGACCAATAGTCTCCTCAGCGAGATTACTCACCCATTGGTCCTTATAGGAAACAGTGATTTTAAAACCAATGAGCACAAAACGCGCGAAAAACAAGTACCCAATCACAACCATGTAAAACCGCTTGAAAAGGGTCGAGTTTTCTAAGTTCGTTAGAGCCTCCGAGGTTTCACCCGACCAAACAACGAGGAAAATAATCACACTGCAACTGATGAAGTCCACGAGCAATACCAGGTGGTTCCAATTAACCCATTCCTCGACGAAGAGTCGAGTCTCGGGAACTACAAGGGAAACAAAGCTAGCAAGAAACTGAAGCAGAATCACCATGACGAGCACCACCTGCCCCCTCGCCCGCAAAAAAGGCTTTGGAAAAGACCAACCGGTTCCAAGCAAGACAATAACGATGAACGACAAGACGACGCGAATGAACTGGAAAATGAACAAGGAAACTTCGACCCAATGGTTGGGGATGCCGGTGACCTTCACATAGTACATGTCACCGGCGGCAAAGATGAGGTTAAGGCTCTTGATTAAGAGGAGAGAAGCCATCAAGAAGTGGATGAAGCGAAGGGAGAGCTTGTTGAGGTAACAAACGAAAATCCAGAAGAAGAAGAACGCGAAGTAGACGAGGGAGAACAAGAAGAAGAGTGAAGGGAGAAGAGTCTGGCCAGCGGAGAGATAATCGCGGGTGCCGTCGGGGTGAAGGTTGAAAATCTCAATGTGTACATTCATGGAGATGTTGCTCTGAGGGACACAGTTAGCGAAGAAGAGGGTATATTGGTTGGGTGAGGTAACGGGGTAAGAGCGGTTGAAGAATGGAAATGGAGAAGAGTGTGATAGGGCACGGAATGTGAAGAGGCGGAATATGTAGAAGGAATCAAGGACGCAGAAGTTAGGGTTTCGTTGGACTTGTATTAGGACTTGGGGTAGTGCATATTGGTTCACTAGAAAGAACCCTACCTGTGATGGGTTGGGTTGTATCGGTGACGCCACTGAGACGGAGATCACCAGGTGGCCCCTTCTGGTGAACCCGAATTGGTCGATGATGATCATGGGTCGGGTGTCGGAGGTTAAGGTAACGGTTTTGATTTCCGCCGTGGAGGGTGGGATGAGACATAGTACGAGGACGGTAACGAAAACGGTGAAGGCGATTTTCTCCATTGTTGGAATGACGGGAAGGTTCCTTCTTGACGATAGATTTAAGTAAAGGAGTGTTGTGTTTTGTGATTGTCGCTACTCGCTGGTTTGTTGTCTAAGACAAAACTGTAGTGTTGATCGTATCGTCAATATCCAGAAATTAAGAAAGTCCAACCCTTTTTAAGGTACTTTTAATTATTAACTAGTAAGTAACCCGCTTGAAGTTACAAATTTAGATTAATTTATAAATAAATTGAATATATCATATAAATAATTAGATATTATAAAATATTATATAAATACGAAACATGATATAGGTTGAAAAATGTCGAGCTCTTAACTCTGTCGTCTTTGCTTGATTAAGAATTTTTTGTGTTTAGCATCTTAAATTCTTTATCTTAGAATTGGATAGTAACCTTCGACCATACACAAAGGAAAGATGTATATATGTTCATAGATATAGATTCTTAATTTTGAGTATTATATTAATTTACTTAAAATTGTTTATGCATTGGAACAGGTAAACTACTCTCATATTGATTGAGTCGATCACCATTTTCTTATTTAAATGGGAAAATCTTCTCAATGTGTCACTGAGTGCAGCCACAGGCAAATGTACCTTAAAAAAATATATTATCATAATATGTTTTAACATATATATCGTAACGAAAATCATATTATCGTAGTATCGCTTGTGAGGGTGTTGAAGCTTAAAGCTCAAAATTCGAAAAATAAAAGCATGAAATAATAGAATAAAAATAAATGAAAAGCAATAGCAAAAATTTGTGAGTACGAAAAACTTTTTAAGAAGATAATTTTGTTTTTATGGTTCGAAGTACATGTTATTTACATAAGAAAGAGAGTAAAAATTATTAGACTTTATATTGTTTTCTTGGTTTAGCTGCATGTTATCGTATTTCACTGGCCAATAAAAAAGGAGTTTGTTAAACTTTTATTTAAGCATGTACTTTTATTTTTTAAGCTTTTATAAAAAATGACACATTTATTATATCAAAGTTATCAAAATACAATAAATACTTTTTTTAATAATATTTTAGTATTATTAATTATTTATCTTTGACTTTAAAGGTTAAGGTTAACATTTTCCATAAAATATACAGGTTCTACATTTACTGCACGTTATTCCAAGGACACATTTTATTATGTATTGCTTTATCTCCAAGACCTGTTTATATAACAGAAAAAGTATATGGTTCAAATTTTGGTTCAGATGGAATATTGTATCTGATATTATCATACATTATTGTTTACTTCTTCTTCTTCTTTTTATCATATTTTCTTCATGTAGCCCCAACAATAAAGAACTGAGAAAAGCAGCTGAATCTAAAGCATTAAACATGCAGCCAAAGCAATTACTATAGTGGACTTGATCAAAGCAATATATCTGATTTAAGGTATGTATAACACTTATTTTAAATTCGTGTAAACAAGTTTTGAAAAATTCACGGGTAAAAAATATTAAAAGCTCTAACAGGTTAAAGAGCAATAAGAAAATCCAAGTCATATATAAATTCAGGTAGGAGAAATAGGTAACAAAATCTCAAGAAGAAGTACACAAAAATGTGCAGGCTTAAAGAGGACTTAAAAACCAGTTCATCCAAGTTCAGTTCTGACAAGTGGAACTTGACGACGAGTAGAGGAAATGAGTGACAATCCGTTGCTGAAAAATACCAAAGTAAACAAGACAACTCATACAAAGCAATGTAAGCAAGCTTCTGAAGAATTTATGGGTAAAAACAATACATAGTTTTGACAAAGCTTGAAAAGCAAGAACAACATCTAAAGTTGTGTTGTATATAAAGTTTCATGTCCGTTTTGACTTTTGTGAGACTTAATACAAAATTATGCTAGTGGTCATCGATCAGAAGTAATTAAATAGATTTTGTGAGATTTTTATCAAGTTTAGCCAATAGTTTTAGTTTAGCTCTAAATTTCTTTTGAAATCTAGACATAATTAATTTTTCTCACAAAATAGGAGCTTCATTGCAAAGAAAGTGGATAATATAGATATAACGAACGATGCAATAAACAAGAGATATAAAAAAGTGATACTTGAGTATACAAATTAAAGTATAAAAAAAATGGTTGTTTATTGGTTTATGAGTTGATAAAAAAGGAGTCTCCTTAATTTCACCTACTTAAGTTAGTATCTTTAATTTAATTTTTAGTTCTTACTTCTGTTCGCTGTGTCGTCCAAAATAGTCTATTCATTTTTATGATTCATAAGTTGGAGGTTGTTTAGTTTAATTTGTGGTCTCCAATTCAAATTTTAGTAATTATAGCTATGTTGAATACTAAGTGAGAATTTTGTTATCTAGTCCAACCGGTGTGGATAGAATTACCTCCAATAAAAAAACACTTGTGTTTTAGAAGGGAAAAAAACTTCAAATAAATAAACATTTTATTTATTTTTAAAACAATAAAATATATTTAAACAACGAGTATTTTAAACAAACGAAATAATAGATACAACCACACCTAACTGCCTCACTAAATGGCTCACCAAAAAAGTTGTGTTCATAGGCATGCACACATAAGTTTGTATTTTGTAAATCAGGTTTGAGGTCATCATTTTTATTTTAAAATAGAGAATATTCATTAATATTGATCCGTAAAGTCCTTTAAATAATGTTCTAACACTTTTACTTGTTATGAGAAAATGCAGTGAAGGAATTTGGAACTGCTCTTATCCATCGTTCATTTTTACTATCTGTATATTGAGTTAAATTATGAACGTAATAGCAAATCAGCATTGATCAACCGGATAAACCAGATTCAACAAAACCTCAGATAGTTAAAGATATTTCATTATGCATTCAAAATTAATTTTTTTAATTCAGATTTAGTTAAATTTTGTTAGCCGAAACTTTATAAATATAAAATGACAAAGGATTATGTTTATATGACTTTTTTTTTTTTTTTTATATCCTTGGTTTTAAATTAGACAAACCCATATTTTTATATATTAATAAATAAATATATCAATATTATCATTACTACTATTATTAAAGGTTTAAATTCGTATATTTATATAAAACTTTAAGTTTATTAGTTTATTTCAATATATTTTTAACTTATTTAAAAATTCAAAGAAATAATAGATTTAAACGTTAAATTAAATTTTTAAAAAGTTAAATAAAAACTTAAATAATCTTTATCAGATAAATAAATTAAATTCAATTTTAAGCTTCAAAAATCAAGTTTAGATCATACAAAAATTAGTATAACTTATTTTTATCTTTCGTAATACTTTTTTTTTTGTTATTGTCAAAATCAAGTAATGTTTAATAATATATTTGTATGACAATTATAACTCTTTTTGAAAAGAATCAGTTGTTTTTTCACCCTTTTATATCAAACCTGTCTCATGGAGCTAGTGTGTAAATGCTAGCAGGTTGGGTATATGTTGTGCACAATGTATTCAGCTTAAACCTAAGATGACCATACCCTTTTAATAAATGCTCAGAGTTCAGTGTAGTGGTCACCACCAACTGGAACATCTCACAATTTTCAAGTTATGCCCTTAATGTGCAACTAAGTTCCAGTCTTGTCAGTTGTCACCCCTCCCTCCCATGAAAGTCCCTATAAAAAAACAATGAGTTGTGTTCAAAGAGTAATAATAATTTACATACAATAAATTTTTATTATAAATTATATAACACTGTTAAACTCAATGTATGCATGATATTAAATGTAATATTTTAATAAAAAGACATTATTTTATTATTTTATTATTATGTATCATTGAATACACCTGAAAAGATTATTAAAAAAATATTAATATTAAGTAGTCTAAAAAATTAAACTTTGAGTTTTAATATATTAAATATTTTTATTTCATAACATGCATTTTCCTTAAATCAATATTTTGTATCTTTTTGTATAATAATTAAAAGTATCACACATTAAAGTATATTAAATAATTTTTAATTAATGTATGTGAAAATTTATCAATTTCTTTAATCTTCTTCATTTCTTTAGCACTACCTTTAATTATATTTTTGGTAAATTCTTTATTTTTAATTTAATTAATTATAAAATAAATATTATTTACTTAATTATTTATCAATAGTTTCTTAAATATTATTAATTAATCACGAATGAAAAATACAAATAAACAATTTATTTAACTAAAGTTTATAAATTATAAAATGAATATTATTTTATGAGGTCAAATGATAGTCAATATCGTTGATATCGAGTTAATTTAATCAGTAGACAGTAGCAAATTAGTGACGATTTAACTAATTGAGTCCTATGATGCCATATTTCAATATTCACAAGAAAAGTTTATGAAACTTCTCAAATCTCACATTGCTAATAAATATTAGATTTAACATAATATATATTTATGGGTTACATTATATTCTCCCTATAAAAAGGTATTAAGGTGATTGCACCTTCAAATCACACATCTATAGCCTATTTTGTTTGAGTCTCAAATTCCCTTGAAATAAAGTGTAGAATATCACAATCCTCCATTACCAGATTTATCCAACTTAAGATCAAAACACGTTTTCTTTCCATGAGACTAACTTGCATGACTTCTAATGTAATATAATTATAAAAAAAAACCCTTTTTAATAGGATAAAAATTTTAATTGCATAATTTGAACTAACATATTTTATTACCCATTAAAATAAAAATGAACCAACATATATATAATTATTTTAATGTTTTCGTTGATAAAACCAAACATAGAAAGAAACATATATTATTTACTAAGGAAATAGTACTCTCTCTCTCTCTCTCTATATATATATATATATGTTTGATAAATAATGTCCTTTTCATTATATTAAATGAAACTGAAAACATATAAGAAACAAATATTTCCAATTAAAAAAAGAAACAACATAAAATATTATATGATATTTGTATATTAGGGGTGTTAATAGTTTGGGCCCATGACCACGAGGGAAGCATATGAATAGGAAGTGGAAAACATGAAAAATGAAAACGTGAAAGGGTCCCAATTATGATTATATCTGCATATATTCATAGTGAGAAGAAATGGGAAATGGGCACACGCTAAGTAATTTAATTCGGAGCTGTTTTTCTCATCTACTTTTTCTTCCACCTAATGCATCACGTGGTCAACGCATGCACATTTTTAAATTTGCAAAATCACCCAACAAGTCATAAATTTGGTAATATTCCCAAACTCAAGTAGAGAATAAACCTTCCAAACAAAAATGTACCAACTTTGTCACAAACAGGGATGAGAATGCGCATTCGGTTTTGGAGGACATTTTCGTCTTTCCCACAATTTTCATTATTATTTTCAGTTTTTTTTTCATTAGTAGTCACGAGGCAGACGAGGTGGTAGGAAATGGTGTTTAATACCTTTCTTGTCTTATTAGGTATTCAGTTAAAGTTATCAAAAATAACTTAAATTTAGAGATTATAATATTCTATATAATTTTAAAATAAATTTTAGTTATATATCGAGTTGATATCAGTTTACATAATATCATAATTATTTATATTGATATATTTTTTATAAATGCAGTGTAAAATATATTTTAATTTTTGATTCTGTAACTTAATTAAAGTTTATATATTATGTTGAGAAATTAAACTCAATATATTATTATATCTTTATCTGATTAAATTGGAATTTAAAGCAAAAAATCCAATTAACATTCCAAAACATGTAATGATTAAATTTAAACTTACTGGTCGGTGTTTGGGTCCGGTTCGTCCATAACAGTGTAAAAAGACAAAAAAGCCCCGCATGAGATTCATTATTTATACATTATCCTCAAAGGTAATTCCCGTAATATGGTTGGAAATGTGGAGTAATAGATGATTATCGGCGTGGGAGTAACTATTTAATACGTGGAGTGAAAAGGGTTGGTTCTGAAACCGGGAATTTTCTGGTATCCAAATCCTCCAGAAGTTCAAACTTCGAAGCCTCCATGGAAAAATTGACAACCACCAAGGAGAAGGAGGTGGAGGATTGAGAGCATCAAAGGGTAAGTACAAGAATTTAAGAACCTCGCCAAAGGGAAGAAAAACCGAAATCACCATAAATTTTTTTGAGCCCCCATATTGTTTTCTGAATCTGTAAGTCTTTCCCTCTTTCTGTATTGATTATCTGTTTTCATCTTCCATTTTTCTTTTACTGGGTGGGAAAAAGTTTATATATTTTTTACATTAAATTGGTTTTTCTATTTTTTTTTTATTAAACTTGTTATTTTAAATAAATTATATTTATTTTTGCCATGCGGTGCTGTTGTTAATCAGGAACCATAGTCAGTGGAGAGGGACAAAGCTTGGCGAATACTTTATGTGTGTCGTTGGGGTTGTTTTGTTGGGAAGCAAGGCTTAAACTTTGAGTTCTGTTTTGTTGGTCTCTCTTAGGGGGAAAAATGAATGTGGTAGGCAAAGTTGGAAGCTTGATTACTCAAGGTGTGTACTCAGTTGCTACCCCTTTTCACCCCTTTGGTGGGGCTGTTGATGTGATTGTTGTTCAGCAGCAAGATGGGGCATTTCGAAGCACACCTTGGTATGTTCGGTTTGGTAAATTTCAGGGTGTTCTCAAAGGTGCTGAAAAGATTGTTAGGATAAATGTTAACGGTGTTGAAGCCAACTTCCATATGTATCTTGACAATTCGGGGGAGGCTTATTTTTTGAAGGAGGTGGATGATGATAAAGGAGTTGAGTCAGATGAGGTTGTTCAAGATTCTATTAGCCAAAATAATAGCTATTTGAGTAATGGTCATAGACTTGATCATAGCATCTCGGATTCTGGGGTGCTTCGGTTGAAAGATGAAGGCGATTCCTCGGCTGTGCCTCTAATTCAAAGGGCGGAATCTGATGTTGATAGGAGATTTTATGAATTCCCAGACGATCCATCTTCTTTTGAGGACTCAGTTGAGTTGTCAGAATACGGGTCTAATTCGTATGAGAGTCTAGAGGGAGAAATTTTTGTGGATTCACAGAGTTCACATCCAGAGATGGTCTTGGTGAGTGTTGATGGTCATATATTGACTGCTCCTATCTCGGAATCAGAGCAGAATGAGGAGGAGAATGTGCAGTTAAAAACTCCTCAGTTTCATCTGGGCCCAGGTGAAGAGACCGACTTATGTGAAGGCAATGGAGAGTTTAGTTCTGGTGAAAATGCTTGGGCTGCTGATTATATTAGTCAGCTAGATGCTCCAACAGTTGATGTTCAATCCGGTGTTCAGTCCATACACCGTGACACTAATGGTGATGATATTACTTCTAAGCTCCCGCTTGAAGTTTGTCAAGTAGAGGAGGTACATATTTGTCAACCCCAGGAAACATTGGAGATTAAAGATCAAGAACTTCATATGGAAAGTGATTCAGAAAGGGTTGAATCTGGTATCAAGAGGGAGAATGTTTTCAAAAGCTGTTTGGAGCTACAAGAATTTGGTCAGCAGGATGGAAATGCTGATTTAGAAGATGTAGGTTCATCATTGGTGATTCAAAATTCCGCAGAGGAATCTAATGCAAATTGTCTCGTAGTTGATGAAAATGAACAAGAGAGCATTGTACAATCTAGAAACGTTGATGAGTTATTACCCCCTAATGGTTCTACTTCTAATGGCCATAGATCTCCTAAATCAGAGTTGGAAATTCAAGAGAAGAATGCATCAGAAGTTGAAAGTGCTCCTGCCTCTTGTTCCAATACTACCGATATTGAACAAAATGATGAACATCTTGGCAAGTCAGTATCAAATTATGGGGTAGATGGGAGTCAAAAAAACCCTGCACTGGAAGATGTTAGAACTACAAGTGAGGTAGTGGAACCTCAAACAGAAACTTCAAATGAAGATCAAAACCATTCTAGTTTGGGTAAGACCAGTGCTGTAAATTAGTTGCGCTTTGAATCTGCAATTATTTAATTGATATTAGTGCAATATTTATGTCTTTTATTCATCTTATAATTTGCAGGATTTGAGATCTCACTTTGTGGTCATGAACTTAAGGCGGGCATGGGTTCAGTAGCTGCTGCTGAAGTATTCGAAGCACATAGGATATCGGCTGTTGACTTTATGAGTTCTGCTCCATCAGTAATTAAAAATCAAAATCTTGTTATCAAGTTTAAAGAGAGGTACTTGATGTGGGAAAAGGCTGCTCATCTTGTTCTTGGAATGGCTGTTTTTGGTTTAGATTTACCTGTTGAACCCAAAGATACAATTCCCGTGGAACAAGATGCATTGAAGTCCAGGGATGATGATCCAGGAACATCTTCGGCTGGACGCAGATGGAGACTTTGGCCTATTCCTTTTCGAAAGGTCAAAACAACTGAGCATACTAATAATAACTCACCAAATGAGGAGGTATTTCTAGATTCTGAGTCTGGATCTCTTGCAGACCCAACTCCAACATCCAGTACCCAGGGATCTCCCCATAAGCAATTTCTAAGGACAAATGTTCCAACTAATGAGCAGATAGCATCCTTAAATCTCAAAGATGGTCAAAATTTGGTAACCTTCAGTTTCTCTACAAGGGTTCTCGGAACACAACAGGTTTTGACATTCATTGATTGTCTAAGTTCCTGTATAAATTTACATACAGTGGTTGGATTTTGTCTAAGATTGAACCTTTAATTACATAACAGGTTGATGCTCATATATATCTATGGAAGTGGAATGCAAGAATTGTAATATCAGACGTTGATGGAACTATTACCAAGTAAGGCCATACTGCTAATGCTTCTTGGGATACTAAATGTTATTTTAAACTTGTCTTGACATCAATGTTACTTCACCATTGTTATTCTTCTTTATCATCTCTCTTCTCCATTTAATTGGAGTTTATTTTAGATGAAATCCATGTATGCGTCCTTAATGCTAATTGTGCTATTTGTTGATGCTATTGAAACTTACAAAATGAAAGACGCAGAGAAGGGGGTGCAGAATCTGATTTGAATATATGAATTTTCAGATTTTTAGTTGTTTTTTTCATCTTGGAGTCAGGCTTTGTATAAGCTTATGGTGCATTAAATGACTTAGTCTGAGTGGGAATGTTGGATGAACCAAAGCGTCTGTCATTAGCTTGTGTGCATTCTATGTAAAATTCTGCTGCGGAACCCTTTGACTAAATCTTGTGCAGAATGGTCTTTGTTTTTAACTTTTTTAGGTTGTCTATCTGTGATGATTGTGTTAGGGAGTGTATCAGATACGAAAATGTAGATGAGGAAAGAATGGAACTATCTTTGTTGGTGACTTCTCCAGAATGATGACTTCCAACAGAAGATAGAATCTGAATGGTAGTTATAGATATCTGGGACTTCGAAAGCCTGGTCCCTCCTCTAACTTCTTATACTTCCTCCAAAAATGACTCTTTCTCCTTCTTTCATTCTATTTATATAAACATAACTGCCTAACTAATTCTCGTTCTTAAAGAGTCTTGTTAACAGGCGGGTGCCTACTAATTGGGCCTAACTCTGGGTTTTTTTTATAAGCATTTAGCCATACCAATTTTGTCTGTTATTTGTGCATGGGAAAAAGATGTTAAACATGATTGCATTTGCTGTTATGATTGTACAAACATGTCTGAATGAAAGTTGTACTGAAAAAAAGAGCTAGAGGCAGCAGTAGGCAGAGTTGTAATTTGGTTTGAGAACCATGGTCATCACCTTATTTTTTTTCCTTCCTTTTAGGTCTGATGTTCTGGGGCAGTTCATGCCTTTAGTTGGCAAAGATTGGACACAATCTGGAGTGGCAAGGCTTTTCTCTGCCATTAAGGTATGCATATTTTTCTTTATAGAGATCTAACTTGTTTTCAGTTCAGTTGGAATGGGATAATTATGGAACAAATTTGGTGTGGTAAATGGAAGAACATTTCTTTAAGAAGTAAAGTGTACAGTAGGTGTGTAATTAAAATTTTGATTTCTTGTTGCAGGTTGTTTGTTATGTTTCTGTTACTATGTGCTGTCTCTTAACTTAGATTTATGCATGATTCTCAAATTAGTGGTTTGAGTTTGTATCAATGTTATCAATGGCGGATGACGGCTCATGACGGAAACCAAAAAATCTGCCATAAAGTTATGGCAGCCGCCATGGCGGGTTATGGCGGATATAATAAAATATATAAAAAATATTATAATATGCATATAATATTTATGTACACAAAAATTTAATATAAATGCTCAAGAAATTTTCAAGATTACATCATCATTCCAAGTAACATTAACAATGTACAAGAGAAAAACACAGCATGGATGTTATATTTAACAAAAAATGCTAAACAGAGCTTGAACAACAAACCAGAGGATGAATAGCAAAACAGATCTGGAACAGAAAAGCAAGAATGATCAGTGAATAGTAGAATAGTGCTTAAACAGATAAGCAGAATAGATGCCGGAAAAGTTGATTTCTGCGGTGAACAGAAAAGCAGAGGAAACGCCAAAAAAACTGATTTTTTTGACGAAATGGAGTGGGTGAGTTGGTGAGGATGGTAGAAATTGCTACGTTAAGGTTTTGGCTTTTCGTGCAGAGAGGAAGAGTGTAGAGGAAGATGAAATATATGTTTTATCAAGGGTAAATAACCTTTCTACCCATACAAATAATCAAAACGGTGCGTTTTAAAAAAATAGATTTTTTCCTTTCCCCAAAATTGCACTGTAGCACCTGCGACTTCTCCCTGTTGTGGCCGCGAACCACCCGAACCGCCACAATGTGACAAACGCCCTGCAACGTGGCGGCCGACAGCTGCTCTGCATTGCACCGGCGTGATAGCACCGCTGTTAACATAATGAAGATGGAAGACCAGTCGTCAGAAATGGAGTTTGAGGTTGTTGGAGATGGAGAACATATTGGCGGCCGCAAACAAAACAAGTATCAAGTCAAAGAAGAGAGATCTGAGATGAGTGCTTCGTCGAAGAAGACAGAGAGACGAATAGAGATGAGAAGGATTGGAGACGAATAGAGATGAGAGGGATTAGAGAAAAGAGAGAGATCTGAGATGAGGGAGTAGGATTTTGAGTGACGAAAAAGAGGACTTACCTAAGTTTTCTGTGTGGTCACCCTTGGACCGGGTCGGGTTTGGGCCCAAACCACCGAATCCGCCATTTTTGAAGGTTTTCCATCATGGCTGCCGCCATGGTGCCCTCATGTAAAAAGGCCATATAACGGAAGCGGTTTAACGGTGGGTTTCAAAACTGCCATGACGCCGCCATTTCCGCCATTCGACAATAATGGTTTGTATAACTACTGATAAGGGACCTTTAGTATAGACAATGAAAAGAAAATTCAGTTGCCAAGTAACTTTTATTTACCTCGAGTATTCTATTTTGAGCATAAATTGAACTGTGGACTAGAAATGTGTGCTGCATATGCAGTTATTTAAAGCACACACTCTTTGGGGAGGTTTTTTTTTAAAGATCTTATGCACTCATTATTGTAAATGATCAGCTTGGGCTCGAGATTGCTCAGCAAATGAGCCTGGAGCATGGTCAAGTCATTTTTGCTCAATCAACTAACATAGTTGATAGGAAGGCTATGACTAGTGAAACATGGCTCTTTTGCAGGCATTTAACTGAGATGGGACAGTGTCCATAGTCTGCTTTCATTACCAATTTACCATACATCATTTGCTGCTTTCTTTTACTTTTATATTTTTTTCTTGTTTCACTTTGCATTTCATCAATATTGTTATAAATAATTTAAGATTACATACTTGTGGATTTTTTATTTTTTCTAAAATTTGGTTTGTATGATCTTCAATATTATATCACATGATTTAATGGTTAGATTTCTTAAATCTGTTTTATATAAAAAGTAATTAAATGGAATAAGTGTCTAAGATTTACTTCTTGACTTAGGGGATCTCTTGCCTTATTTTATTATTGTTATTCAATTTCGGACTAGATTTCTTTCCATTAGAATGAAAATGAAAATAATTTAATCAGCAGAGTTTTTACTCTCTGTATAATGTGAATTGTTGTCCAGCATGCATGATGTTATCATGATGCCCAAGATTGATGTCTAAATACTAGATCTGGATTTTATGTCAGGAAAATGGATACCAGTTACTGTTTCTGAGTGCCCGTGCAATTGTCCAGGCATATTTAACCAGGAATTTCTTGCTTAACCTGAAACAGGTATTTAAACAACCTGTTTTCCTGTGATCAATGAGAATTTGTTTCGATATTAGAATTATTCTGCACTTTGAAGTAGTTGTACCTGGAATCAACCTGACTCTGCTTTTTCTGTTCCTTCTATTTCTTTCAATGTTAAGATTGTGAGGCATCACCTACCTTGCTAGTCTTGTAAAGGAATATCAATTTTGATTTTATTTAATATCCGCAAGACATTTCTGCATCTTTGGCTGCTTGATTAAGTTATTATTTCATGGTAAAGGTGGCATTAAGGTACCATTGGGTTTTAAAACCTTGAAACCCGACGAGGTAGCTTGTTTGACAGAAGGAAGGCATTAGCATTAGAAAATGAAGAAAGCAGTGAAATACTTGGCTATTTCACATTAATTTTCTTTAGAGGTTAGGTTAATCATGGAAAAATAGCTACACTTTATCACTTCTTTTTGCAATTAGATTGTCATTTTACTACCCCTGTCCATGTGTGTGTGTGTGTGTGTGTTTAGAGGAAAGAGTTGGTGCTTCTTTTTGTTGGTATAAATTTTTTTGTCCTCAAAAAGCTTTGCATCTTGGCAATGCGGTAATTGCTACTTCTTTAGCTAAATAAACATTGTGTGTTTGCAGGATGGAAAAACCTTACCCAATGGACCCGTTGTTATCTCACCTGATGGATTGTTTCCCTCACTTTATCGAGAAGGTGGGGCACTTCTAACCTGAGATTAATTAATGTGGCATTGGCTACTGCAATGTTGTTTATGTAGTCGGTTAATATTTATGTTATGATAATGATTTCACTTTCTGCTGATGCACTTGTGTTTTTAATTTGATAACTCTGTCTTCATGAAGACATGCATGCTGCTATCAATATCATGTATTTTGTAGTTCTTTCCTCACCCAATGACCCAAATACTGTGATAATCTGAAGTAACTGCTTATATCTCAAGCTTGCACTTATCTATTGATGAACACTGTAATTCATAATCATATCAACATTTCTTTGGCTTACTTTTGAAAACTATTGACAACCTGCTAGTCATTTTTGTTTACTCTAGGAGATCAATTATATGTGTACCTGGTGTATGTTGGCACTTGGCACCCATTAAAATTAGTTCTTTTTTATTTAGATAACAAAAATACTATAACCATCCTTTGTTTGTATATTTATTATCACTTATCCTTTTTTCCCCTGGCGGTGGATTTACTATACATCTCTGACGAGTATTTTGTATGTTTGGCCCCTTTATTGATGAAAGTGATAAGAAGAGCGCCTCACGAGTTCAAGATTGCTTGTTTAGAGGTAACTGCCAGAACAGCAAACCGTGTCATTATAATATATAACTCTGAAAATGTTATTGGAAAGCATCTTCTTACCAACATTATAACATATGCCGTCTAAAAATAATGTCATGCAGGATATCAAAAGACTTTTCCCTTCTGATTATAATCCATTCTACGCTGGATTTGGCAATAGAGACACAGATGAACTTAGTTACAGGAAAATTGGAATCCCTAAGGGCAAAATATTTATTATCAACCCTAAGGTGTGTCATGAATTAATATTTGTAATAGTTATTTTATATTATGATTTTAGTTCTTCTTTGGGACCAACTAAATATCTATGAAAAATAACAGGGTGAAGTGGCTACTAGTCACCGTATTGGCACAAAGTCATATACATCATTACATACCCTCGTCAATGACATGTTTCCACCAACTTCTCTAGTTGAGCAGGTAGCAAATAATCTCCTAAACCTAATCAGTAGAATGGAATATGATCTTCACAACCAACAAAATTGACTTTTAATTCAATTTCTTAAACATTGCAGGAGGACTTCAACTCATGGAATTATTGGAAAACGCCATTGCCAGATATTGATTAGTTCATTGCTTAAGATATTTAGTTCCTTTTGACAAGGATCCGTTGGTATGGAATATGGAACCATCCAAAGATGTTAACCAAAACGCAGGACTTTCATCCTACTTGACCCATTCATGTGCCGTAATTGGAGAGTATCTTTTTATACTGGATTTCATTGATGGGCATGCACGTATGTGTGTCTCAAAGAACATCATTATTCATCGTGATGGCCATGCCCTTGCTTTCCTTTTTTTGATCTGCATTGAATCTTGATTCATTATAATCCACCCTTCAACAGAATTGTGTAACATTAGGCTTATATGTTACATTGTACTACACCTTGTATATTTTTTATTTCGTTGATCAGGGAATAATGTCACAAATTCCAACAGAGAAACTTCTTTTCTCTACCTGATATTCATGTTTATCTTCAGTTTGTCCATGCGTTAAATCAGGAGAATAACAAATTGCATTTTATTGGAGTGAGGAACTAAAATCGATGATGATACATGAAAGCAAGGTCTCCAATCGAAAAATGTGTTTCTAGCATTTTTCTTTAACATTTGCTCTTCATTTTTATTGTTCAGGATAAGTTAAATTTCATATACTATTAAATATTAATAACAAGTTTGATATTCGATAAATTTTTAAATTTATAAGGTGGAATTTAATTAAAATATTGTTATATCTAAAGAAAGAAAGGAAAAAGCTTTAAATTATGATGAAAATTTTAATGCATTGTGGATTTAAATAAATAAAATAATTTAAAGAGATTTCATGGCTTATCAAACATTGTCAATTGCCAATTATTGAATTAACTGAATGCATTAAAGTTATTAAGCCTGCTTGTAGAAGTTCCTATTTATATTGAAAATGAAAAAAAAAATCAGTAATTTAGCATAGAATAATGTGTGAAAAAAATTAAGAATTGTGGAAAAGGCAAATAAAATTAATTGCACTTAAAAATAATATAGAAAATTTACACTTGTTCGAAGGTTTTATTGGTTGAATATTAAATAATTAAAATTAGAAAACAACGTTTACTTGATAGAAATCATGTAGAGGTTGAAAATGGTTTTCATAACTTTCATACTATTAAGCATTATTTGTACTTTTGAGTCATAGTTTACGCTTGTGCTCGAAGTATTATTACGTTTTTATTTTTTAAATACTTTTTTATTAGTGAGAATCCATTAACATTCAGTGTGAAACATCAAACTTTATACTACATGTGTTATAATACTTAATTTTTAGAGTTTTGAACAATTAGACATCCCGTCTGCTATTTGTTTTTTGTTGTTTTTTTCTGGTATTTTTTAAATTATCCTTAACTGGTATTCTTTTTTGGTCAAAATCCTACATAGTATTTAAAAAATAATAATTACTGGACCTAAACAAAAGTCCAACAACCCAGCAAAGGCCACTTTCTGGAGTCACTGCATTTTGGTTAGACTTGGGATTTGCTTGTGCTCCAGTTTCTACTTTTTTTGCTTTGGACAAAAACCAAAATTAACACGTTGACCGAAAACAAAAAAAGAACAAGGATGATGTCGTCCAAGGAAGAGATGTTCGTGAAAATAATCGAAAATGTACAAATTGTTTTATGTCGTTAGATATGGTAAGGATTACAATCAAAATTTAATTAAAATGTATTGATAGTGTATTTTTAATATTATCATTTAACAATAATCATTATATAATTAAAATTTATAAACAGAATAATTTTTAATTAAATTAATATTATAAAAACTTATATTTCTAATGTATCAAAACTAAACTATATAATAATTGTTTCATTCTATTTCAATATTACTGCTTCTAAATTACGATACGAGTTAGAAAGATATGATGGTAATATTTCAGCAACAATAATAATGATACTATATAATTTTATTAATTTATAAATTATAAAATTGTCTCCAATAATATAAATTGATTCCTTTTTATTTGGAGAAAATATAGCCGACAAACACCTTTTTCTTTTTTTTGATAATGCTAGTCATATACTCTTTTGAGATGTACGAGGTAGGACAAAAAGAGAATGATAAAATAAAAAAGTATAAACTATGATAAATAAAGTGATGTAACAAAAAAAAGATAAAAAATGTAAAAGAGGAAAAAATACCAGATAAATATATTTATTATAATTTTTTTTTATTCATAGTAGCTTCTGTACTGCATTCAAGCAAGCAAACTCATTTAATAGAAAAATAACTAAAGAAAACAATTTTTAAAAAGCATATACACAAAAACACAAAGTTAAAATTAATAATGTATGATATTATACATGATATTGTATATGATATAAATTTTGAGTAATTTAAATAATGGAACTCGTAGCCAAAATAGATGGAGAGTGAAAAAGAATATTATCTATCATTCATTTTATTTTTTGGATGCAAGAAGTAAAAAAGAAGAGACAAATAGAAAGAAAAACGATAAATTATATTCACACTCATTAAAATAACATGCAAGTAAGAAATATAATCATTGGAGTGAAGAAAATGGTAAATTATTGTTATATATATATATCAACGATGAAGATTTACAAAAGATGGAGCGAAACGGAAGGCTGAGGAATAGAAGGTGATGGGAGCAAAAGCAATGAACGTTGAGCTGAGGAGGTCGCGGGTGCGATTGACTTCTTCTTCCTTTCGCCATTTCTCTCATATCCTTCCATTTTACACGTAAACATTCATTCATCATTCAAACAAAAACACACATAAACATAAACTTTTCTTTCAAACAACAATGTCATGGGTCAGATCAGCCGTCAACAAAGCCGTCGAAGGCGGCCAAACCAATCTTCGCCGCGCCGTTCGCAACTATGCCGACTCCGTCGTCCTCCATGCAAGCAACGCCGTCGTCGGCGGCGCCAGAATCATCCAGGACCGCATTGTAACCACCCTCCACCTGCCCTTTTTCTATAACTTGCATTTTTTCACTTTACTCTTTCGTTTTAAATTCTGGGTCACGCGAAAGCTTTTACCTTCATGACGGTACCTTGCAGTATAAGAAATCTCTATGTTGGACCTTTAAGGGTCATGTCTTGGATTTTTTTTTCCTCCCATTTTGTTGACGAGTTTAAGCATCTATAACTTCTAATATTTTATTAAAAAGAAATATATTCATTACATTCGAGGCACAAAAGTGTGTTAAATATTATTTTTTTGTTTAAATGTGGTCTGTGAAATGTGAATGGTTTTGTTGAAAAGGTGGCTCGTAATATGAGAAGTTTTAGGCACACTGTGAAACGGTTAGAAGAGGTTTCTGTTTCATGTAGAGGGATAGAGAGAGTTCAGTTGTTAAGAAGGTGGCTGGTTGCGCTTAAAGAAGTTGAGAGACTCACTGCTAGTGCTACCTTCACTGACACCAATGCAAAAGATCCATATGACCAGTTTCTTTTTGATGAATCCAAGGATTCACTTGCACAACAACCCACTTTGGTTAGTCAAACCAATATTTCTTTATTATTATTATTTTTGTTTATTTCATTTCATTTTATTTTTGCCTCTCAAATTGTGGATTCACTATTCATGCTCATAGTATATAACTATGAACAGATTTACTATGTAGACCCTGACATGGTGGATGAGCCAAAAAATTTTCGTCATGTCTTTCTCTTCAGTCAAGCTCTTGAGGGCATCACACTTTCAATGGTAAGTTGAAGCTATGCTGTCTATAACTGCCACAGTACTAACTACAAAGTTTTTGGATTGGTATTAGTTTGTTAGTTGGCTCATGCATTTTTCTATAAAGAGGATTTCCTTGTTAAATGGGTTGGGTTTGATAATGTTTGGTTGCATGAATTTGCAAGCAAACTAACAGCCAGCTAGTACCTCCTGTCCTCCCACATGGAATGTAAAGTACCTAAATTTAATTGAATGATATGGAGGGAGAAGTTCCTAATATATTGTTATCATTAAACTGCTAGGTTTTTTTTTTTGTTTTTTTCAGAATAAAAGTTCTTGTTCTGGTGCTAGTTTGAATCATGATAATGTTTTTATTTCTCCTTTTATTACAAACTTCATGTGTGGTGACTTGTAATACAATTCTTAAGTCTATCTTCAATGATATTCTCTTTACAGTGACTGAGCTTTATATTTGCTGATTTATGGAACTTAACCGCAGGTTACCTCTTTTGTGTGACTCAGATCCTTGATGCACCAAATGAGGAAGAATTTTCACTACTTTTAGAGATATATGGGTAATTTTTTCTTTCCGTTTTAAATTTTCTTTTCATAAATTGATATATATGTCTGCAGCCAAATATTGGTTGAAAATAGTTACTTGTTGGCGTACATATTAGGAATAGCCTGCTTAAATCCCTGCTTCTGGTTTGGTATGGTTATACAGGCTCTGTGTTCAAGGAGGAAAGCAAGAACATACTGCGTTGTTATCCAGTGTGCAGGATTTAGCAAAAGTATTTTCTGGATATGAAGATGAAGTACTGGTATTGGAATTAGTATTTTCTTGTAGAATTATTTGTTTATGGTCAATATAAACTCATACATTTAATGTTGTGACTTTTGAGGGATGTATATGATTACTTGTTATAATTCATATATCAGAACAAATGTGACTGTAGAAAAGCTTTACTTGGGTATGTCACAATCATGATATTTGTTAATTGATTTAAAGCTCAGCATTAATGTAATGCTTTGATTTATACTGGACTTTCAATATAATATTACATTTTCTTTCCTTTCTGAGATGTGTTTTTATGTGCTAATAAACATACGGTAAGGCATCTCTTCCTCATTTAAGAACAAAGGCAGAGGGTATTACCCTACTCTAAATCAACATTGTTTTTGTATACATTGTTACACACCTTACCTTGGGCAAAATATGCAAGGGCCAAGAGGGGGCCGGTCCCCTTCTCTCCCCAAATTTATTTTCGCCCTTAATAACCAAAGTTTTTTCCCTTGGTATTATTGGATATATGCTAAGGTAAGGCTTCTTGTACTTAGTATTTACTGCATATAGATTTTTAATCCTCTCTCACATATTCCTTAATCTCTTGACTCTATGTGCTGCTACTTCTTTACTGTATGGAGTAATAGAGCACCTAAATGACATAGCTTGGACGCCACCCACTCAATCAGTATATATACAGCTTTTGGGAACATTACTTCAGCTTTTGACAAGCAAATACACTCTTATAAGACCTGTTTATGTATGCATTTCAGCTTTTGTTGTCCTAATCATCCACGTCTGGAGAATCGTTTTAATTGGGATATCATATTTAAAGAGTTAAGTAAACACTTACACCCTTTTTGGTTAGCCCAAAAAAAAAAGAAAGTAAAATCTTTGACTCTGCATTGTTTTTTGTCTAGTTCTGCGGCTGATCTTAACCTTCCCATAACATGAAAAATGAATGGTGTTTTTTCTATTTTGAATTGAAAATATTACAAGTGTGATTTTAAAAAAGGTTACATTAAATGTAATATTTCTCTCTGGTTTTTCATTTTAACATCCTTGTTAATTTTGTTGCCTGAAGTTGTTTTCTGACTTATCGTGTTTTATTGCTTGCAATTTGTGTTATAGCCACAGAGTATTGACCTTTTACACATTTTAGAAGAATGCCACAGGAGTTATACATATGCTTATTTGGTTCCTACATATCTTTCTCTTCCTGCCTTAATTTTTAACAGGTAAAGCGAGAAGAGTTGCTTCAATATGTCCAAAGTGCAATTTCAGGGCTGAAAATAAATGCTGATCTCATGAGGTTGTAGCAAAACATATCTTCAATATGACCTACCAGTATTTACAACCATTGTTACCTTTCGCATGCATGATCATGGAAATGCTTGTTCTGTTCATGTTTGATCAATTGGAGCACTTATTATTTTTAATACATGAATAATAGCGTTTACCGTGATGTATATTGTTACAACGTGTTAGAGATACACCATTTAATTAGTTATAAATAAAATTTAAGGCTCCTCATTCATTATCATTTATTTACATAATTAGTATTCGTTTGCCTTTTCTTGATGTGCTTACTTAGCCATAAGAGTAACTACTAACTAGTACTGCTGCACTATATATTGTTATTTAATATTTAATTAAACATTTAAAGAAGTCTATATTCTAAAATAAATTATTGGATTATGAAACTTCCAGCCAATGCTGTTGTGTCAAAAAGGATTTTCCCCACTTCCATTGACACTGCATAATTTTCTTGATCTATAATGCATCACCCCATTGTCAAGACTCAAATCGAGTAAATGTGTCAGTACTCTTTTCTCCTCTTGTATGTGATACGTTCTCCTCTCTCAGAGTAGAAGTTGAAGCCTGCAATCTGAAGGAAATAATTGAGAAGACGAAGGAAATGGACCAAGATGAAAACTTTGAAAAATCACCTGAAGAGACAACAGCTGTATCAATTGAGGTGATTTAGCAGTCTAACAGGATGGTCTTGTTCTCCTTTTATTTTAGTTATCACTTTTATCCGAATTGTTTCAGTGCAATCCTTTGTTTACTGAAAAGTATCTCATAGTAAAACAAGTTTAAAACATTAATATATTTTTATCACATGCAACCACACAAAATGGTTGTTAGAACTTAGAACATCGCTGAATCCCTAACCAATTTCTCGTGGACTTTACTTTTCTTGTCAAAGAAAATTAGAAGTGAGAAAAGATATATTATTTTACATCCGTTGAGGATTGATTGAAATATTGAATACACATGCGCTACGCTTTTTTGTTAAAAAGTACAATTTCTGATGAAATTAAAGTATTTTACATAATGATATCAATACTGCTTTTTTTACAAGCTCAGTCTACATAATCTTCAGTTTCTGTCTGCTAACATGAATGCTTATTTTTCATCGTTGCAAGATTGCTGTTTCTTTCTAGTAATGCTTTAACTGTTAAACCTTCATTCCTTATTTGTCTGCCTAACTGCCTCTGCTTCTTTGGATTAATGCCATAGATCTTTTTTTTAACCATACACGAAGATATATGGCCTATGAGGATATTTTAAGCACTTCTTAACAGAATCAAGGTGGTGTATTTAAATGTAAATTTATACTTTAGTGGCAATTAAGCATTTTTGGTTTAATTTCAGGCTCTTGACGAAGCTCTGGCAAAAATTAAAATGTGTTCTAAGTTGGAGGAGCTCTTACTGAAAAAGAAATACTTTACCTATGGTGATTCTCCAGAATTTCATGCTGAAAAGGTCTTGTGCAGTGATTTTCTGTAGTTTCTTATTAAATCCATCTCTTTTACTCCCGAAGCATCTTACCTCTGCAAATTATTGTTTTTCCAAGCTTCACCAGAAAGAGTGTATAAAACATTAAAAAATTGAAATTATCATATGAAATTGTTCATGCTATTGATTAAGGGGCTTTTAGACCCAATAGTAGTTGGTTGCAGTAAAAAGGGTTTTTAGGCCCATAATGCGTAAAAATATAATTTTTATCATTTCTTTCTATAAGCTTTAAGATCTAAAATCTGAATGTATTCTGTTTCATGCATTCTGTGTTGTATTATTCATTATTAATACTCAACAGCTTTTGTAAGCAAGCATAATTTTTTTTGTTTCCATTGAAGTGATTGTTACTTTCCTGCATTTGGTGTTACCCTTTTTCGTGGTTGATGATGTGTGATTGAATCGCTTGCAGGTAGACAAATTGAAAATTTTATCAGAGTCTCTTGCAAATTCTACCGCGAAAGCTAAGAATCGCATTTCGGAAAACAGGTGCCAGAAACATTTATTATGAGTTCATTATAAATAACAAATAATAATAAAAAAAAGCTTATTTCTTTTATTTGCTTACACATACACTTGTACCTTCATTGATTATCATGCAAAGATACCGAGCACACTTTCAGCTTTTTCTTGATGCATATGATTTTTGTAACTGTATAACGTGTTGATACTGAATTTTTCAAGTTTTTAAGTCCTGAAATTCTGTGGCATACTTTTGTTCTCAATCAGATCTCAAAAGGAAGAAGCACTTCATTTTCGCGTAACTAAGTCCGATGAGGTTGGCCAAGTTGAGAAGGTACATTCTCCTCAAAAGCAGCCCATAGTTTTCTCTTGTTGTAGATGTAGTTAAAGACCATATGAAAACTTTCACAAAAGAAATTGGTTAAGTCATATGCCTCAATTGAGTCCCCTAAATTATTACTTGCTAATATAACATTTAATTTGACCCAGATATGACATAGATAAAATGTGTCAATAACAACATTAAAAGAATATAATTTTAAAATTGAGATTTAAGAATATAAAGGAGACGAAGGTGTAGGTACTATATTATCGTATACATCAACTCGATGTTTGAGTCAAGCCAAATAACATATAAACAGATTAAAAATAGAGAAAAAAAAACAGATTAAAGAAAAATAGTAAAATTGTTTAGAGACTAAAACCTTATTAAGTATTCTGTAATTTATTGAGTAGTAAATATTTAAATTTTTGCCCTTTATTTCATCTTCTATTTTGTTTTATTTTATGATTAATTTAAAATTTAAATAGTCCTTCATTAAGTTGCTTCACGTTGGTTAAATTAAAATAATCTTTATAAAGACGTAGTCTTTTTCTTTTGAACTAACTTTTAAGAATAATTTAAATTTAAATTTTTTAACATAGTATTAAAGTCTATTTTGTTTTGTTGGGCTAGCTATCGATGTCTATTCTCATAAACTTCACATACAACGTCTTAAAATCTGCTCAAATATTTCTATATTATCTAATCCTTCTCTTTATGGAAAATCAAATATGGGTCTAATTCTATAATTTTCATATCAAATTTCTATATTTTGTATTCCTTCCATTTAAATCACGAAACCTAACAGCTATGGTCACTTTTCTCCTATTTTAATTTTTTAAATAAAATTAAGAAAAAAATCTGTCAAAGAAGTAAGTACTAGAGCAGTACCGAAAATTTGCTCCTTGACTGGAATCTAGTAAGAACTTCGTTATCTGCTAACAAATCAATTATATGCATTGTTGTTCGTATAAGATTTGCTCAGCTCAAATTTGTTATTTCTGAAAGATAAATTAAGAAAGCCATACCAAGATGTATCTTGTTCTGAAGAATCATGCAACTATCACTTAATTTGGGTTAAATTTATGGAAAAAAAGAATGAATAAAACTTCTCGTAATTAAATTAACTTATGTACTTCAAGTTTTGGAAAATTTGAATGAAAAGAATTCAAAATAATAAGATGATTTTAGCTTATGAGAGGGATTTGGTTCCTTTTACTTCCTTATTTTTGTCTTCTATTAGTACATATTGAGAAGTTTGTCAAAACTAGACGTATGGTATTCTATGCAAGTACTTGTTTAATCAATTCATAAATTTTCCATGTTCTGACAATTTTTAGCTGTCAATGGTTGAATGATTATTTTTCCAAAAAGTCTTAAAAAGAATTGAAGGAATCCATTTACTGCTGAATCATGCTTGTTTTTGAAATCGATAAACAATTGCAGGAATTGGAAGCAGAGATTGGAGAACTTGAGAAGCAGAAAAATGAGCTTGAAGACCAACTGAACAAGGTTTCCTTTTAACCTCCTCTTGAATACTTGAATTATGGTGCTTAAAAATATTTAACTGAACTCAGGAATTACATCTATTGTATTTTGTTGCATCTGCTTGATAACTATATCAAGTTTACTGAGTATGTGTATACACGGTTGTACATTTTCTTAATCAGAAATCAGTGCCCTCCTATCTTCATTCTGCATAACATAAGCCTAAATGTTATTATTTCAGGTCAACACCTTGTTGGCATCTGCTCGTGTACGCCTCCACAATGCAAAAGAAGAAAGAGAGCATTTTGAGGAAGCAAGCAATGAAATTATTATACACTTAAAAACAAAGGTAAAAAGTTTATTGTGATGTCCAGCACATTTCGGTGATTTGGTGCCGTTTTTTTTTACTTCCTAAACAAATAAATAATATTTTAATAAATGAATAGTAACTTCATTTGGCTATAAATAGCCGTGAGGAATGAAATCAGAGTATGCATCGCAAGAGTGTTTATCAAGCATTGATAGAATTCTAGTGAGAGAAAAATAGAGTGTTGAGTAAATCCTAAGAGTGTGAGAAAAATACACTTGGGTGGGTATCATCTTCTTGGTATTACAAAATTTGTAATATTTGAATAGGAAGTGGGTCTCACTGGGTACACTATATTTTACATCTCTTGTGTGATAGAGTGTTGAAAGGATATTGTAAATATCCCGAGATATAGTGGAATATTTTTCGGAGTTTATCCCGTGGTTTTTCTTCCACATTGGAGGTTTTCCACGTTAAATATTGGTGTTCTTTATCTGCTTATTTTATTCAGTTAGAATAATTCTTAGTATGTTCTGTGGTTGCAGTTTAGTTTGATCTTCCACATCAGAAAAGAATTATTTCTGTTATCCTTCCGTGGCTGATTGTTGGATTGCTGGAGAAGTGTGTATTTGTATTAGTGTTGTAACTGGAAAGGTTCTGGCTAAGGAAAGACTTGGTATTGAAGTGATCCGTTGTGATCCACCTCTCTTTCCTGGGAAGTATTCCAGTGCACACTTTACAAGTTACACCGCTGCGCTGTTATATCTATTTATTAGGTCTGAATTATTGCTCGTCAGTTTACGTCAGAATTTTAATTTACACATCCAAGTTATTCCGCATTTGAGCCCAACAAGTGGTATCAGAGCTTAAGTTGGGCTCTGTATCACCGAGTGTAAATTAAATGGAGGAGAACGTAGGTACCATGGTGAAGCTGACAGCGACAAACTACTCCATTTGGAAGCCAAAAATGGAGGACATACTTTTCTACAAGGACTTGTATGATCCTGTGGAAAAGGGAGATCAAAAGCCAGAAGACGTGAAGGATGAGGATTGGAAAAAGACACACCGGAAGGCCGTCAGTTTAATTAGGCAGTGGGTGGATATCAGCATATTCCATCATGTTGCCACAGAGACGAATGCCCAGACTCTGTGGAACAAAATTGAACAAATGTATCAGAGGAAGACTGCACAGAATAAAGCTTTCGTTATTCGGAAGCTGGTGAATTTAAAATATCAGGATGGAAGATCAGTTGCAGAACACTTGAATGATTTCCAACACATGGTACACTAGCTAGTTACCATGGAGATAAAACTTGATGAAGAATTGCAGGCGCTGTTACTTTTGAGTTCTTTACCAGATAGTTGGGAGACTCTGGTGGTGTCATTAAGCAACTCTGCTCCTGAAGGAAAATTGACTTTGTCTCAAGTCAAAGACAACATGTTTAATGAAGAAACAAGGAGAAAAGACTCTGGGGCAAGCAATTCCCATGCCCTTATCACAGAGAACAGGGGGAGAAGTAAGAGCAGAGGATGAAGTAACAAATCTAGAGATAAGTCACAGTCTCAGCCCAAAAGAAAATTTAAGTGTTACCACTGCGGTGAAGAAGGGCACATCAAAAGAAACTGTAAAGCCTGGAAGAACAGAGAGAAGAAAGACCGACGAAACTCTAGATCGAATAACGATGAAAATACTGCATCCCCTGTGACAACTGGAGATGTGGTAGTACTCTCTGTTGAAGAAGAAGAAGAGTGTCAAGTTACAGACTCATGTGATGAATGGGTCATTGACTCAGCAGCATCTTATCATGCAACTTCTCACAAGGACTTCTTTACTGTGTACAAAGCAGGAGACTTTGGTAAAGTAAAGATGGGCAATAGCAGTATCGCAGATATTGTGGGAATTGGTGATGTGTGCATTCAAACCAATACAGGATGCACAATAACACTAAAAGATGTGCGTCATGTGCCAGATCTGCGTCTGAATTTGATCTCTGTGCGTGTTTTGGATCTAGCTGATTACGACAGCCATTTTGGTAACGGCAAGTGGAGGCTTACCAAAGGATCGTTGTTGGTTGCTAGAGGCACAGTAAATTCAACGTTGTATAAAACTCAAGTGAAGCTGATCAAGGGCGGATTGAATGCAGTCGAGGATGATGCTTCGCTAAATTTGTGGCACAAAAGATTGGCTCATATAAGTGAAAAAGGATTGCAGATTTTGGCAAGAAAGTCTCTTATCCCGTTTGCCAAAAATACAAAGCTGAATCCTTGTGATCACTGTTTGTTTGGCAAGCATCATAGAGTGTCTTTCAGCAAAACGTCGAAGCTGAAAGAGAATATTTTGGAGATGGTTCATTCTGATGTATGTGGACCCATGGAAGTGGAGAGTCTTGGTGGTAGCAGATATTACGTGACGTTTATTGATGATGCTTCACAAAAATTGTAGGTGTACTTCTTAAGAACGAAGGACCAGGTTTTTCAATGCTTTAAAAGGTTTCATGCGATGGTGGAGAGACAGGCTGGTAAACCTTTGAAGTGTCTTCGCACGGATAATGGGGGTGAATATACTTCCCATGAATTCAAGAATTATTGTGCTGAGCATGACATCAGGTATGAGAAGACGGTACCTGGAACCCCACAACATAATGGTGTGGCCGAACGAATCAATAGAACCATTATGGAGAAAGTAAGATGCATGTTAAGAATGACAAAACTGCCTAAGCTATTTTGGGGTGAAGCTGTTCTAACGGCAAGCTACCTGATTAACCGATCTCCATCTGTTCCTTTGGGTTTTGATATCCCTGAGAGAGTATGGTCCGGACATGATGTTAAATACTCTCATTTGAAAGTGTTTGGATGCAAAGCTTTTGCTCATGTGAGTAAGGAACGAAGACAAAAACTTGATGATAAAGCCAATCCTTGCATATTTCTGGGCTACGGAGATGAGGAATTTGGCTACAGGTTATGGGATCCAAAAAATAGGAAATTTATTAGAAGCAGAGATGTAGTGTTCCATGAGCAAGAAACTATGACGGATTCTGTTTCACCAAAAATCAGAGAACCAGGTGGTAAGGTTGATCTCACACCAATTGTTCCTCCTAAAAATGTCACAGTAGAGGGAGAGTGTGATGGAGAACTTAGGGTTGATAATGAGCCAGTAATAGAAGATGGTGATGATGAAGGTGTTGAGCAAGAAAACTCAAAAGCTCCACCTCAACCTCGGAAATCAAGTAGACCACACCAGCCATCTACAAAGTACCCTAGTTCGACGTATATTACCATCACTGAAGAAGGGGAGTTAGAAAACTTTGAAGAAGTTCAGACTCACAAGGATAAATCCCAGTGGATGAAAGCCATGCAAGAAGAAATGGATTCCCTGGTGAAGAATGATACTTATGAGTTGGTCAAGCTCCCTAAAGGCAGAAAAGCCTTGAAAAATAAATGGGTGTTCAAGCTTAAGAAAGATGGTGACAAGTTGTTGAAGTACAAGGCTCGCTTAGTTGTAAAAGGTTTTGGACAAAAGCGAGGAATAGATTTTGATGAAATCTTCTTTCCAGTTGTGAAGATGAGCTCTATTCGAGTTATACTCGGATTGGTAGCTAGCTTGGATCTGGAGCTTGAACAGCTAGATGTAAAGACTGCGTTTCTTCATGGAGACCTTGATGAAGAAATCTACATGGAGCAACCAGAAGGTTTTGAGGAGACTGGAAAGGAGCATATGGTTTGCAGATTGAAGAAGAGCTTGTATGGATTGAAACAGGCTCCAAGACAATGGTATAAGAAATTTGACTCGTTCATGGCGAGTCATCGATATGCCAAGACTAATGCAGATCATTGTGTATTTATCAAGACATTTCCAGGTGATAAATTCATTATTCTTTTGTTGTATGTAGATGATATGTTAATAGTGGGACAGGATGCGAAGCTGATTGGTGATTTGAAGAAGGAATTGTCAAAGTTTTTTGATATGAAAGATCTGAGCCCTGCAAAACAGATTTTGGGCATGCAGATCATGCGAGACCGAAAATCCAAGAGGTTGTGGTTATCGCAGGAACGGTATGTGAATCAGATTCTGGACAGATTCAACATGAAGACGGCTAAACCAGTTAGTACACCGTTGGCCAATCACTTCAAACTCAGCAAAAGAAGTTGTCCTACAAGTCAAGAAGAAAAAGAAGCTATGGCGGGTATTCCATACTCTTCAGCAGTCGGGAGTTTGATGTATGCCATGGTTTGTACGAGGCCGGATATAGCTCATGCGGTCGGAGTTGTTAGCAGGTATCTTTCCAATCCTGGAAAAGAGCATTGGGAAGCAGTGAAGTGGATCTTGAGATATCTGAAAGGTAGTTATAATATGTGCTTGAGCTTTGGAATACCTAACCCAGTTCTTGAAGGATACACAGATGCAGATATGGCAGGTGACCTGGATAGTAGAAAATCTACTTCAGGACTTGTGTTTACCTTTGCAGGGGGAGCTATATCTTGGCAATCCAAATTGCAGAAATGTGTGGCCTTATCAACTACTGAAGCTGAGTATGTTGCCATGACTGAAGCAGGAAAGGAAATGCTTTGGTTGAAGAGGTTTCTTCAACAACTGGGAATTGAGCAGAAAATGTACGTTATCCATTGCGATAGCCAAAGCGCATTGGATTTAAGTAAGAATGCGATGTATCACTCTCGCACGAAACACATTGATGTCAGATATCATTGGCTGCGTCAGGCAGTGGAAGAACAAGAGTTCAAGCTAGATAAGATTCACACGGATAAAAATCTTGCTGATATGATGACGAAAGTTGTTGCACGAGAAAAACATCAACAGTGTGCCAAGCTGATTGGCATGGATCGCATGTGAAGATTCCAAGAGTGCATCTTTGTGCTGGAAGGGGAGAATTGTGATGTCCAGCACATTTCGGTGATTTGGTGCCGTTTTTTTTTACTTCCTAAACAAATAAATAATATTTTAATAAATGAATAGTAACTTCATTTGGCTATAAATAGCCGTGAGGAATGAAATCAGAGTATGCATCGCAAGAGTGTTTATCAAGCATTGATAGAATTCTAGTGAGAGAAAAATAGAGTGTTGAGTAAATCCTAAGAGTGTGAGAAAAATACACTTGGGTGGGTATCATCTTCTTGGTATTACAAAATTTGTAATATTTGAATAGGAAGTGGGTCTCACTGGGTACACTATATTTTACATCTCTTGTGTGATAGAGTGTTGAAAGGATATTGTAAATATCCCGAGATATAGTGGAATATTTTTCGGAGTTTGTCCCGTGGTTTTTCTTCCACATTGGAGGTTTTCCACGTTAAATATTGGTGTTCTTTATCTGCTTATTTTATTCAGTTAGAATAATTCTTAGTATGTTCTGTGGTTGCAGTTTAGTTTGATCTTCCACATCAGAAAAGAATTATTTCTGTTATCCTTCCGTGGCTGATTGTTGGATTGCTGGAGAAGTGTGTATTTGTATTAGTGTTGTAACTGGAAAGGTTCTGACTAAGGAAAGACTTGGTATTGAAGTGATCCGTTGTGATCCACCTCTCTTTCCTGGGAAGTATTCCAGTGCACACTTTGCAAGTTACACCACTGCGCTGTTAGATCTATTTATTAGGTCTGAATTATTGCTCGCCAGTTTACGTCAGAATTTTAATTTACACATCCAAGTTATTCCGCATTTGAGCCCAACATTTATTTCATGCCTTAAGGTCAAATTTCCATTAAGAAAAATAAATAAAGATTTTGTTTTGAGGGCTATTAAAATCAATATGATGTGAACCACTTTACTGTTTGTCATAATCTTTATGAAGTTTTCTGATGTTAGGAAGATGAGATGGTGCGGGCCATTACTTCTTATTCAGAGGAAGCCAATGTTGTTGATACATGGATCAAATTTCTAGAGAGCACATGGGTTTTTCAAATTTCACTTGCAAAGGAAAAGGAGGAACAGGTCAAGTATGTCCTGTAGTTTAATTCCAACGGGCAATCGAATGTGATCAAATAACTGTTGAAATTTTACAATTTTCAAAGTTGTTATGCAAAGCAATACCTGGCACGATAGTTCCTCTAAAATTCATGACTTCATTTATTAATTTTCATATTATCTATTTTTTTTTCTTATTGCATATAAAAGTGCCGAACTGGAGAGATTTGGAGATCATTTTGTGAATTTGGTGGTTCAGCTTCTGTCATCTTACCAGGTAAAAAATCATCATAGCTTGACCTCTTTATTGTTTTATTGACGTGTATGCTGCATTTTTCTTATCTTCTCATCACCGGCTTACTTATATGTTAGGAAAAATTGGGTTTGTCTGTTACCCAAATAAGAATACTTGTGGAGAATTTAAAATCCAGTCAAGGGTATGGTGTTCTGCCCCTCTGAATTTCTTTTGTGTCAAAACCATGTCTCCAACTGCTGATTTATATCAGGTTAGAAATATCATCATCAGTAGATAATGAAGGGTCGAAAGTAGTGAATCAAAGGAAAAAGCTTGAAGGAGAATATTTGGATATCGAATCCAAGGTAATTTTCTTTTTAATCTTTTACTTACATCAAAATGTGAAGTGAAAATCTTTCATGAAGTAAGATAATTTTACTAGTGAGATAATATGGCGAAATTCTGCACACTGTCAAAGATTTTGAGGTCTTAAACAAATGCTTATGTCTTTTTCTACTTGTCAGTTTTTAGCCACTCTGAATATAGTGGACACCATGAACAAGCAGTTTCACATTCAAAAGAATGGCATTTTCAGGTATGTTTTTTCTTGCTCTCTTCACCAGCCCCTCTATCCTTGTCTGTTTTTCTCATGTTAACATACACACAAGTGTTGCTTCCTTATACATCTACAATTTTGATACAGAAAAGATAGCGACAAGGTCACAGAACTATTTGATGCCATTGAGAAAATAAAAGGTGAATTTGAATCTATTGAGAGGCCAAAACTGGAGCTTGAGACTCCAACTGAAAGTTCAGAAACACCATCAAGTCAAACCACCTCAAGAACTTTTTCACCTAGCTCCATGGCTAATAAACACAAGCAAGATGGAGTGATAAACTCTCTTTCAATTGCAGGAAAATCAAAACTAGAAATAGAACTTGATAAATTAAGTGAGGAAGACTCAGCTGAAGAGATAAGTGAATGGGAATTTGATGCTCTTGACAAAGATCATCATGTCAGGAGTTGACCAACAAGAATATATAGACCAAAACCATTGATGTTGTAACAAGAATGAAAAAGGCATCGCCGTGCCATGTCTTTGGAAGGCCGAGATTTTTTCATGTAGGCTTACTCTAACTTTGATGCTGGACATCACATCCTGTTGAACTAAGTTGTCTTAGGAGTTCCTCAACGGATGTACATGGAACAGCTTTGATCCACTGAAACTTGTATTTGTACCATATTCATCGTTGATGAAATGTAGATATTAAATCATTAGTCTAATAATAGTAAATTAGTGACGGTAAAATATATTTTAAATTTATTGTAATATACTAATAATAACTTAATATAAAATACCATTTTGATTTTTGAAAGATTTAAGGTCAGTTACATTAGTTCTTGCAAGATAAAAATTTTCTTTTTTAGCTCTCAAAAATGATAAAGTACATTGATTTAATAATTTTTTGAACATCAAATTAGAGCCTTTTGTTTTCACGCATGGACCCCTCCCAATGTTGTTTCACCAATTTCAAGGTTCAATCTTGTAAAAACCAAAAGAAGAAAAAAGGGATTCTGTAAAAACTTGATTTCCCTTTTTACACAAATAAACCCTTGGTCTCAAGAATTAAATATTGGTCATCATTTTCATCATTTGGACCAAAATGATTTTATTTTCATCTTTCAAGGTTAATGTAATCAACTCTAAATATTTAACTGACTATAATGGTGTCACACTTAAACCTATTCACCGGTTTTCCAGTTAAATTGGTTGGTCTGTAATTCGGTTTTCACTTGAATGATTGATGATTAAAGTGTAGGGAGCATATGTTGTACACTAGTAGTGGAATTTCTTTCCTTTTTTATCCTCCTATCTTTGACAGAAGACATTAGTGGTTGTGGTACCATTGTTTACTATCCCAAAACAAATAACTTCCATGCATTTCTGGTCAACAGGAAAGTCAATTATGGAAAGTAATATAACCTTTTGAAGCTAAAAGTTAAAAGGAAAAAAGATAAGGTTTTGATACCATTTGGGCTCACTTGGAAGTGTGGAGGATATGAGCGAGCCTTTATCTCTGCAATGACACTCTCCACTCAATCCTGGTATTGCCATTCCTTCTTTTGTGACCCATTACTTCTCTCATAACTAGCCAATGAGCTTCAAAAGGTCGTTCTGGTAAAGTGATCATGTGACCATTGTTTGATGAGCAACACGTGACATGACACTGACATTTTTTTTAGTACTTTGGAGATGACTAAAGAAAAGGGTCTGTAATGAGCAGGCTTTTCTTTACCTTCCCTTAAATTTGCTATAAATTGCAGTTTCTATTTTACCTTTCTATTTTTTTATTTTTTTTGTGATTTGGAAGTTAACTTTTTTTATTTTATATCATGTTTAAACCCTGATTTTAAGTTGATAATCTTGTATGTTGTGGAAGAAGCATAGTTATTTGAATCTTACAATTTATGATTGACGCCATCTAGCTAGCAACCATTTATATCCCATGATAACTTCTAAAACATTTTAAATTTCGTAATACATGAATGAATTGAAGTGATTTTATATCACCGATATAACTCATACGATTGAATGGTTTGTTATTATTTTATTTTTCTTTTACCAATTGTCATGAAAAAAAAAAGAGTTAAAAAGTTATATAAGAAGCACTATAAAACTTATTTTATTTGATTATTCTCTTGTTACATTTGTCATTCATTCATTCTATTCTTGTACTCTATTCTCTATTTTCATTCTTCCAAAATAGGGACTTCAAAATCAGTTATGGCTTATAATGTTGTTTTGTAAGACTTGCGGTTAAATTTGTTTGATGTATTTCTAATTTAAAATTACATTGAACACTATATATTATTTATATAATATATTCGAAGTTATTCTTATTATTTTTTTACCATTCACATATCGATTTAGTGTATGTTTTGTTGAACCTGTCATATCACATGAGGGTCCCAGAAATTATAATAGGAAAATACACTCTTAAAAGAGAATGGAAGCAAGAGTCTTTCTTCGTGAGAGTGTTTTTCTTAAACCCTACATGGGTTGGGGAATCTACTAGAGAATGGGAACTTGACAAAGGGAGACAAAAGCAACTACCCTCGAGCTTTGTTAGTTTTTTTCCCCTCTCAATCTCGAAACCAACGCTAACCCCTTTTGGCTTTGAAGAGGTTTATGATTAAGAATTTATGGTTTAACATTATGTTAGTCATATGGTATACAGGCTATAGGATCCTATTTGTCACTTCCTAATGTATTCATTTTTGTACTTGCTCTTCAGTTTGAATTCCCAAATCAGTAATAGCACAAGCAATGAGCCAGAGTTGAATGCCAAAAAATAGTGGAAGTTACACTTTGACCTAGTCAAATAAACACATTTTGCCACGACCATGAATTATTGCTCATAGGCCAATTGAGAAAGATAGATGGGACCTTCCAAATTGATGAATAATGTAGAATTGGCCAGTCATAGATTAGGCATAAAAGGAAAAGGAGAGAAACAAAATTTCATTCACAAATTTCATTCTCCTTTAGGATTTCTCATGCTCACACTAACCACTCCGAATGTGCAAATTGCATAACACAAGAAAATAAACGATGCCTGTTATGGTAGTAGAGAAAGAAGTCTATGGTTAGATAAGAATGTTAAGAATATATATTTTTTCAACACATTTTAAATTATTCACAAAAATTATGTTAATTTCCTTTTTTCCACTTTTCTTATATTTATGTAATTTTTAATAAATTTTAACTAATAATTAAAAATGTGTTAAAAATATGTTAAAAAGAGTGTTATTAGTATTAATAGTAGTTGAATGAATGAATGAATAATAATAATAATAATAATAACCCACATTGCGTTTACCTTGCAAGTTAATATTTAACTTCAATTACCTTAAAATTCAATCGATATTTAGGAGAATCTCACCATAATGTCTTAATTATGAGTTACAGCCTCTCATGCATGCACGTATTGTCGAGGCCAATACCTTAATCATGTATAAGAAGATAAGGATATGTAGACTACACGGGATGTAGATTCATTTCATTGAGACCTCCTTAGTTTATGTATAATGTACCTACTTCCTCATTAGGTTCAATCTAGCATATAAATCATTCGATTTCATACTTTCTTTGTCATGGAACGAATTGGAAGGTTTAATCTGTTACATTGAAACTCTCAATAAAAACAAGGTTAGTGCAACATCTTCCTCCCAGTTTCATATACTTTGACGTATCAAATTCAAATGGAACAGGACATATAGAACAATGAAACTATTCATCTAACACATGGCATTGATCAATTATGTTAACCACTGATAACGGAGGATACATTATAGAGTCTCATGCGAAGCTAAAGTGGAACTTGCCTTGTATCAAAGCACTAATCATTTCTAGTCTAAAATTATTTGTTAGTACCCAATAAACAAAAAAATAATATCATGGGAAAGGTAAGAATTACAGCATGGATTGAACAATTTGAACATGTAAGAAAAGGAGAAATAGGAAAAAAGGGAAAAGAAAAAGAATAGTGAAAGCAACCAAGGTACTTTAAGGATCATCATTGCTCTCTTTATTACCCCTTTGACAGGTATCTGGTTGGGATAACTGCATCTATCTCTACGGTGCATTTGTAGAGCCTTGGAATTATATACGTAATAGGAAAAAGGAAAAAAGAAAAAAACTTCACCTATGACTTCACACTGAGTGACTAGCATTATCTTTGCATGTCAAAGGACCACAAATTTGAATTCCATTTAAACTTTCCTGAATATTCTGTATTATTCAAACTTATGCATGTTATGTGAGCCAATAATTTTGTTAACACTTGGATAACTAAAAATGGGGAATTAATAAATAATTCTAAATCTCACACTTTATATATATAAATCTTGTTAAAAAAATTTGTTTTTAATTAAGATAATAAATATACATACTTTTTTTAAAATATTGATTTTATAAAATGACAAGAGAAATATTAAAATGATATATAGGAATATATAGCAAAACTCATTAATAAATAAATAAATCAGTACGACAGTGACTGCTTAGTAGGAGGGGAAATTCAACGATAAAATAATACCTGTATTTCATGCTGGGAAAGGGAAAGCAATATGCATACATAATTTTAAAAATATATTTCGATTATAATAACTTAGAAGTATTTCAAAAAGTGAAGACAAAGGTGATAAGATTAACATTCTATAAATAAATGAATAAAATATCTCTTGCATCACAAAGTTTGGCAACATCATCACTTTTTTAAAGAATACACTGTCCTCTTTGTTCGCGGAAGCTCAATTTCCCATAGGCATCTCCATACTCTGACAAACGCTAATAGAGAAAACCATCATCACAGCAGAGTCACATGAAATGGCCTCAAAACAAGCCACTTTGATTCATGTGGATGAAGACTACATTGACATGGAACTATGTTCTTCACCAAACTTCTTCTCTTATTCAAACAGAGAGTTTGAATTCCAAATGACTTGTATTTCAACTGAGAAAGATTCATCAACTTCTCCGGCTGATGATCTCTTCTACAAGGGAAAACTCCTTCCCCTTCATCTTCCCCCTCGTTTGCAAATGGTTCAAAACCTCATTGAGAACTCAAATGCCAACTTTGAGTATGTGAAATCAGAGCCAGCTTTTGAAAACAGAAACTTTGCCTTTACCAGTGACCTTAGAGTGCCTTCTACTAATGCAACCACCCCTCTTGAATCCTTCAGCATCTTACCTTCAGAATCTCACAGAGTTAGCAGTGATCTAAGCTCAAATGAATACCGATTTGGGTGGTCTTCTGACATGAATGGTTTTGTTGGTGATCTTCCCAAGAAATCATGGCCAAAGAAACTGAAACAGATGAAACAGTTTTGGTTGAGTCAGAGACTTAAGGCTTCAAGAGCTTATCTAAAAGCTTTGTTCAACAAATCTGGTTGTTCAGACAAGTGCTGTGCCAGTGCTGCAAACAACATGGGAGCAGAGAAGAAATCAAAATGCAATGATAGCCAGAACAAGTACATCAAGGTTTCAAGGAGAAACCCATTTGAGAATTTTTATGATAACAAGCATCAGTTATCTTGTGCTGTCATGAAGACCATTGAAAGAGACATGCTTGAAGATGATTCCAGTAACTACAGAAGGTCTTTCTCTGGGGTGGGGCAACGACATTGTGCCACAAAGGCTTCATATTTGTCCACATCTTCATCTGGCTCATCTTCTTCATCTTCATCTTTTTCATTCAGCTCAGCTGGGTGTTATGATCTGCAGCTGTTCAAGAGAAGCATCAGTGCTAATTATGAGTTGGAAAGTGCAATTGAGGGAGCCATTGCTCATTGCAAACAGTCTCAGCATCAGTGTGGTTCAAAGAATGCTTCAGATGGTAGCAGGATTTGTTCTCAATTTGAAACAAAAATGCAGTCAGTGGGGGTCAAGAAATAGTAACACTTGCCAGCACCAGGGTGAGTGAGAGAGAGTGGAGAAAACCTTATAATGTAAGAGAAGAAAGAGACTTTGTCATTTGAAATGCTAAAAGGAGTTTGATGTTTGAATTATCAGCCTGGGTTTCCAGCATTAATTTTTGTTGAAATTTAATATTCTTCTCTACTCTCTCTCTCCTAGTCTTGTATTGTTGTAACTATGTTGATACTTTACCCAGTTGTAAAACTGAATCCCTTAGCAATATCATTAATATCATTAGCTCAGAGGAGAGTAATTCGTTTGGGCAAAAGTGAATTTTGATTTTTCAATTGATCTATACTTGAGTTATATGATCAAGTCAAATCTCCGTAACATAATTGCTATGATAGGAAGAATATTCTCATTTTTTGACATAGGTCCATACTCCTTGATTAACTAGATTGGTATAGATTCTAGGTCCTCTTTTTTAGTTTAGAAGAGATGTTTTTGAAAAGTTTCCAAACATCTTGGACTGTTGATAAAGATCAGATGATTAAAAATGAAAGACAAAGAAGCAGTTATACAAGTTACATTTATGAAAAAATAAAGTGGTAATTTTATGTAAATGATTATATTGATCCTTCATAGTCTTTTTTCTTTTACTCTTTTTCTTCTTTTTTTATTTTCATCTCATTCATATGACATTAATTTGTTTGTCCTCTTGCTTTTCACCCGCAACTATGCAATTGAGTACCATCAAGGATTAAAAAATAATATACTTCTTTACACACAAACACTAAAAAACGTTAGAATTTTGAAATCTAATTTTTTCAAACCTCTTTTTAAGAGTTTAAGTTCAACAAATCTAAAAAAATTATATAAAATACATATAATTTATATAAATTTGAATTTTATACTAAAAATTATGTCTTTTCAAAATTTATGACATTAAAAATAAAAATATTCAAAAAATTTTTATACTTTTTACATTGGTCCTTTAATAGAAAAAAAGAAGTAAAAAAATTTTGCTTTTCAATATTACTTTTTATATTAGTTCTCTGTAATACTTTTATAATTTATTACTTTTAATAATAAAAAAAGGACCGTATAATCACTCTCTTATATCATCAATTTTGAGAATTTGGAACTTAAACATACAAATATAGAATTATTACTCACAATACCCATCAAAGTGAACTTAACTGACGGATCTAAATTCAGAATGAATGTTGTTAGCAGTAAAATGCAAAGTACAAGTACTTTGTAATTTGAACAAATAATATGTAGTCTCTTAAAAAATGCAAGGTATTACAAAATGCCGATAGTTTGAGTTTGACTGCACTAACAATACCCTTTTATGACCGTATTTTTTCTGTTATAATTTACTGTAAAGAAAAGGAAGTCTTTATGCTAAGTCTCATGTTCCCAAACTGACCCTTTTTCCCAAGGTAGATCCTCAATGACTGCTTAAGACTTCTATCTGCCATAATTCTTTCAGTGTTCAACAGATAACAGATAGCCTTATAGTACTGTATATAAAAGTGATGAATAGCATATTTTATGCTCCCACCTTTTTCTCATTTTTTTAAAGTTTTTTCTGTAAAGAAGAAAAAAGTAAAAAGTTTTTGGGAATAACTTCCATCACAATATAATAAAAAAAATGAGATGTCAAAGAAACCGACCTTGTCACTAACCAAAAAGGATTAAAAACAAAAACAGTGATTCACTTTTGTCGAGCAAGGTAAGCTGATAGAGAAAAAGTCTCATTTTTAAAATGTGGAAATCATGGTACAATTGGTACCTCAAAGCTTTTGTTTGGCTAATACATGCTTTATTGAAACAGCCATGATGAGTAATAGTGAATTCCCAGCAAAGCAGCATGGTTGACTGCAGATTAAAAGCTACACTAATGCAATTATGTATCCTTTTTGCAATTACCGAAGCATATACAACAGTAACTTAAAATGGTTATGATCACAAGATAAATAAACCATTTCTCAATTTTAAACGACCAAAATAATAGTAATAATTCCCAGTTATTCTGTAATGTAATGACCCCACCCTAGCTAGCCCGCGTGGAGCATGTATTCTTAAAACTCATCATCGTATTTATATATGAAAACTATGTGTATATTCTATAAATAATATAAAAACAAAACGTAATGTACAGCTTTCCAGGCAGACAATTGAATCTCTCTAGGCGTGCAGTTCTTCCTTTCACTTGATTTTGACTGAACATTAAAGTAGGAGTACATAGTCTCAGAGGGTAAATCACATGCTCAAGAATTTCAAGTGCCAAGTATACGTGAATGCTGTAGCCCACCAATTAGAGACAAACACATAGAACAAGCGCAAAGAACAAGCAATTCTTTTCCCCACCACCAATGCCTTAATTCTCCTGATTAAACCATAAAGATAACTGCTGCTCTCTGTATCTCTAATTTGCTTTCTTTTTAGCTTGAGTCCGAGTTTAAAGAAACGTTTAGATTGATATTAAATTTAATTAATTTGATTTATTCTCACGAGTTATAATTTTTACTTTAAAAGTTATTATCAAGAGTTTAGAGTGTTGGCGTAAGAACAACTTATATTAATCTATCACATAAGTAAGAAAAATGTTAAACTTTATTTTTAAGGCTGAGTTTAAGTATGTAATATAAGACTAGTAAATTTTTATTGAAAAAGAAAATGATCATACTTTTATAATTTTAATATAATAAATGTATTTTTATTAAAACTTACTACAATTTAAACTCAGCTTCAAGGTTTAGAGGTAGCAAAATTCCACAATTAAATCTCTCATTATAGCTATTCCTTGTTTGGATTATTTCAGACATGAAGTGAAGTCTTAACATATAGAAATGCCATGAAGGGTAAATTCTTATTCAAGAAATGTGATCAGCCAAATACATTCGGGACATCCTCACAGATAAATTTTTCATTTTAAATAAAAATATTTAAAATTAGAATTTTTAAAAATAAAAAATATAAACTCAATAATGTATTTATTATTATAAATAATATATTTTTAAATTAAAAATTTAAAAAAAAAAATCTCTCCTCTGAAACTCTCTCCTTCAGTGTTTCCACAGGGTGGGGCACGTGCAAATACACATTGATATAGAATGTATGCAGCAAGAGTAAACATAACTAGCTAGGGGACCCCTAATTGAATGAGACCACTCGGTATAGAATAGAGATGATAAACATGCATGTTGGGAGTCTATCCTTACTAAGTTTAGGCAAAAATAGTGTCAGATTGTTTTAATAAGTTAAAGTCTATTGATCTAGTTCAAAACATCTAAATTTAAGTCATTCAAAATACATTTTTTAAGTCTATTAAGTTGTATTCTTTTAGTAAATATAATCAATATAATAAAATAATATTATTACCATATTAAATTCTTATAAACTTGTTGTTTTATTTGAAAGTTTAACTTTGTTGGGTTAACCAAGAGTTTGAGTTCATTATTTAATTTAAAAGTTGAAGAGATTTGTTAGTCTATTTAAAATACCTTAAAAATTTTAAATATGTTTTTCATTAAGTTAAACTTTTAAAAAAGATATATATATATACGTGGGACTCACAAAAGCATTTCTCTTTTACTCACGTGTGAAATGCATGGGTGCACATGTGCTTTTTTATTTTAATTGTTTAAAAAACAGAATTAACATTTTATAGAAAAAATTATGAAAAAATTTAAGAATTTTATATTTACATAAACATATATATAATAAAAAATATATTTTTTAAGATTTTAATAGAATATTCTAATTTAACCCAAGTTAAATAATCTTACGTTAATTAAAAAATAAAATTGATCATTATGCATAGAACCATTAATGCTTATTCACTCTAGAATGGTCATTTACTACTAATTGGTAGCTCTAGAATCAACACACGTGCATAGAATAAGAAACACCGTACTCAAATATGTATAAACAAGCTTGGCACATGATTAGTGGTGGATTTATTTAGTTATTGTAAAACTTTTCATGTAATGTAAATATTTATGTGATTTAAATATAAATACATTTTTATTATCATAAAATATTTATTTTATAATTTGAATGATAAAATATTTATAACAAAATTTACATGTTTAATTGAAAAATTAATGTAATTTCATGCAAAATTTATATTTGCATGTAATTTATTTATTTTTGTAATTTAAACATTCACATATTTATATATAAGGGATTAAATAATTATATTTTCATTAAATGAAAAATATTTATGTAAAATTTTTACTTACATAAATGTAAATATAAATATTATTTTCTAAAAAAATATTTTCTTTAAGAATATACATGTTAATTATTTGACACTATAATCTCCTTAATAAATCATATACACATCTGTCAATTTTAATAAATATTTTTCTAACATATTTTTATAATATAGTTTTTTAAAGTAAAAAAGTACCCAATCCTCTAAAAACAGTTCAAGCAAATAATAATAAAAAAAATAAAACTCTAACAAATATCAAAATAAAAAGTTAGTTACCGGGATATTTAAAAAATCATTAAAAAAATCTAAAAAATATATAAATATAAACCTATGTTTATTTTATTTTAAAATTTAAATTAACAGAATTATAAAGTGAATCATTTTATATAGAATATAATTTTTGTGAATAATTATTAAATTATAACTTTGTAATCTTAATTATTTATTTTAAATTTATTAAAAATTAAGCATCTGTAAAAATATAATTAAATTTTTTTATACACACAGTATATTATTATTATTATTTTAAATTAATTTAATAATTTATAAATATAATTTATGCGATAAAAAAATTAATCTCACAACTATTTTTAAAATAATTTTTGAAGTAGATATTACAAAAGATCTAATGAAAGATAGCAAGATATTCTTGATGAACGACAATATAATCCGACATGATAGGACGTTGTGAAAGAATGTAACAACAATACAAAACAAGTTAAATTATATATAAAAAGATGGACAGTGGAATATCCAACCAAAGTAATGAAAATATAAAGATCTCGTATTCTATGATACTTTTCCTCAACAA